TGTGTACTATACTTTTAACAGGCATTGGTTCTATGTAAATATGTAGGTTCAAATCTACAGGTAAGACAGCTATACACTGAAAACACAGTGAGACTATTTCATAAATAAATCTGCGTCACTTTGGCTTTATCCGCCACATCTAGCCTGATAGAACTGAAATAAGGTTCAAAGGCGTTAAACCAAACTCACTTAAGTAAATGATTCCTACTTGCATGTGGCAACTTTGTAGACGGCACAGTCAGGCTTGTGTTTTGAAAATAGTTTGTTGTCATCTTATTCAGGTACTTTGGAGCTTTTACTATGGACGTCATATCCCGAACTGCCTTCGGTATAAAGGTCGATTCTCAAAATGACTTCAACAACCCTCTTGTGGATCATGCTAAACAAATGTTTCAGCCCCCCAAGTTTATCGAACCAATGATATTACTCAACAGTGAGTATAATATCAACTGTCTCCATCCTACACTTCAGAACAGGGTGGGTACGGGTTGTCCAGTTTTCTCAGGCGCTGTATTTCGCTGTGAGTCGCAGCTCTAAGGCGTGCCAGAGACTTATGATCGTGGGTTTGAATCCTATATTTGCCATGATTATATTTCTAGATTTCTAGACCAGAAACCCTCGAAGATGATCCAAGATCTCAAAAGGCCATCAACTGCCACCACCAAGTTTAAGTGTTGATAAAATACATGGTATGATTATGGATGAGTGACAAAACACCACACGAATAGGCACCGCTTATGAGAGAGTTAAGAACATTCTGAGGAATGAACTGGAAATGACGGAATTTTATGCATGCTGGGTCCAAAGCTTCTGACTCCTGTCCCGAAACACTCAAAGTTAATCATCCATATTCATAACAAATCTCTGCCGAAAACAGTCCGTTATTACTAGATTTGGCACAGTCAATTTTACTCCTCTTCCCAAGTTTGAAGAAAGACCTGCCTGTCTGGTCTGCAACGATAATGACGTTTCTGCTGAGAAACCCTTTTTACACCAACAGGAGGAAACATTGCATAAAGGTGGGATCCAGGTACTCCGGCATCGTGGGAAGAAGTGTGTTGACCTCATAGGGAATTATGTTTAAAAAACTTTTAGCAACCATCTTCATCAACGCAGTCCATCCTAGTTAGGGTCAGAACATTTCAGCCAACCCACGTAATCTTGTTTGTGGCATTTTATGAAGAAACGATATGGCTAAACATTTTGAAATGTTGGCAGAAGTTTTACCAAGACTTAAGTAAGAAGCATTCGATTTCTAAAAGTTATTACTGCTCACAACATTGCAACACAAACATTTTCTCATTAGGGTACCTGATAACACACACACACACACACACACACACACACACACACACACACACACACACACACACACACACACACACACACACATGCATACATATATACATAGTTACTATTGATGCATAACTTGGCTCTCCGTGATGTACACAGATATGCTACCAGAACTTGCAGCGTTGCTGACGAAACTTGGCCTTGGACTTTTTTCTCAAAGTATCACCAGCTTCTTCGATGAGGCCATCGTGGAAATGATCAAGCAGCGACAGAATGACTCAAAAGAAAAGCGAGAAGTAAGTTACAAAATGACATTTTCATGACATTGCTTCCGATGTGTGCAAGTATGTTGCCTGTATCTGTCATCTCATCTGTCATCATGTGAAGTGTCTGTGATACAGACTTGTAAATGTGAGTGACTGAATGCTTTGAAACGCGTCATGCCCAGTTCATTACTCATAATGGTCTCAACTCTCTCATGAAAGATGCCTTCTTCGTTTGCAATTATTTCCGCTTACCAGTAATCATAGTAAACCAGTGACAGAACACAACAACACTCCAAAGTACCCGAATATCAATAACCAAAAATGCATTCAAGCTATCTCTTAGTCCCATTGCTTTCACTTTAAATGTCAATAGTTAAGCATGATGTTTTACTAATGGACCCCCCTGCATGCCTTTAGATATAACTATTATTTACAGATTTAAAATAAATAAATCCTGGCACAGTCAAGGTGGTTAGGCTCATCATCAGATCAGCAAATGGGACTTCTCCCAGGAAGCGATGCCTAGTCGAACCCACCCAGAACCTTTTGGAGAATGTGAAGACTCCTCAACACTGCATCCTTCCGAATAACACAGATTGTCAGAAGGGCTGTATTCCTGACAGCACACGCAGGTATTCTCCCAATGTCAGACAACAGATTGGGAGGTGCCAAACCTAAGGTACCGAGAACAATGGGGAGTCGGACAACTTGTACTTGGGACATAAGCGTGACATTTCGGAAGCAAAGTCTGGATATTTGCCATGTTTTTTCTGGAATCTTGTCAATCACATTAGTGTCAAATGGACAGAAAAATCAATGATATTAATTATTTCATTGGATTTCTCAACAAGGACAAAACAGGTTTGCTTGCCTGGAAAGGTCTAAGGCTGTAGACGGACCTATTCCACAGAATTTTTCATTTTTCATTCTCCATGACGCCCTCTACATATTTTGGGTCGTACCATGGATGGACCTCTGTGTGAAAACCATAAGCATGGCGAAAACGGTAATAAAAGGGATTGAGCCACTCCATCATCTTTAGATACTGTGTTTATGCCAAAGCTGGGCATCCGATGACAATGTGTTGCACAGTCTCATTATATTCATTGCATATTCTACATTTCATATTTACATTTTAATGCAAAATCACATATTGACGGTTTCGAGTGAAAAGTTACAGGTCCGGTGCAGCAAACAGAAAGCCTTCTGTTTCACTTTTCAGGCCAGCCGACTTCATCCAAGCAAAGGACTCTACAGGGTTACTGAACTTCTCAACCCACCGCACATAAACTCGAGTCTGTGCCGATTTGATATGGCACTTTGCTTGATTGACGCTCATTTCTGTAACGTCCAGTAGTACAGAACCATAAAAAATCAACAATGACATTGAGATTAGGTCCCACATCTTTGGTTCGTTTAAGAAAACTGTGGAATGCTTGTTCATCAGTATCAGACAAATAAATTCATGCAAAGGTGCACAATACAATTCCATCACGAAGAGCCTCAACGTTAATCAAACCACGCCCTCCAATTAAAATTGGTAAATATACTGAACAACAAAAGTTCCTGTGACATTGAATAAGATTTACCGTATTCGAATTGATAAGCGCCCCGCTCTAATAAGCGCCCACGGCGATATTTGCTAAAATATTGGCTAGTGAACAATCCAAATTAGCACCTGGAGCGCCCTTGAGCGAGCCGGCCAGGGGATGACATTCACGTTGTTTTGTTTAAGAGAATCGTGAACAAGTCGAGCAATATGTGGCCGGGCGTTGTCATGTTGAAAGGTAATGCCTGGGCCATGACGAAGCAAAGACGATAGATCTCGTCGCGGTAGCGCTGTCCATTGAGATTTCCCTCTACCACTATCAAATGGGTCCTGTCTTGCTGTAATCCCATCCCATACTATAACGCCGCCGCCCCCAAACCGATCTTCTTCCATGACACAATGATTGACATAACGGTCACATCGACGTCGGTACACTCGAATCCGTCCATCGCTGTGGCTGAGGTGAAAGGAGACTCGTCAGTGAATAGAACTTGTCCCCACTGCATGGCCGTCCAGCGTAGACGCTGTCTGCACCACTGTAGACGTGCTTGACGTTAGTTTCCTGTCAAAATGGGACGTCTGACGGGTCTTCTGGCGACAATCCCTGCACATCTGAAGCGACGACGTACGGTTTATGAAGATATTCGTCGAAGGCAAGGGATGCTTCTTGCAGTCACTGTTGCTGGCTGGAATCGATTTCGTAGGTGTGTTGTTCGACTCCAGTTGTCTTGTCGATTATTGGTTACGCGTGGCCTGTCCAAGGTCTCTGACTGCATTCGTCCATCGTTGCCATGAACACCAAATGGTGTTTCTGTGGACGTTAAATTGTCTTGCAAATCCATCCTCGATCCTGCTTCAAGCATACCTCAAGCATGGCTCGCAGACGCAATGTTGAATAATTACGTATTTTTGTTGTTTTTCTGAGTGGTTGTTGTCAGCACGATGCTAAACAATGCATATGGAATCCCGTTAACGCACATGTTTTTATACCCATTCTTGGGTAGTGAAATGCATGGGGCTTGCATAAAAGACAACTTATGCATGGAATGCATGCTTTTCTGTAGCAGTTGCGTTTTTGTGATTTGATTCCATACATATACTACAATATCAAAAACCAAACTTTACTTGTTTGAAAAATACTGTTTGTTTGAACACTAAAATATTGGTGTCATAGGAACTTTTGTTGTTGAGTATATAAGCGATTGAGGGAAGAACGAGGGTGATGGGATCTGATGTCTTACATGATTCTTCGCGTGAGGGTGTCAATACCCTGAATTTCTTGTTTCGTCCAATCAACGACACCAAAAAGAATGCGAAAGGGTTGGTTCATCATAAGTATTTGTGGCTTTGACTTCATTGTGAACGTTCAGCTTTGAACTCCGGATGTTCTTTTGACATTGTTGGTCTCACGTTGCCTCAATAATCATGCAGAAGCATCCTTATCTACAGCGAGCCTGCACTACCTGTATTCGACTCGGGAATAAAGTAAAACGCACTTGTCCAGGACTGAATAGAAAATACAGCTGCATGAAACAACTTCACTAAACATGATAAGTGGCTGAGTGTCATGACTGGTTTGTGAGGCGCTTCTAGTATCATGGAAGGGATGATAGTTGAACGATTAGAGCGCAACCACATTGTTAATTGCATTTGCACACTGCTGGTATGAAATACCTTTCTGGATTGTATCTAATGTGCAGTTCGTTATAGCTTATTGTTCGTTGCCATTGCAGCAGAGAACTGACTTCCTACAACTCCTGATGGACGCTGAGATAGGGGAGGCACAGGGAGAGAATGGTCACGTGGCGAATGGAAAACATTCAGTCTGGGGTATGTAGCTATGCACTGACAACATTGTTTCAAAAGTGACAAACTGTATGCTTTATGTACCAATGTGGGGCCCAGTGCCTAAGGTGCTGCCATTCTCTGTGCAAAGTTGTGTCCTTAGGTGTGAAAGAACCTATGACACAACAGTTACCGAAGTACATGTACTGTCCAAAACAGCGTTAACTAAACTTACTCACTCAGTTTACACCAAGGACTACCAGAAGGTCATTTTGCTTCATTTACAGGTCTATCTACAGATGAAATAGTTGGCCAAGGAACACTGTTCTTCAATGCTGGATACGAAACAACTGCTTCTACTCTGAACTTTGCCTCCCACCACCTGGCCACAAACCCGGATGTACAAGAGAAGGCATACACTGAAATGAAAGACTTACTTGGAGATGTCAGTTTCATTCATACAAACATCCTTAGCTTGGGGAATCGGGATTGAAAAGACTGCTATAGAGCGAGTTTGGGGCATTTTCAGTATGTCTGCATGTTAAAATGGGATTTGAATTCTGTTAGCACTGAACTGAGACATCCAATTGCAATAAAACTTTAGCTACACATGCTTTGTTCTTTCAGAGGACATGGAAAATGCAGCACAAGAATAAGTGGGTTACGTGAAGTAAAAAGTGGCTAGATAAAAAAAGCATAGTGTATCTTTACCACACAGCACCTACTGTCTCCACATCAAATTTCATAACCATTCATGCAGATACAGCTTAGTAATGGACAAACATGAAACCTTTGATAGATGATGCAATGCTTCAGCTTCATTGGAATTGAGCTTCAGAGGGGATCCTGAAGTCTAACAGTTAACGACTGACAGACAGTAGGCCTCTCTTTACATTCTGTCATGGGTCAGACGTCTTTAAAAAATACAGAATTGCGTATCTAAATGCGTTAGAGAATCCCTTTGATGTTGGGTTCGAATCGAAGATTAATATTCACTGTGATTATGTTGCTTAGTTTGTCAGCGCCACATGCTCGTGTGTTGCACCAAAGTGGTAAGCGTCAAACGCTACACTGTGCATCACTTCCACACATATGAAGCTGACACGCTGGTATAACTGACAAACTGTTCAGAAGCGTTGACGCAAACTTACTCTCACAGTTGTCGGTTTAGATAAAAAAACAAACAAACATGGGTTTCGTATTTTTATTGTTTTGTTTGTCCCCAGGAGGAACCCAACTTCGACAACATAGGGAAACTGAAGTATCTGGACAACATCATCACCGAGACGCTCAGAATATGTCCACCGGTTTTTGTGTAAGTTCCCAAATGTTTAATGTTTATCAGATTGTTAGAATAACTTGTGATACGTATATTCAAATTCAGGAACAAAACATATGAAATTCGATTCATTAAAGGGGGATTTCAGCCACTGACTTGAACTAAATATGGTAACCTTTCATGAATAGCTTAATCAAAATAATACCATTTGCGTTTAAGCGACAAGATGTATACTTGCTATGCCTCCTCTTTCTCGAGTTGTACCTCTCCAAATAGAGTTTCATCTGAACGAAATGTGACATTCCATTCACGTCTTTATTTAGCTACATTGATCCTTTAAACATTACGCTTGGGTGGCACAAGCATTGTATCATATGTATATATGAAGCATGGGAAATTGACATCAGTCAATTCTAAAAAAACTGAGTGAGTGAGTGAGTGAGTGAGATGGTTTTACGCCGCTTAAAGCAAATTCGAGGAATATCACGGCGGGGGACACCAGAAATGGGCTTCAAACATTGTTGCCATGTCGGGAATCGAACTCTGGTCTTCGGCGTGACGAGCGAACGATTTAACCACTAGGCTACCCGAACACCCCTATAAAACTGTGAGAACACGGAGAAAGAAATCCGCTATAAACATTGCTTATAAGAATAACAGTATCGTCGTCTTCTGATGTATGTAATATTTGGGGAGAATATTATCGTGATGTATTTGATCCGTTTGATAAACCTGAATTTGACAGTTATTTTGCCAGACAAACGACTGAACGTGTGATGAGGATATCCAAGATTCCTCTACCAAATTCAGATCCAATACTGGCTATTCCAGTCTCTGTTTCAGAAGTAAAAATGTTGATTTAGTAACAAACATGGAGCTACGACTGCTACTCACATACTGAAAGGGGTGATCCAATTCTATGTAGAGTGGGAAATGAGAGCATGTGCTGTATTCCCAGACAATGAGAAAACGTTTGGCAGCATCTGGCATGACGGACTTCTACTAAAACTCTTAGAATACTGAAAACATGGTCGTGCCTGGCATCTGATACATCACTCATTTCACTCTCTAAGTATGCAACAAGGAACACAATCTTTGCATCCAAGAATACAGTGGCTATAACCTTTTTCACTGATTTTGAAGACTTGAATTTCTTTGGTGCCAGAGAAGTGGTATGGTGCCATTCCATTGACGTTTTGACTTGGGATCACAGTGGTAGACCCATGTTTCATCACCTGTTACTAATCTTTTTGCGAACTTCTCAATTAGCTCTAAATTTTCTCTGGCCCTGTTAGTTCTTTTTTCCTTAAGATCAGAATTTAGAACTTTTTGCACCCACAATCGGATATCTTATTCATCTGTAAATGTTCATGAATAATAGTTTCAATGGACCCATGGCTTAGACCTGTGTCTTCCTAAAGTTTTAATTAGCAACGGTAATACGTCTGTCTAACCATATAAGTTTTTCTATCTCCTTGATTTAATCTTCATTGATAGACGTTGTGAACGTCCAGATCTAGGCTTGTTCTCCCAGCCTTTAACATAGCTGCCCAATGTTTAACAGTGGAATAGCTAGGGCACTTATCCCAATACACGTGTGACGTGCGGTTGTTTGGGAGTTCTTTTCTCTAAAGTCGAAAACGTCATGACTGCTCAGTACTCGTTCTTTTCCATTCCTGTATCCATGTTTCCCAATCACGTTCGCCTGTCTGTCACTGATATACAAACGGCCTCAACAGACAAAATACACTTGCGATGAACTACTCAAACAATGTACTACATTGACTAGTTCACTAGCCCATAACAGAAACTTGACCAGCCCTTGTAATATGGTAGCTCAACTTTTAAGACAGAAATGGATAGAAAAAATGTCTACTCGCCAAGATCTTAAACGTTTTCGTGATACATGAAATACTAGCTCCAGACAGATTGTGGAATATGTGTGATCTTTACACAAATGGTATATGTATGATGTGTGAAGAAGAATATAACAACGTTGTACTTCACCAGTTTGTAAACTGTGACAGTCTTGAGCCAGAAGGAAATAACCTCTAAGAGTGTTTTGTTATTTACTTACTATGCCTTAACCAATATCTGAAAATAGAAGATTGAACAGACAACAAAGTCAGAGTTGTGACACTACTTGATGGTACTGCGCATGTTGTAGAGGAGATTAGAAGGAATTAAACCCAAGGTCTCAATTCCTAATCATAATAAGCAACGTTGTAAGCTACAGTAATGGAGCTGACGTCTACCCTGTAACCTGTTATCATGCACTTAAATACTGATCAATTAATTTCCATCTTGTATCCATTCGATACTAACGACCCCCCCACCACTTCCCACCCACACACGTACGAACGTACGTACATACATCTGACAGACAATACTCACTCCTGTTAACCCTTGATTACAAATTTCAGGATTCATCGCAGAGCGTCTGAGACCATCCAAATCAAGGGTTTGACAATCCATCAAGGCCAACCTGTCTTTATCCCAGTGCTCGCTCTACAAAGAGACCCTCAGCTTTTCAAGGATCCGAATTCCTTTAAACCAGAAAGGTACTGCTGTGCCATGTTTGGTCAAATACAGTTGTATGGTGGTGGTTTCAGTACCATCCACTTTTCTCGTTCACTGTTTTTTTTACACCGATTGCTTGAAGTCGCCTGCACACGTTTTTCATTTGGATTCAAATCAATATGATTGCTTTAAAAAGCCTTGAACGAGATGGGTGTTCACTTCTGAGACATGAGTTTGAACGTCTATTCATGTGTAATGTCAGGCTAAAGGTTGATTTACTCTTCGAAATATTATGAATTGTGTACATTTCATTTGTACAGATGCCTCTCCCTTAAAAATATGGAAACGTTCTTAAGTGGCGTTATGTATGGTTGATTAATAAGCTGCTGGTATGGAAATCACAGTATCAAAATATATTGTTTTCAGGCACGATGAAAAGTCAAACCCACTCTCCTTCCTTGCGTTTGGTTATGGCCCCCGAATCTGCATAGGGATGCGGTTAGCCTTAGTCGAGATGAAAATAGCCCTGGTACACGTCCTCAGGAGAGTGAAGTTTGAACGTATGCCTAACACAAAGGTACATTCATCTTGTAAGGGTCCGACCACGTAATACTTGAGGGGAAGGAAGGAGGGGACTCAGGTATTCGTTATTTCGATATTTGTTTGGTCATTGTCACGAAGATGAAGCCGAAAAAAATAAGCTTTTAACAACACATTGTTTCAGCATATAAATTATGTCCATAGATGACTTTTATACATAGTCTGGGCAAAAGTACTTTTCCAGTACATGATGGAGTCTGTCCCTCAACCACACCTGCATTTCTTTAGTAGAAATAAGGCAAATCCTGTGCTTGTCAAAAGAGCTGAACAAAAAAGTGAGTTTTCAGACTCTTGACGATATCTTCACACATATTTGAAAAATCTTATTTTACACTGGTTCTTGGATCCGTAAAGTGCGTACTTTGCAATTGTTTGTTTCAGACAGAAAGAATTCAGTTTTACAAGGTGTTATTTTTGTTTGAGAGTAAAGATATCGAATCTTTTTTGAAGATTTGGAAGTCGTTTTCATCATCCTCATCAATGTATTGGGACTGTAAGTCAATGGTGATATCGAATGATTTGCGGTTTTGAGGAAGTAACGGGCTGCTCCATTTTATGCAAATTTGTGCAAACACCTCCAGGTCAGCTACACGTGAATGTGTGCACATCTACTGTATACCATGTGCTTTGTTCACAGGATGAATTGACATTCAAGCATAGCGTCGTCCTGACACCAGCTGAGGATATTGTGCTGAAGATATCCCCAAGATTCTAAAGAAGCCAACGGAGAGTAAACATTAATTCATCATTGTGCAGGACAGACAGACCAAGAATGTAACATGAACCATGGTTTATCCAGAATACCAAATGACCTAAGTCATAGTATACATTAGTATACATTGGTGCTTGTGAAAGATTATTGTCTGTACAATTCTTCCTTCTTGTGAATATTTATTTGTTAAAGCAGAATAGTTTGTAGAGGAAAGTGGAATTCATCTTATGTTTTATTCAAGTTACTCATTTGACAAGAATGTTTCTACGTGGATAGAGGGTTTAAATTAAAGATAACACTTACGTTATTGCGAAAAAGACGAAGATCACTAATGACATGGATAACTTTCTTAGTTTGTGAAACAGGACAAAGATGGCTTTATTGATGACGACACGTTGATTGTTCCAGATACAAACATAAACTCTGAAAACGTTGCTTGAATCAAATGCCCAATTATATTACCTTGTTTTTTCGTACACAACCGTCACATTTTACCTTTTATTATTTTCTAAACCTTCAACCAATACTTGATAGCTCTTATATTACTACCAAAATACAGTGTTTATTGTCCATATTCTCCATACACCATAATAGTAGATGTATTTGTCTTCTAATGAAAACCGTGTGCCTTCTGATGACACAACTTTATACTATTCTGCACATGTATTCAGCACATATCAGATCCACACAGGAGGAACAGGACTTATTGTGCTCTTCCGTCTTGTTACAAATGTTAAGTGATGTCACGAAAGTCAAATGCCTCAGCGAAGACAGCCAATATTGCATGTTACACATAGGTCTAAATATGAAACAGATAAGGCGGTTTCACTGGAGCTTTTTATTTCATGTTCAAGAGTGCTAATCAGTGAACTGAAGTGGCCATTATTGAACAATGTCAGATTATCGATATTCCTGAAGGATAAGTTAAACTCCTTGTCCAAATTCCCATGTTTTGATTTTTGCCAATCCTAGCGGAAATTTCGACTGATATGCATAGAGAAATAGATTAGCAAGTCGGCTAGCACAGTTGGTGCTCATGCCCTATCCCCTAAGTTGATGTTTTCTTTAAGGATGTCCAACATATTGTTTTCTCAGTTAAAAACATGATATAAGAGTTGGTTATGATACGCCATAAGTCATGTTCGAAAGCCTCACAATGGATAAATCCTGCTTGATACGTCTCGAGAAAATGTCACGTTTGATCTACAATTCAAGAATAAAACATCAAGCTATAATAGAATAGGTCTTCAGCAACCCATGCTTGCAGTAAAAGGTGACTATGCTTGTCGTAAAAGGCGACTAACGGGATCGGCTGGTCAGGTTCGCTGACTTGGTTGATGTATGTCATCGATCCCAATTGCGTGGATCGATGCTCATGATATTAATCATTGGATTGTCTGGTCCAGACTCGATTATTTACAGACCACCGTCATATAGCTGGAATATTGCTGAGTGCGGCGTTAAACAACCAACCAACCAACCAACCTTCTACTTCCAAAAGAATCTTCTTTGGCGAATAGTTGAGACTTTTTCATTCTCTCTATATCTTGTGGCCTCGAGATAATATCTTCAGGCAACGGCTAAATATATAGTGACCAGAATATAAAATTTATAATGAACATTCTTCAAGTGATGATTGGACAAGCACTGGTGGTACAAGGGAGAACCATTGCAGATTATTAGCCGAGTGTGTTGCCTTATCGCAAATATCATATATCAGGAATAAAAAGGATATTATTCGAGCCTTTGGCGAGCATTATGCATATTCATTATATCTACAATATATGATACATCTTATACGCAAATTGATATTTCATGCGAATGATCACAATGATGAAATTTCACGCTGACCTTTTTGTTGAGTGAGTGAGTATGGTTTCACGCCGCTTGTAGCTGTATTCCAGCAATATCACGGCGGGGCACACCAGAAATGGGCTTCACACATTGTACCCATGTCGGGAATCGAACCCGGGTCTTTGGCGTGACGAGCGAACGCTTTAACCACTAGGCTACCCGACCGCCCCCCTTTTTGTTGAAATAATTGCTGCTTTAAATTAAAACAGAGAATAACCAGTTCGATTAATCGCCTAAACAGATTCCATTGGGCGTTAAAGGCAAAATAAGGGTGAAAATTATTTGAATGGATGACTGAAAATCAGTGATGACACCAGGTGTAACATCCGCCAATCACACAAAAGTTTGTTTTGTTTGTTTGTTGTTTAACGCCGCACTCAGCAATATTCCAGCTATATGACGACAGTCTGTAAATAATCAGGTCTGGACCAGACAATCCGGTGATTGATACCATGAGCATCGACCCAATTGCGTTGCGATGACATGCATCAAACAAGACAGTGAGCCTGACCACCCGGTCCCGTTATTCACCTTTTACGGCAAGCATGGGTTGTTGAAGACCTATTTCAACTCGGATCTTCACGTTAAAGAAAACTATGTTTAGTTAATGATATAAAGTAACACGTTATGAATACAAATACAGGAACCTTGACAGGACATTAGTACAATTACTGATATTTGATTAATTTTAAGTTTACTCGATATACGGCTTTTCCACTGGACGAGAGGTAGGTCACATGACTGCGAAATTAACTTTGATAAGTGTATGAACGACACAATTTGACGTTCAGACGTTTTTCACGAGACCGTGTTCTAGAAATGAAGTAAACACTGATGGACTACCACATTCCTGGGGGAACCCCTGGGAATTCCCTTGCACGAAACATGTGTATAAATTAGTTTTTCTTTAGATGTGACATGGAGTTTGATCATTATGTTTCTATCAAATAATGAAATAACTTTCCACATTCTTTTTGTGAAAGGAGAAAATATTTTCATGATCATGTGAAATCCTTATCTTCTAAACGGAAATTAAATATTATGAGAATATCGAAGATAATACTTGTTCTTTGGTCCAACATCTTGTTTCGAGGTCTTTAACATGTGAGGGGCGATAGGGTAGCCTAGTGGTTAAAGCGTTCGCTCGTCACGCCGAAGGCCCAGGTTCGATTCCCCACATGGATACAACGTGTGAAATCTGGTGTCCACCGCCGTAATATTGCTCAAAGTGCTCAGTGGTGAACAACTCGAACAAACGGTTCGCATCTCAATCTCCTTTCAAATTGTGTTCAACATAACTTACCCCCCGGAGAATACGGTTTGACTTACAATGTCGTCTCGGGTACACGGCAACACAGGGGATACAAATAACTCCATTGCCCAAGTGGGAGGCACACGGCTTATAATCCAGTGGATAGGCAATGGTGAACTCACAAAGGCAAAGAACGTGTATCAAGGTCAGACTAGGTCCCAAGTGTCATATCCTGGTCGTCAGAGGCACCTTAAATAGGCATCGAGAGAACATCCTCTGTGACTTCGATGATCGTATGTCACCGTAACCCGATGATTGTTCAACCAATGGTCTAGGCTTGAGTAAATACAGACATCCCAGTTGTAACTGTTATATTGCTGACTGCGGCGTAAAACAATAAACAAACAAGACGAACTTGCGGAACAACAGTGCAATCATGCTCATTGAATCACATGTCAATGACAACAGCACAAAGGCAAGATGTCAACTTTTTTGTTATTAAACCAACAATATTAAACAAAATCAATAAATTAGATGTCAAGAGTAACAACATAAAGGCAAGAAATCCATTCACTTTTTAGTTATTTTTTTATTTCTGCATTGGAGGCAATAGGCCCACGTACATTTGAAAGAAATAAGTACGTTTTACAAGAGGCAAGCGCATTTGTGACAATTATTGATTTGACAGTGACAATTTTGATAATCGTATACTCAGGTGTTTTTTTAAATATTTGGCGACATTCGTAAGTACAAAATGATAATTACAGTTAAATAGCCTTGTTGGCTTTTCTTTGTGACACCTCGAGCGCTGGAATCCACAGCAGCCTTGAGGTCGTCGCTGGTCAATACATATATATATTCTTACATGTTTGGGGAAATGTTCTTCAAGCAAATGAACAATCGGGTGTTCTGTAACTTCTTTTGAGTAGTATATATTATGCATAATATGTACAGACAATATTTAGGAAATGTATATCAACAAGATAACAAAGGACATATTAGCAGGTCTGATGTCAAGCATGAGTGTGAGTGAGTATGGTTTTTACGCCGCTTTTAGCAATATCCCAGCAATATCACGGCGGGGGACACCAGAAATGGGCTTCACACATTGTACCCAGATGTCAAGCATGTAAGCTGAAACACGATCGTATGTTCAGAAACGCAATAAGTCATGAGACATTATCATTGCGCACTGTCCTCGACGCAATGAAAACACATGCAAACATGGCACAGAACCAATGACATACCCCTAATATATAACATAATGATTAGTGCACCAGCAGTAATAACATTGCCATGGCGAAAAGAGACATGACAGGTTGGTATGCCGAGTTGCCGCCGACGGTGGTGCTCTGACCTGCTAGACACATCTTGGGCCGCTGTGAGGTGAGGACCTTGCTGTAGGAGGATTTGGTTGACGTCTTGCAGGTGTTCACGGACTGCACCAGACACGTGTTACGGTCAGCCGTGTCTCTAGAATGATTAAGTATTTTTGCTGAATAAACTATTTAAACCTGCTTTCTCATTGATATTTTATGAATCGGAGATATTTCTGTGTCGCTACAAAATTGTGATGGTCTATACACCTTAAAATACATAATGAATGTATTATGCATATTTTTAAAGAACTTAAAGGTCTTTCAGTCATGACTAGTGTTTAAACTTTATACACTTCCACAAAATTCGACTGACCAAAGTTCGGTATCAGTATACTAACCAGATAATAGTTCAGAAAGGGGAGAATAAATCAAATATTTTCAGTCCCGCTGACTGCGCCCATTTAAGAACATATCCTTCAAGGCAGCGTTTATTTATAATCGTTCATGTACTACACGGATTGAAGTGCGTGAGTTAGAAGGTAACAATGCACTTTGATACTCGAGATGTAATTCAACAGAATAGACAGTTAAGGATACATTAATAAACGGATACAAACAGACCTAGGGAATCTATTAAAACAAATCTGTTTGTTTTGATTAACGGAATAGCTCAATGATGATTTCATTCAGACTTATTTAGCCATGTTAGTACAGTTTATCTAATATAACTGCCAGCGATCCCGGGAACATATAGAGAATCTCACCCGAGTGTCTTTTGATGTCAAATATATCAACACGAGTTGATAAAAGTGGAAAAATTCCGAGGCTTGCCGAGGATTTTTGCCACTTTTATCAACGAGTGTTGATATATTTGATATCAAAAGACACGAGGGTGAGATTTTATTTATCATCCAACATCATTCTTCCAGCTTTTTCAATTTGTAGACAGTAATTAGCAGTGTTTTCAGTGTAAAAAGTACTGCTAACAGCTTCAGTAGCAGAGCCATTGGTGATGTCATTTGATTGTGACGTCATGGTAACCGGTGACGTCACAATGGTCTGCAAAGCATTGTGATGTAATTTCACTGCAGCGATATGTACAGTGTAGATATCGCTTGATCTCATCCAAGCCATATCTCCTGTGGAAGCCAGTTTTGGATGATAAGTAGCAAATAAAACAACAATTGTACTGAAGAGATTTCATGAAGGATGCATTATGCTGTGTACTCACTGACACAAATGCTTGAGAATACTCCGGTGAGACACTGAGCGACGTTTCCTGCCGGCATTACAGGCTGATTTCGTTGCTGCTACAACACAACCTGCTTCAAACTCTAAAACCAAACACACTTACTGTAATAGACGTCTGACATAGTACATCAACATGCTGATTTTATTATGATTAATAAAATACAATTATCGTTACATCTTGTGAATGTTTGGATCGTGCTCTTCTTGTTTCGTGAGCATAACGTTTTCCATGTTTTTATGCTAATCCAAACAACTATTGGTCACGCTTGTACAATTATGATTGTATATTTTTATAACGTATCAGACCGACTTACCTGTTATTGTTTTACAGAGATTCCCCAAACCAGCCTGCACTGTCTGTATGTCGGGTACAGTGGGCTTAAGGCTGTCTACGCTGCATTCACTCTGTACAGACAGCGTACAGTTGACCGCGTCCCGATGCATGGATAATTCACTGTATGTAAAGAAACAAATATATACTAGTACTCCATATAAAGATTACCCAAAGAAATCCTTAACCATGTTGATAATAAACCTAACTCTTTGATATTAATCAAAATGCATGTCCTCGATTTATAACGAAATTCAAGTTAACAAAACCCATCAGGGTCCCTGTAGTAACTCACACGTGGTAAAATTTGACTTTGCCGCTTCCGCTATTGTTGGCCTTTCCTAAAGGAGTGGCTAAGTATTACCTGCCCTTAGTATCAGGGTGAAATACCTTAGGATTTGGGTTTAAATATTCAACCCAGGTACTCGACGGAACGAACGAATGCTTTAATAACTAAGCTATTCCATCACCCTTACCTAACTCAGATTAAATTACAAATATCTCAGACATCAATCTTTATACCTGCATGTAACTGCCAATATCACCCATGAGTAATGACTTTACGATATTTGCATTTCAGCACTGTAGCTATTCTCTATGTCTGTTTTCGGTCTAACCCTAATACTAAATCCCCTTGCATGGCCATGAACAGAAACACTTCTATTTCTCGTTTAGACCTTGAGTTGACCCTTGGTCATTTAAATTTGTCATTCCTCTCGTCGTGATATTGCTGGAATATTGCTAAAAGAAGCGCAAAATCGTACTCACACACTTACCATCTTAACCATGAACGTGTAACACTTATTTATGACCACAAACATATTACAAAAAGTAAGTGAGGATGGTTTTACGCCGCTTTTAGCAATATTCATGCAACATCACGGCGAGGGACACCGGAAATGGGCTCTACACATCGTGCCCATGTGGGGAATCAAACCCGGGTCTTCGGCATGATGGGTTAACACTTTTACCATTAGGCTCACAAATAGCATGTGCTGTTCCAGATCAGGTCCAGCTATATATTTCCCATGCAGTATAAAGACTTTCACTGGTTCAAATTGAAACGTTCAAGTTGTAAGTGAAAAAATCCAAGTCGCAATAGCTTTTCCCTTTGAGCATGTATGGTGTCACTGAAATGTCGTTATTGGTTTCAATGAAAATGGTTCCTCGGATTTAGCCCTGATGAAATACAAAATCTTTATGGAACGTATATACCTGTTTGCGGCTAAGGACTATTATGTTTGAATAAGTGATCAGTACCTGCACATTTGTTGACTGTGATCGAGGGTGATTGTTCTAAGAATGTACTCGCTGTACTGCTCGCTAGTGTCGAAATCTGGAATGGTCAGCGTGATGCCAGCGTCTCCAAGACAGTTAAGGTAGCCCCTTCTCACTCCCCACTTGCTGGAACAATCTACTGGCAGGTTCCTATCTATTCCCAGACTTCCATCTGGCGAAGAGAGCATTCATAAATATCTGCAGCGGAGACAAAAGATCATACGGGGAGACCACCATCGTCAATACTTCAAGGGTTTTTTATACACTACCTATCCATCACTCGTGAATACATACGGCCGCTTTGTGGTGTAGTCACTCCGTTTAACCAACGAATCATGTCACGGCCTGGTTCCAGCGAGAGGGACACTGGTGAGTGTACGGACCAATGAGCTCTCAGCTTACACTCCGCACGTGGCAATATTTCACGTGCAACGTGTGCTACAGTATTGCTGTCGTACTCACTACATAATGTTCAAGCACAGTCGTCACCGCTCGCCCCTTTCCGTAACCTGCAAGAAGACTCGTCCCCCTCTCGATGAATGTTATGTGCGAAAATACGACAAACCAATCAGAATGCGCGTTTATGATTTCGAGTTCTTTGTCAAATAGTCCCTCAGAAATAATTTTTGATTTTACATATGTCTTGCATCTAAATATATACCCAAGACACAGTTAAATGTGTTCAATCATACTGTATAATTCCGCACGTCCCGATGCCCTTTAAATTGCATCTGAAATATATATAATATATGGGGAAATGGCCATGAGAGGGGCACGAGTCGCTATTCGGCTTGTCCCGGAATAACACGAGTTGGTCACGAATGATGAAAGGGGCACGAGTCGCTATTCGGCTTGTCCCGGAATAACACGAGTTGGTCACGAATGATTCAGGCACTTGCGCTCTTTTGACGTCCATGAGTTACTGATGGCTTCTTCCATTGTTTGACTGGATGTACACACGCGGCACTATTACACCGCATTTCGACCGTATGTATACACGGGTGCTGGAGGAACGTGTGTACGAACATATGAGTGAGTGAGTTTGGTTTTACGCCGCTTTTAGCAATATTCCAGCAATATCACGGTGGGGACACCAGAAATGGGCTTCACACATTGTACCCATGTCAGGAATCGAACCCGGGTCTTCGGCGTGACGAGCGAACGCTTTAACCACTAGGCTACCCGATCTCCCCACAAATGTATGAAGACTGGAAAACCCGAAAGACGAATACACACGTAGGAGTCTGTTCTGTGGAAATTTCAGCAATCTCATTAAAATCAGACCTTAGTTCTCGCTACCGCTAAACAAAGATCTGAAGACATCCCATTAGGGCTCACGTCAGAACGACCTTTCATCCGACCAATCCGTGCGTCGCTTACCAGATTATGAAAGTGACAGTCGCAATGTGATTTCTAATCATGCAATCTCGAAAACTTTAACATGGGGTATTCCGAACGATAGTTACGGGTTTAACGACTGAATTCTTACAATCTAGACCATCTATTAGCCATTCCAGAATGTTTTTTTGTTCAGGTTTCAAATTTGTAATCGAGAATTTGTCAAAATAGGTTTCGAAGCGTAGTCGCCAATTTGAAATTAGTGTCGTAAAGCACGAGAAAGCTGCCTTCTGATTGGTCATTCCATTGGTCGGTCAAAGTTCGCGCAAGGTCGGTCTGACGTGACCCGTAATGGGATGTCCTCAGATCTTTGTTTAGCGGTAGCGAGAACTAAGATCTGATTTTAATGAGATTGAAATTTCAGTCATGTATAAACGTGCCTGAGTCGTATGTCCATAAAAATGCGCAGTATTCGTGGATGTGACAAGTATTTAGTCCAAGACACAATCATTATTCATTCATGAGTTACCCCAACACTATCCGACATGTATAGCGTTTTGTGGCAGTATATATTGTAAGTTTATTTCCAATGATTGTTTATTTCCGATGTAACTACAAAAAGGCGTCGAAATACCATTGCCATGCACTAATTCTTACCAGTAAAATTTCTACAAATTTCTGGGTCAGGGATTGACATTTCATGTTGCTGTACAGCTGCATCGCCACACGACTTCAGGTGCTTCTTGCCACACAGACGAGCCAGCACGTAGATCCTGCATTGACAAACAGATCATAGTCTTAGACTGTCATCACCCCATTTCACCAAGGGGTCAAAGTTTACTATCTAGCTCACTGTAGGTTTTTCCAGCAATAATAAGGTGACACGCCATGATAGATATATTGTTGGCGTTAAATCTGACTCCTCATACTTCCACTTCGATGTCCGGCATTTATATGATCTTACGTAGTAACAGCAACAGACGTTAAGGTTTTGATAGAAGTAATGGTATTAGCAGCAGAAGTTAATACAGTAGTTGTGGGAGTAGTTGTGGCAGTGGCAGTGGTAGTGGTAGTGGCAGAAGTAGTAGTAGTAGTAGTAGTAGTAGTAGTAGTGGTAGTAGTGGTGGTAGTAGTAGTAGTAGTAGTAGTAGTAGTAGCAGTAGTAGTAGTAGTAGTGGTAGTAGTAGTGGTGGTAGTAGTAGTAGTAGTAGTAGCAGCAGCAGTAGTAGTGGTAGTAGTAGTAGTGGTGGAAGTAGTAGTAATAGTAGTAGTAGTAGTAGTAGTAGTAGTAGTAGTGGTAGTGGTAGTAGTAGTAGTAGTGGTGGTAGTAGTGGTAGTAGTAGTAGTGGTAGTAGTGGTAGTAGTAGTAGTGGTAGTAGTAGTAGTGGTAGTAGTAGTGGTTGTGATCGTAGTTGTGGTAGTAGTATTAGTGGTAGTAGTAGCAGTGGTAATAGTTGTGGTAGTAGTCGTAGTGGTAGTAGTAGTGGTTGGTTGGTTTGTTGTTTGCACTAAGCAATATTCCAGCTATATGACGGCGGTCTGTAAATAATCGAGTCTGGACCAGACAATCCAGTGATTAATATCATGAGCATCGATCCACGCAATTGGGATCGATGACATGCATCAACCAAGTCAGCGAGCCTGACCACCCGATCCCGTTAGTCGCCTTTTACGACAAGCATAGTCACCTTTTACGGCAAGCATGGGTTGCTGAAGACCTATTCTACCCCGGAATCTTCACGGGTCAGTAGTAGTGGTAGTAGTAGTAGTAGTAGTAGTGGTAGTAGTAGCGGTAGTAGTAGCAGTGGTAGTAGTAGTGGTTGTGGTCGTAGTATTGGTAGTAGTAGTTGTAGCGGTGGTAGTAGTAGCAGTGGTAGTAGTTGTGGAAGTAGTCGCAGTGGTAGTAGTAGTGGCAGTAGTAGTGGTAGTGGTAGTAGTAGCAGTGGTAGTAGTAATGGTAGTAGTAGGAGTAGTGGTAGTAGTAGTAGTAGTAGTAGTAGTAGTAGTAGTAGTAGTAGTTGTTGTTGTGGTAGTAGTGGTAGTGGTAGTGGTAGTAGTAGTAGTAGTATTAGCAATGGTAGTAGTAGTAGTAGTAGTAGCTATTACTGCTCTCACGCCAGTTCCTATACACTCGGTGGTGATAGATGAAGCCTACATTTTTCAGGAAATTATCAGCTTGTAAAACATCTTTGCGACTACATATCATTCACCATTTGAATGGTCCTACTGTTTATCAATAGGAAAGTTATGTTTATCACATTACTTAAAAAATGCTTAATAAATAATTACTTAAATCAAAGGCAGGACGTAAGGGCCTGCTGAAATTTAAAACTATCAGCCCGAGAACATATCTTTCGTCCTCGGGCCTACGGGCCGATGTCTATTTCGAACACTGAGTAGTAGTAGTAGTAGTAGTAGTAGTAGTAGTAGCAGTAGTAGTAGTAGTAGTAGAAGTAGTAGTAGTAGTACTAATAGAGGTGGTGGTGGTGGTAGTAGTAGTGGTAGAAGTTGTACTAGTAGTAGTAGTAGAAGTACTGATGATAGAGGTGGTAGTGGTGGTGGTAGTAGTAGTAGTAGTAGTAGTAGTAGTGGTTGTGATCGTAGTAGTGGTAGTAGTATTAGTGGTAGTAGTAGCAGTGGTAATAATTGTGGTAGTAGTGGTAGTGGTAGTAGTAGGAGTAGTGGTAGTAGTAGTAGTGCTAGTAGTAGTGGTAGTAGTAGTGTTAGTAGTAATAGTTGTGGTCGTAGTAGTGGTAGTAGTAGTTGTAGTGGTGGTAGTAGTAGCAGTGGTAGTAGTTGTGGAAGTAGTCGTAGTGGTAGTAGTAGTGGCAGTAGTGGTAGTGGTAGTAGTAGCAGTGGTAGTAGTGGTAGTAGTAGTGGTAGTAGTAATGGTAGTAGCAGTAGTAGTAGTAGCAGCAGTAGAGCTATGGCCACTTACGCGCATGTACTCCGAGTGGCCCATTCAACGTCAATGGTGTTGTTACCAGTTGGCACAGGGGGCCTTCTGGTGAAGTTCATGCAATCTTGTATTTCCGTCATCTTAGATATCATACAGTCTCGTATCAAACCTGAAATACAACAATGTGACATAACGGTGAGGTTAATATTGATTGATTGATTGAACATTTCTTCGCGTGTACTTGAGACCTCCATACATTCCCATATAAAACAAGGTCCATGTAAACAGACGAGCACGGCTTGGGCCAACTGGCAGTGCCAGCGATCAAACACCAATTTGTTTGTCTGTTAAATATGAAGATGTATATTTAGCAGTCAATCATTGCCCAAACGGCAATATATTTCCAACATTAATATATACTAATTCTAAACTTATAGATCATGAAACAAAATCCCCTTTTCCAGGTAGCCATTGAGGTCTCATCCCAAACGCCGTTTTTTCCCAAATTTATCTTATGCATCTGTATTATCTTTTCCGCAACCGTTTTTTTTCTTAAACATGTCTCTTAACTAGTAGTTATAGCGATGGTTCTTGGTGCAGAAAGGGAATTTCAAAGTGACGGATAATAGTCACGTGTTCAGTTTGGTCTTCCAGTCATCTGGTATTGCTCGATGGCTTCCTCTAACAAAGGTGTACCTTCTACGTCACTGCACTGGAACTCGAGCTGTTGCCTGATCTTGTCTTCTGAAGGTATCGCAGCCTGGAGTACAGGGTTGGACTTCGTGCACTCCTTCATGATGAAGCCAGTACATAGCGAGGCGCTCACATAGTTCTCCCTGTTCTCGGGTCTAAAACAGATGATCGTTCAGAATGTTATGCCTCAAATTTATAAATGTCCACCATAGAACTTTGTGAAAGTTTGAGGACTTAGGCCTTGAATTGTGTAACCCTGGCCAAACCCTTTTAAGAAAATCGTATGATGCCCCTTGAAATCTTCGTAGAAGGAGTACACTCGGTTTAACCTAATAATTTGTGAAATATATACACCAAAGGCTGGAGCTGCTGTTATAATGTTATAATTGCATATTTCTAAACTAAGTCCTCCAACCTCTCGGACTCCCAATGTTCTCAAATCTCCGCATTGACACTTTTTAAATATCTTCCTTCCCCCCTATTGCCTCGAGTTTTACAAACCCAAACATTAAAAACACGAAATAATTATTCTTCACATCCTATTCTGACACATCCTTCAGCATCGATAAACCGTCTATTTGTGCTCTTCTTTCATTCCACGGGCGACACGAAACAAACTGGACGCCACGTAGTATCCATGTTGAGATTCGAACATATCTCACATTGTTAAACTTGACCTCGATAACATTCATGGAGCCTAGCTATAAAACGGAGCTACCTACTGGCAAAGCATTCTTGTAGTGTTACTGTCCAACTGCGCGACAATGGATTGTATTGCCATTGAAGAGGTCGACGTGTTGGCCAGCAACTCTGGGTCGGGGAGGGTCAGCGGGATGTTGAAGAGATTAAGGCATTTCTGAGACGCCGAGGTGACTGATGCTGTATCGGAGCAGACCACGAGAGCTGAGAAGTTAGGAATGTCTTTTCTGTCGGAATGGATACCTGGAAGAGTAAGAGTGGATGAGTGAGATAGGTTTTACGCAATTTTTACTTACATCCCGGTGTGACAGCTTGGTGTGGGAGCAAAGGCGGAGGTCAGACATTTATCACTTTGTGAAAGCCACAGTACGGTGCTGACAAACCTAGAAACATAATAAGTGGGAACTGGGATTCGAACCCACGATGGTAAGTTTCTGGTACGCATAATTGACGCACTTCTACACGGGGCCACCATGACCCCTCTGTAACAATAGGAAAGGGAGGAAACAACATTTTTTTTTATCAGGCAACAGTTATTTTTCTCAACCCGCGAGTGTTGTCACGATACATCTGACACTCATGCACGTGGCACATTTTTCTATGACCCAACTGGAGAGAGCGTCGCTTTTGAACAGTTTTCAGTTATACCACGGCCTGTCTGTATATTGTGAGAGGAACACTCGACGTTTCTCGCTTTGGTAAAACCCGTGAGCATGGGTGTGGTTATGGGAATCCAAGAATCATAAACAGGGCATTTCTGGAAGTCGAACTAAAAAGACTTCAGTGAGATCTCCATGAAGATGATTGAGTGAGTGGGGCAGGGTTTTCGCCGCGTTTAGCAATATTCCAGCAATAGCACGTCGGGGCTCCATTGCTCCAAGAGAAATCCGCTCCACACATTGTAGTCATGTGGGGAATGGAACTCAGGCCTTCGGCGTTACGAGTGAACGCTTTAACCACTAGGCTACCCAACTTTATCGGAAAGGCGTGTCAGTTCCATAAGATCGAAAAGGGGTGTTGGGTCGAAAGGTGTGTCAGTTCCCTAATATCGATCGAAAAGGGGTATTGGATCGCCAAGGCGTGTCAGTTCCTAAGGTCGAAAAGGGGTGTAGCTCACCAAGGTCGATCGAAAAGGGGTTTCGGATCGCCAAGTCGTGTCATTTCCTAAGATCGAATAAGGGTGTTAGATCAACAAGGCATGTAAGCTCCCTAAGATCGAATAAGGGTGTTAGATCAACAAGGCATGTCAGCTCCCTAAGATCGAATAAGGGTGTTAGATCAACAAGGCATGTCAGCTCCCTAAGATCGAATAAGGGTGTTAGATCAACAAGGCATGTCAACTCCCTAAGATCGAAAAATGGGTCTTGGGTCGCCAAGGCGTGTCAATTCCTAAGATCGAAAAGGGTGAGTGGATTCGAGCGTGAGCCACGGTAACGCGGTATAGCGAGACAGCGGTAGCGCTATAGCGTGGTATTTGCGCTGTTGGTAGCGCGAGAAGCTACGCCCGATAAACTGCATTGTTGCCTTGATGAATTATCTGTGTCAGGTGTATGCAAGCTATGTGCCCTCTATCACTGTTGTTGTGCCTGTAGTCTCACGTAATGTGACGAGGCAAAAGGAGTGGACGTCTAACCGGATGTTTACAAGATACATGCGGGATATCCTGAAACGCACAACGTGCGCACCAAATTCTTATACAACCCATCGCGTTGACGTGAACATATAACGTTGGTATGGAATGAATGCATGTCAAGTAAGGGTTACATGGTGGGACAGTCCTGTATTTATTACGTTGCGTTCTCCCACAGCACACATGTATACATTGTAGTGAGGGAGTGAGTATGGTTTTACTCCGCTTTTAGCAATATTCCAGCAATATCACGGCGGGGGACACCAGAAATGGGCTTCACACATTGTACCCATGTCGGGAATCGAACCTGGGTCTTCGACGTGACGAGCGAACGCTTTAACCACTAGGCTACCCGACCGCCCCTGCACACACTGTAAGTTAATAAGATGAATTGATAGACGTTATTTATATGAGGCCAATTACTTTTGTTTCTTTGAAAGGCATTCAGAAGTGACACACAGATGGAAGAGAATTTATGGATGTCAACTTCTTTATTATGAGGAACACAACGTTTCGGAGTATATACTTACTCCTTCATCAGGTGATTTAATTCTATGAGACAGAGAACAAATGTATGTACCTGCAAGAACAACAAAAGTAATAGATACTATGAATATGTAAAGAAGTTGATATTGTGTTTTAAACCATGTTTTTGTATCTATTAATCACACAGACAGGGTGCATTGTTAACAGGCTACGCTCAAATGATGTGAGATGTATTCTGAATGTCAGATGTCAGATGTCAGATGCTAGTATGTAGCACGGTATAGAGTGAGAGCTGACTACAGCCAACAGTACACTTCCCAATCAAATTTTGATTTCTAAATTTCAGTGTATGCAATTTAATCACCCCAACAGTAACCGTCCGGAATGTGGAGGTTCCGATATGCGGGGTTTCTCTTTTCTTTCACTTTACTTACCTGATGTTGTCACGGTACGTACCTGCCACTAGGCATAACAATGGCACCAGTCGTCCCCACATTACTGTAAGATGGGATCCGTAAACAGTAGTGCTGTCTCGTGGACCCTTGCTTGTTGCTGTAGTCCTGCGATGTGACGGATGTGAGTAAAGCCTGTCCTTATAGACTCCCCATGACACACCATGCAGACATGTGGGATTGCCTGTACTCTCTGCGTCTTACTTGAAATATATAACAGTGAATCGAAACGATAAAAGGGGAGGGTTACTTTATCACAATTAGATCAAGCTATTGTTTAAACGATCAATTATTTTTTTCAGAAAAGGACAGGTGATTGTCAATTGATCATGCCTACACTATCATCAACACAATTTTTTTTTAGTTAATGTATACATGGAATTGATAGTACTATTGTTGTTTTGACGCTCAAATGAATGATTTCATATTTTGTAAGGCATGCAGGTGTCGCCAGCGGGGTCCGAACCCGCATTGTATATGAGGACGTGACATGGGACAAGACCATATAAAATAGCGTGAAATTTACTATTTAATACATTTTATATTTGTATGATCCTTAAAGGCTAAACAAATATGTAACGTGTTGTGTTTCGTTTTGTTACGATATTCATGTAAAGTGATTAGAAAAAGACAAAGAGAAGAGGATATTTCCTTGTTCAGGTCCCTCTATTCACAAAGTCACCATCAACTTGATCATAAATTGGCCAGCGATTGATGCAATACTCGTGTAGGGCCCTACTGACTTGTGAAGAACCTTCCATCAAAGATTGTAAAGACAAATTCGCGACGGATCAGAGAACACAGTCCACGTGCATCACACGTAAGCGACACACGTGTAGTATTAATACTATGGAGAGTTTGTTCTGGTTTATGCTTCAACTATTTTAAAGTGTGTTTTGTCAAAATCTCAAAGGACGGGTGTCTCGAGTTCTTCTCCTTAACCGAAATATTGTTTCTCTTTCCAAGTCGGAGTTTCCAAGTTTTTAGGTAGTGAATTTAATTGTTACACCTTATATTGAGTAATGCCGCATGGCACTGTTGATTAATTAGTTCAGAAAGTAGGCGGATGAGTCTTAAGCTTGACTGCTGAGAACATCCGTCCTGTCCCACACTTAACTACATGTGATGATTGATTGGGATGAGAAGGGCACGGGCATCTTCCTGAGGCAAGGGCGTTAATTGACTATAAAAGTCCAGTTTCCACCCTTGCCGAACTAGGCTGGATTTTCGTGTCTCGATCGAGTTATGTCCCTTCTATGTCCTCCTATTGACCAATCAGATTTCATCTCTCATATCACTAGCATTTGCTTCAAAGCAAAATGGCGGAGCCCAGTCAAGAGGATCTGATCGATAATCAAGATCTCTATGGTAATAAAACGGGTCTTACCCCGCTAAGTGCAACAGATCACTTGAGCACCTTAATTGAAAAGATTAAAAGATTTGCAAAATATCTGTCGAAGCCCAGGTGACGGTACGCATGTTTTGCAAATCCTGCAGTCGGCCGAAATCTGCTCATTGAAATCCATGTTGTTTACGAACCAGGCTGTCAAAATGGATTCCTGTTGACACCCGTGAGATGAATGGGATTTTTTCACTTGCGATACCCAAGGGTTTAATACATATGAAAAAAATTGCATGATTATGACACAGACCCCTTTCTTTTGGAAACAAATGGCCAGGGATACATTGCAACTGCGACTTTAAGTCATTTGCAGGTGGTGGATAACAACAAAGAAGTCCTCGGGGTCAGGATGGATATGATTGTTGAAAGTACGAGGATCCCTGATCAAGATCTGTGTGTGGATTGTTCTTGCAAAACTGGGCCCCGATTCATAGTTTTCAACCCAGTCAAACCGATTTGGTTTCAAATTGTAGAAGGTTTATGAGGCATCAAGTGGGTAGTGTCCTCTTTCGTCAGTTAGTTGAGTGAGATGAACCAACCAAGCTTGTTGATGGATTCTTGTCCCGATGTGGTCTTTTGAATCAGGGAAACAGTGTCTTTCTCGACAATTCTTATACATCACGCGAACATGTCAAAGAACAAGAACTGTCCATACAAATGCCTGTGTCGGGAAGCCTAGTGGTTAAAGCGTTCGCTCGTCACGCCAAAGACCCGGGTTCGATTCCCGACATAGGTAAAATGTGTGTCCCCCGCCGTGATATTGCTGGAATATTGCTAAAAGCAGCGTAAAACCATACTCACTCACTCACTCACTCACACTTCGTGTTGGTCGCGGTGATGTACCCGAGGCCATAAAGGAGTCGTGGTGATGTGCCCGAGGCAATAAAGGAGTCGTGGTGATGTGCCCGAGGTAATAAAGGAGTCGCGGTGATGTGCCCGAGGCCATAAAGGAGTCGTGGTTATGTGCCCGGGGCAATAAAGAAGTCGTGGTGATGTGCCCGAGGTAATAAAGGAGTCGTGGTGATGTGCCCGAGGTAATAAAGGAGTCGTGGTGATGTACCTGAGGCAATAAAGGAGTCTAGGTGATGTGCCCGAGGCAATAAAGGAGTCGTGGTGATGTGCCCAAAAGGTAATAAGGAGTCGCGGTGATGTGCCCGAGGTAATAAAGGAGTCGTGGTGATGTGCCCGAGGCAATAAAGGAGTCGTGGTGATGTGCCCGAGGTAATAAGGAGTCGTGGTGATGTACCTGAGGCAATAAAGGAGTCGTGGTGATGTGCCCGAGGTAATAAGGAGTCGCGGTGATGTACCTGAGGCAATAAAGGAGTCGCGGTGATGTGCCCGAGGCAATAAAGGAGTCGTGGTGATGTGCCCGAGGTTATAAAAGAGTCGTGGTGATGTGCCCCAGGTAATAAAGGAGTCGCGGTGATGTGCCCGAGGTAATAAAGGAGTCGTGGTGATGTGCCTGAGGCAATAAAGGAGTCGTGGTGATGTGCCCGAGGCAATAAAGGAGTCGTGGTGATGTGCCCGAGGCAATAAAGGAGTCGTGGTGATGTGCCCGAGGCAATGAAGGAGTTGTGGTGATGTACCTGAGGCAATAAAGGAGTCTGGGTGATGTGCCCGAGGCAATAAAGGAGCCGTGGTGATGTGCCCGAGGCAATAAAGGAGTCGTTGTGATGTGCCCGAGGCAATAAAGGAGTTGTGGTGATGTACCTGAGGCAATAAAGGAGTCGTGGTGATGTGCCCGACGCAATAAAGGAGTCGTGGTGATGTGCCCGAGGTAATAAAGGAGTCGTGGTGATGTACCTGAGGCAATAAAGGAGTCGCGGTGATGTGCCCGAGGCAATAAAGGAGTCGTGGTGATGTGCCCGAGGTAATAAGGAGTCGCGGTGATGTGCCCGAGGTAATAAGGAGTCGCGGTGATGTGCCCGAGGTAATAAAGGAGTCGTGGTGATGTGCCCGAGGTAATAAAGGAGTCGCGGTGATGTGCCACAGGCAATAAAGGAGTCGGGGTGATGTGCCTGGGGTAATGAAGGAGTCGTGGTGATGTGCCCGAGGTAATAAAGGAGTCGCTGTGATGTGCCCGAGGTTATAAAAGAGTCGTGGTGATGTGCCCGAGGTAATAAAGGAGTCTGGGTGATGTGCCCGAGGCAATAAAGGAGTCGTGGTGATATGCCCCAGGTAATAAAGGAGTCGCGGTGATGTGCCCGAGGCAATAAAGGAGTCGCGGTGATGTGTCCGGGGTAATAAAGGAGTCATGGTGATATGCCCCAGGTAATAAAGGAGTCGCGGTGATGTGCCCGAGGTAATAAAGGAGTCGCGGTGATGTTCGTGCAAACCTAGCTGCCACCTGTCAGTGTTTCTGAGAAGCAGTCAACCTCCTGTCTGGAGGACAAAACAATTTTCACTGCATCAGTCAAAAGTTTATGTGGTTAATAAACAGGATCGTCGCAACAATTACAATGTCAGTCACCTCAAGCGTTACCAAGCCAATACGTGTTGTTGACATAAAAATAAGATGATTGGAGTTAACTGTAGCTAATTTATTATGTATACTCAGGAAGTCACTCTGATGGAACAAGAAAACGTTATGTTACCTTGTCAATGTCTTACACTGCAAGTTCACACTGCCACAGGCCTGGATAAATATTCCTTTTACAACCAATACATCTTTTAATAATATTGAAGAAATAGACAGTACAAAACGGTTTCAAAATTTCACGGTTTTGTTTTGCCAACATGTTGCCAATAGCTTTCATCCCCAAATTACTTCAGCAGTGGGGGTAACAAGGCTTGAATATGCACGTCAGTCTCAGCAGACCATATGGTCTCTGGGCTAAGGTTTCACCTGCTTAAGGTAAGTGTAGTCCGAATCATCATGGAAAGACATGTTTCGATTTTTGGACTGTTCAAAACATTTTTCAACATCAAAATTATTCTCAAGTCTTTCATGGGCATTTAGTAGTTGGTAGAACATCGACTATGATGAAGTTGTTATGGTGAACCTCATTCATCTGATGAAGTGGCAAGGAGTTGCCAGAAATGTCGTTACAAACAATAAAGAAGTGATTATTCATAAACGTTTCTTCATATCTTCATAATTATACTTATGCCAAGATGCGGCTAGATGTAAATGCTCTTTGTCATGTTTTGGTCGTTAGTATGGCTAATGGGTAGTTGCTGAGTTCGTGTTTATACAGAAACTACTTTTGTATTCGACCAATCCTAGTTTTATAAGAAACCGCAAAATAGCTACTTCCGGTTAAGAAAGATTACGCACTTGTTTTAAAATTACAGCCTATTTTCTCGTTATTTTTCACAACGATGAAAATGGCCATCGTTATATATACATGATATGATGCGCATATTAAGTGTGCATTTTTTTAGGCCTACGTATCGCTTCGGTTGCACCTTTTGTTGATATATACGCGGGCCTGTCTGCTAACTTAGCTTTGTTTCCACTTTTTACCAGGCAGAGAATTGATACAATGGAAGAACCTGCATCGTTGCCACAATCGGGTAATATTATATATTCATATATCATTGAAACTGATTTTTAAATTCTCTCAAGATCGCTGCGGAACATGTATTATTTACCGTTATTACGCTAATGTGAGGACCATATATGGCAGGTTTCAGTCTGGTTTTACTTACTGGTGTTTTGGCTGCCACTGTAGTGTCAGTTATTTTTAAATTCCGATTCATGGATTAAGATTGGAGGTAATTTCCAATATATAGTAAATACAGTCTCCAAATCATTTTGACGGGAGCTGAATGTTAGGGTATCCCTCTGAGTTTCATGTGTCACTAAAAGTATATTTTACAAGCTGAATAGGCTTGAACACCGCAAGACCAAGTCATCACCACAAATGACAAACTCATTGCTGGCTGTACATACATTTATTTCATCACAATGCAATATTCCAGTCCCTTATCTATTCCGCAGCCACAAAAAATTGAAAAATTCTGTCATTTTCATACCAATTCTGCTATCAAATTTTCATGGGCCCTAATTCTGCACACAATTCTGTTAACTTTTAAGTTTAGTTTTCGTGAATTTCATGGTTTTGCACCTGTTTGACTTGTAGCAGACGTTGTTAGGTAGAAAAGCTTATTGAAGTGAATCTCGAGATCACTGGTGTAAACATACAGACATGCATTTTCAGTAAGCATTAATACAACTCCAAAATGAAATAAATATCCGTTTTCACATTTAATACCAGCTTTCGACTCACATGTTAAAATTCTGTGTATTTGATGATTTCAGCCGAAAATGCGATTTTCTGCATTATAGGTACATGTCTGCACCAAGTGAGCATTGCTGCTAAATATTCTGATCACGGAATACAGCAGGGATTGATATCCATATTATTCATGGCACAGACTGAGGGTATCAAAATGCACTGATACTTTGATGAATTGTTACAGCCTTCATTGTTGTGCAGGCTTGTTTGGTCTGAAGTTTGTCATGTATTTTGTTGTTAAAGTTCATCATTTTTTCAGGTTCATCAACCCCAGTGACCCCCCAGCCCTCTGCTACACCATCACCTGCCCAAACACCAACCCAAACTCCACTGTCATCAGTAACCAACACACCAAGCCCAGCAGTGAAGTCTGGGAGAAGGATGCCTATCCTTGACCCGAGGAATTTGATACCAATTCGGAGGAGCTCGACCAGATCAATCAAGAGGAAAAAGTTTGATGATGAGGTTGTTGAGAGTAGTCTGGTCAAATCAGATCGCGGGCGAATCAAGATAACCCCACCACAGCCAGAGAAGCAGGAACCAGTTGTGCCGGAAGAGAAAGCACCAGCTCCTCCGCAACCTGAGAAGAAAAAGGAGCCACCGAAGAGACCTGTTGGAACAAAAACTATGGTATATACATGTAATCAGGTTTAATTTTTATGTCATGATTATGAATGCACTGCCATTAGTCACTTTAGTGTTGATTAGTCATGGAATTGTCATGACTTTTAAGATCTTGAACAGTGGGGATTATAGTGTAGAACTGGTCCCTGTTAACTTATGCCTTTTGACTCTGATGGATATGGTGGTCTGATGGACTTTGCTGATTGCATGTCCTTATGCCTTCATCATAACATGGTGTGGATCATTTCATCATGCTTTCAGTCACTTGTCCAGACTTTAATTATTTTACACATTGCTGCTATATTCTGTGAATTGGAATATTGCAGACTGTTGAGTGAAGCAACATTCACTCTCACACTGAAAACCTTGTATAGATATGAATATATTGGCAACCCTAATTCTCATTGTAAGACAGTACACCTGGTTGGAAGAGGTCTTCTACAACCCATGCTTGCCGTAAAAGGCGACTATGCTTTTCGTAAGAGGTGACTAAAGGTGGTCAGGCTCGCTGACTTGGTTGAAGCATGTCATCGTACCCAATTGTGTGGATTGATGCTCATGATGTCAATCACTGGATTGTCTGGTCCAGACTCGATTATTTGCAGACCACCGTCATATAGCTTAGCTGGATTATTGCTGATGATGGTAGAGAGGTAGAAAAGATCCCAGTATATTAACCCCTGATCAAGTACTGGATCGCTGCCTTGCATGTTCAGTATGACAAGGTGCATTCCTCATGATATGTATCTGAATTTGACCAATGTGCATGCAAGTGTCACCCACTACATGAGTTATGAATGATGATACTGAATATTCTGTTTCAGCCAACCAAGTCATCCTCCTCTAAACGAAACAAAAAACAAAAGGTAAGGAAGGTATATTGTATGTGTTTGAGTTTGTGGTGTACGTAGAGGTTATCACATGAGTGTGTTTTGTGATGGTAGATATCCTTTATTAGGAATAAACATTTATTCACACTATGCATATCTTCCTTCTTCTTTTTATGAGAAAGAGAATGATGTGACAGAGGCAATGATGCGATTGTACTGTGTTGGTCGCAATGCATGGGATCATAATTCGTGACCCATTTGTTTGGATGGTAACCAAGGTGATGCTGGGAGACTTTGTTCAAGCACGTTTTTACATAAGGATGGAAAGAAGAAATGCAGAGTGTGAGATAGGATAAGTATATAAATATACAATTTAATGTAAAATTTACAATTATCTGAATGTCACGTTGCTGTCCCATTACCATGTTTACTAGGTTTTTACATGTGACTTGGTATTAAAATCTACTACACAATCTAAAGCAGAATATTGCAACTGAGATAAACAATTTGATTGAGTTTATTTTTGAGGGCTGCTTATTTTGTTTTTCATTCATACTCAGTGTTTGGAGTGAAGGGGTCCAGGGGTACGTGAGGCTTTCTCCCATGTTACCATGGTTACTTGAATCTGGGAACCCCAAAATCCTTTTCTTTTAATATTTGGGCTATGACAAGGACCCCTTGACTTCCATGTTCAATTTGGAACACTGGTCTTTCTCCTGATCCTAGTTCATTGAGAAAGGGTAAAAATCATGAACTATGCTTGTTTAACCCTCACAGAACACGGACACTCAAACCAGTCATTTTGGACGCATAGATTGGTATTATCCTATGCGAGTAAGAACTTGTGACAAACAGTATTTCTCTCTGTATTACAGACACAAGCTCCAGCTTCGACCAAAGACCTCGGGCGATGGAAGGCTCAGGATGACCTGGCCTTAATAACTGCAGTTCAGCAGGTATGTACATCAGAACTAACCAATTTGACATCATATACAGTGATCTTCATCTCTGCATATAAAACTCTGTCTAGCATAACAGGAAACACTATTTAAATGGTAAATCATCGTTCACCCGAAGAGATTTGATGTACTGTGCAGAATACTCGAATGATGTGGTTTTCTACTGCTCATAATACTTGAAAAATCTTTATGCTCCAAAATACTCGTAAACAGTCAATTTTTAGACATAAGTGTGCAGTTGAATTGATGCGATGAAAGACCATTCACATTAATTTCACTGTTGCATTGATTGCAAGATTTACAGTGCCGATTGAAACATGATATTGAAAGAAATAACAGCAGTTGCTATTCAGTACTGTTTTTCGCCAATACAAAAGCTGCTGGGTGCCACGTAAAAAGATGCTGTAATGGATAAATGTTATTCTCAAAAACTGAACTATGATCTTGATGATGACTGAAGTTTTTGTCACGGGTTCGCAAAATATTTTATCAATGTTCTTGAGATATCAATGTAACCATATATTCTCGGCCACTATTTATTCAACTTAGTGTTACAAGACCTATTTCGTTTCAGACCAATGACCTGACTGGTGTTTACCAGGGAGTGAAGTTCTCCTGTAGATTTACTCTGAAGGAAATCCAGGAGAGGTGGTACGCCTTGCTGTATGACCCAGTCATTTCAAAGTAAGTGCATGAGTGAAGCATTTGGACAGGCATATCTGATTTCTGTATCTTGAAATAACACAAAAGAGGGGAGATCTGAATGCAAAGAAATAAAGCTATGCTGTTATGTTCTTGAGGATTTTTTTTTACATCTATGGCACCTGCACCCAAATGATGTACTGTGAAGGGCATATTGTTTTTCTGTGGCAGTTTCCTTTTCCAAGATAACAATTTTTGAATCAAGGTGGTAAAAAATGAAGATAAATCGTGTATGAAGCTGACATCTGATTGGTTAAAGAACCCATTCATTATTCACTGAGTGCACCTGATGCCATCTTGTATTATGTCTCTGAAGGTATCCACATGGCTTTATGCAAAGGGTTATTTTTATAGGATTGCAGTCACCTGATTACAAAAATTTCAAGGTAATAATTAGTCTGTTGCATCTCTGTGTTCATATTACTGCAAAATTATAACAATCTTGCACTTCAAACAGTATTAGGAAGGGTTTTTTTCTCTCAAAACTTAACAACACAAAGAACAGCTCAGAGCTACTTCCCTTTGTTGACAGGACTTGCTGATCATTCAGTTTGAAAAACGATTTATTTCATATTCTACTTTGAATTTGGAAAATACATGATTTTGATTGGTCAATCAGAGGTATCAAATCACAATGAAGCCCGTCTAATTGAAACAGCCGATTTGATGGCCACATCACCATGTTCAACCCGGAAGCTAATATTTTTAGAATAGTACTTCTTTTACAGTCATTGTAGGTAGGCATGTTTAAGTAATCTTATGTATCTGGTACTATAATAAGCGACAAAGTGCAAAGTTGCGGGTACTACAATATTCAAAGGATGTGTAGCAATACATTTCATGCAGATAGATAGAAATCTGCAAAGAGAATTTTTTTTAAGATTTGAGGACGACAGAGAGCTTGCTGTTCAGTACTTTTCTATATGCGACTGTGATGTATATCTTTTGTGTCACAATGAGCAATATGACATCATAATAGTGACGTCCAGTGTGGAACGAAATCTTTGTTTACATAAGGGGTGCCCACCTCATGTTAGCTTACAAAGTTACCGTGCTACATGCTTTCAGTGCCTGTCATAAGTTTTTGTGAAATAGTACGGTGCAAACCAACTGCTTGAGCATTCAGATCGCCGTAGTTTGTTCAAAGGCCGTTGTCAGTGATTCCGGAAATTTTAATCGACAACCCTCTCAAAATACTTGACTCAACCCACACCACTTCACTCAATATATTTACAAACACCAAAGAGTTTGTGTTTTATTTAGTCATTTTAGAATGGAAATAAACAAAATGTGTTTCAATTTAGAACTTGGTTACCTCTAGATTTTATCTGTTGCGCATTCGGGTTCCAAATTCTTATTCAAATGGTTAAATCTACAGGAAACCTAGCTCTACACTGAAAACACAGTATGTTTCTCTCCTAAATAATCATTCAGATTATGATCATTCATATCTCATCAGGGTGGTCGGGTAGCCTAGTGGTTAAAGCGTTCGGTCGTCGTGCTGAAGACCCGGGTTGGATTCCCGACATGGGTACAATGTATGAAGCCCATTTCTGGTGTCTCCCGCCGTGATATTGCTGGAATATTGCTAAAAGCGGCGTAAAACCATACTCACTCACTAATATCTCATCACCATTCACTTGCTTGGTATGGCAAATACTGATGCAAGTGGCATTAGACCAGTTTACCTGACTCACATTGGATATGTCAGTTATTTTGGTTATTCAAAAACACTATCTGAATATTTGGCCATGTGTCCAGCATGGTTAAGCAGGTCCTGAATAAATGTATGGTGGTGAACAGATATAGAGGTTATCACGCGAGTGTGTTTGGGGATGGTAAATATCCTGCATTAGGAATAAACATTGTATTTAGCGAGCCTTGGCGAGCTAAATACATAGTGTTTATTCCTAATACAGGATATTTACCATCCCCAAACACACAAGCGTGATAACCTCTTTATCATATAATTCTTTAATTCTGTGCTTCAAAAGCGCTTTCCCTCTCTCACAAATATTACCGAAACATTGTGAGTTTTCCTGGAATGCGCGCATTAATATTTATTACGTCATAGGGTAAGTGATGTGTCAGTCGGAGAGTGACAGTAGCCAATATAGTTCCAACTGAAATCTGTTTCTTATCCAGTGGCGAAGCAACATATACGCAAAACAACAATTGTTTTTGATTGCCTTTCGCGGCAATCAATCGGTCTGTCTGCTAGACTAACTATCCTTTGTCAAAGGGAAGCTACTCTAACCCTAGTCTATGAGACGTCACGGCCACGGTCAGACGTTGTTGATAGTCGGTCTGTCCTGTCATAACGTTAAGAAGTGTAGTCAGATGTACACATAGCAACAAAACGAAACAAGGTAACAATTCAAATATATTTCGGCCAAATCCAACTATTTTTATTTGGGTAGAAGGTTTCAAGCCGCAGAGGTCTACAAGCACAGATCTATATGGCTACTGATCCCGCTTGGCTAGGCCTCGTGCCCTCACAAAATTGTTTCAAAATTTATGTCTCCAAAGTTGCCAAAACTTATAAAATGCCTTAGCTACGTCACAGTTAGACAAGGATTTTCAGTATATTAGATTGTTTTTTTGATAATGATAGCAATTATCCCTGTAGTTTATCCAGATTCCCGATGGTTAATTCTGACAACAGAGCGCTTGGACTGGATCGCGAATGACGAGGGCGACGCCATGTTTGTTTATAAACAGTGAAAGTAGTCCCTACTTGACCTTTGATATTTGCATCTCTATCCGCATATGACCCCAACGGATATCGTTTTTAACCGTTGGCTTTATCCTGCTGAGAAACCTACACATTATATGATAAATGTATGTATCCAGCAGAAATCAGTGCTGTTTCTTGTTTCTAACGTTCAATTTTAGTTGGTCTGCAGATCTGTAAACAGATTTTGGGGAAAAGTCTAAGTTGGACAGTAACAATCTTAATGTTCATGAATCACATTGATGTTGTACAGACTTGCCATTCAAGCCATGAAGACATTACACCCAGACGTGGCCGGAGCAGTTCAAGCTCAAGCCCTCTACAGCACCGACGAGGAGAAACTGCTGGGAAAAATATCATCGGTTAGTTTCATCCTTCATAAGGACGGTGGGGGAACTTTGGAAAATTGAGCTCTAATTTGAAAAACCAATTGGCACTGAAGCCTTTATCAAATGCTACTGTGATTTTATGCATGTTACACACAAGTCACAGAAATAAGAAAAAACATATTTTGTCCTGTTGTTGCTAACTTGGAGCTCATTCATTATTATGTTCCTGAACTATCATTTCAATAACAATACATCGACCTGGGGAGTGAGTGAGTGAGTTGGGTTTAATGCCACTTTTAACAGTATTCCATTTATATCACTGCGTGTCAGCTTAGTGTGGGAGGAAAGCCCAAAGTGATGCAGGTCTCAGACGTTTACCACTTTGGTGAAACCCACGGGTATGGTGCTGACAAACCTAGAAACATAATCAGGGCATACCCGGATTCGAACCCACAATCCTAGGTTTCTTGCGTGCCCAAGGGATGTAACTCTGCACAGTGAATAGCGGCACCTTAGACAACTGGGCCACCTGCCTAAACCAAGTTTTTTATAGGCATTACTTAGAAATTCACGGATGACGAAGAAGACACAATTTATGGCTAACAACTTCTTTATTAACTGTAAAGGTGATGTTTCAGTATAGTCCTAAAAGTATGCCGTTGTCAAGCAAACCAGATATAAAGGACTTCAATTTCAGGATTGAAACTGCTACCAACCAACTGAAACTATAGTTGCATGTGATTTTGACTCCTCTCTTGCCTGTTTGAAGAACACTCAGCCCCAGCCGACGGTGGATGTGTTCGAGGACCTGCTTGACAAAACCCCAGACATCTTTCATCCTGCAAGAACAGCAAAGTCCCTGCACAGCCATTGGTTGCTCATGAAACAGTACCACCTCCTTCCTGACCAATCAGGTGAGAGCTTTATCACTTGTCCTTGAATGTACTCACATTACATTCAAACAATAATTTCATCATACCATTTTAGGGATGATTTGTTCACCTATTTATTCCTCTTTAAGCAGTGGTAGCATTGTTGAGTGAATAGTTTGCTTATTGTACCTCTCTTGTCCAGGACCTGGAAACAGCCAGAAAAAAAGCAATATTTACAGATTTACCCAAAATAAAATACTGGAGCCCATTCTCAAATATATTTTCTCTTGATCATATATTCAAAATAACTGAAAATACAGTGTTTCAATTTATGATAAACTGGTGCAGCCAATTATTTGGTGGTGCAACGTGATTAATTTACTTGGTTGCACCTGGTGCAGGTGGTAAAACAGAATAAAATCATATCCTGATTACATGAACTTCAACATGTTATTGTCTGGCACTGCGTTCATGCACACACAACAATGTGGTCCAACGGTGTATGTTCACAGTTCAACCCATGCCGAGAGGCGACCATGTCCTCAACCTGTCTGATGCAGAGGACATGCTCAATGATGATGATTTGAGGTGAGTTTGTTTTTACCTTATCTATATAAAGTGAAACCTTGTTAGTCTCTACCCCCTTAATCTGGAAACCCCACCTGCTCCATGGTGACTGCTGGGAAAGTACATACACAGAGGCATTTTTCAATTGCTTGGATTCATTCATTTCGAGCCTGTTAGTCCGGATAAGTTCCGGATTGTTTGGTCCTTCCCCGCATGACTGAGAAATGTGAACTCATCCGTGTAGAGAACACCTTCCCACCGTCCAAGGATCCAACACCGATATGTCCTGCACCACAGTATACGTTGTTGTCAGTGTCTATGCATCTTCCCGAGGCAAGTGAGTTAATAAAAGTCCAGTTTCCACCCTTGCCGATCTAGGCTGGTATTATGGAGTTACATTTTGGCTGGACTAACAAGTCTATGCATGGTCCAATCAAAATCGCGCACCGAAATCAAAATTCGGTTCGTAAAGTGTCATGCAGATTTCGGTCGACTGCAGGATTTGCAAAGCATGTGCACCGCTAACTAGTTGTCAACAGATATTTTCTATATCTTTTCATGTTTTTAATCAAGGTGCTCACGTTATTTGATGGACTTCGCAATGTAAGACTCGTTTTATCACAATACAGATCTTAATTATCGATCAGATCGTCTTGACTGGGGGCCACCGTTTTGTTTGAAGCAAATGCAAGTGATACGAGAAGTTGAACCTGATTGGTCAACAGGAGAGGCATAGAAAGGACATAACTCATAATAGCCACTGGTGGCGCTACGATAGAGCCCAGGAATTCCAGCCTAGTTCGGCAAGGGTGGAAACTGGACTTTTAAAGTCAGTTAACTCTCTTGCCTCGGGAAGATGGTGTCTGTGAGTCAGTAGTGGACTGGCCCGTGAAGATCCGGGGTAGATTAGGTCGTCAGCAACCCATTCTTGTCGTAAGAGACGACTATGCTTGTCGCAAGAGGCGACTATGCTTGTCGTAAGAGGCGACTAACGGGATCAGGTGGTCAGGCTCGCTGACTTGGTTGATGCATGTCATCGATCCCAATTGTGTGGATCAATGCTCATGTTGTCAATCACTGGATTGTCTGGTCCAGACTCTATTATCTACAGACTGCCGTCATATAGCTGGAATTTTGCTGAGTGCGACGTTAAACAACAAACAAACAAACCAAACAGTAGTGGACCAGTATGGGGACTATGCACACACAGTCCTAGCTGACGTATTACCCGTTGTACCGTCTGGGGACTGACGATTCCTGTCGTCCATGGATGGTAGTGGCTGTTCTTGACGCTGGCTTCAACCTGTTTCTTAAATGAGTGGGAAAGATGTGGCGATCTTGGGGTCCTGACCCGTGGTTGCCCTGGGTGTGTGGTTGATCACATGTTGTGCCAGTTTGTCGTAGGTGCGGTGATAACCAGATGGCTGTTGAATAGCGACAGTTAAACCTTCTGGCTACTTGACGTGTAGACAAACCAGCCTCGAGAAACCCAACAGCTCTTTCTCTGTCAACAGTTCATAAAAACGTGGCATCATGTAAAGTCAACAATTTTGTCCTGTTCAAAATTAAGGTCTGATCTGGAATGCAGTTGAATGATGTGTCAATTCGTTTTGTGTATTCCATGATCATTGATAATAGGGTGATGCGTTTCTAATGGATTTCAGTATAGGTCCCTGGTGATGCTCATTAACTTGATTAAAGTGATTATCGTTTTTATCATGTAGCATATTTGCTATTTGTCACGATTATTATGCATGTACAGTAACATGTATTTGTCCCATGGTGACCAGACCGCCTCCGTGGTCTAGTGGAAAGAATGTCTGCCCGGAGATCGGAAGGTTGGGGCTTTGATCCCTGATCACGTCATATCAAGACAGTGTTAGAAATTGGCACTAGTCCTATAGTCCTTGCCAAACTGCCCAATGGTAAAGGTATCATAAGGACTAGTAGAAATTTGCCATTATTAAGGGTTTTGCTATATATTATCATTATAAGGACTAGTGGACGAAAACTGTTAGTTTCAAACCCTGCAAGAGAGGGGCGGTCGGGTAGCCTAGTGGTTAAAGCATTCGCTCGTCACGCCGAAGACCCGGGTTCGATTCCCGACTTGGGTACAATGTCTAAAGCCCATTTCTGGTGTCCCCCGCCATCATAATGCTGGAATATTGCTAAAAGCGGCGTAAAACCATAACACTTACTCACTCACTCACTCACTCATATCAAGAGACGTTAAAAGATGGTACTTGTTGTTACCCTGCCTGGCGCTCGGCCAAAACAATGACTGGTCAGCACGAAGTCAGTATGCTGTGTCTGAGTGAAGTATTTATGTTTATTTTAAAGTGTTTTGGTATCGAACCACTCACCTGCAGTGCTCTCTGCACAGACACTCTATCCACTAGAACACAGAGGCGGTCTCAACTGGAAGAAGAACACAATTCAGTACATTTTTTAAAACTTCATTTAATTTTTGTTTGAAAAGATTCAAAAGCACTTGCTTTTTGTGATGCGTAGTTGCTGTGTCACTGTTCAGTAAGATGTCATGTCATCTAGAGTTCTCTAAATTAGTTTGTGACCTTTGACTCGTGCAAAATCTATGGTGGAAAACCTTTTGTTTCTCATATCAGGGCTCAGTTTACTGTTGGAAAGTTTGCACTCTCAGACAAGGTTAAGCTGTATGAACTATTCAGTTCAATAAATAGTATTGTTTTATGGAAATCGTCACTTTTCTGAGTCACCCTGTCACTGTCAGCAAGTGCCATGTCTGGAGAATTACTTGTGTGACTTGAGTAGGTGTAGTGAAATATGTCAAGGATACTGAGGTTTCAGTTGCCTCCCTTTACCTTCTTCGTCTGCATGTCCATGGTGGTCTATGCTGTTACATGTTAATCATATTGTCATTTCAGGGATGGTAGAGATGAAATACTCGAGCATGGTATGTGTCTTAAGTCTCTTTTAAAGTAAAAAAATTACTTGGTAACTGAAGGAAACAAATGATCTGCCTGTCTGTGACATGATCTTTTAATGGGATTGTTTAAATGTGTAGATTATGAGACATGATTGGATATAATACATGAACTCATTTCATTTATGATCCCCCTGGTTTGGGATTTTTGTTGTTATATTTTTTTTACGTTTTCATGACGACAAGTTGGACTTTACTGAAAATGAGGGTAGTGCTCGTTATTGGGGCAGAACTTCAAAACATTGAATATTTCTAGATGAAACTTGCTATACAGATCAGTCTAGTAGTGATCTGGTGCCTTTTGATGATTTGAGATTTTGAAAACTACTGAACAGCATTATTTTTCCTTCACTGAACTGAAGATGGGGTATAAGTGGGGTACAAGAAGCCAAACCCCATTTCTTAATTGCACCAGACCAGGGGGATATTTCATCTCCTGATGTTTCTTGTTTGAATTGCCAAGTTTATTGTACAGTGTATGAATATGTATACATGTCATATAATAAGGAAATCTGATATTATCCCCAGAACTTGCCATAGCTGACAAAAGAAATAAACGTGAAATTCGTCACCTTGAACAGGAACTGCCAAAATGGCAGGTGCAAGTTGACAGCATCACAGGTGAGAAATACACATTTGTCTTTGATATCGTGGTTATTCCTTGGTTTACTTAATTGTTTTTCAGAATACTTTTATCTTCTAAAAGATAATATATGTGAAATTTGTTGCTAATTGTAATCTATTGTCTTGCAGTTTGACTTATTGCATGCATGTATTTTGTGGTTAACACATAATTTTGCATTTGGCATAATCATGTTTATTGCTTTTTTCCACTTTTCATCATTTACCCTCTTGAATTTGCACAATTGATAACAAACAGTTTTGACTTACTTGCACAATGACAGTGATTTGTATTATTGTAGACATACATGCTGAGATTATTTCAATACTTTTCCCGTATCACATGTCAAATCGACCTGTGAAAATCTGGGGTAGAATAGGTCTTCAGCAACCCATGCCTGCCGTAAAAGGCGACTACTTGTCGTGAGAGGCGACTAACAGGATTGGGTGGTGAGGCTCGCTGACTTGGTTGATGCATGTCATCGTATCCCAATTGTATGGATCGATGCTCATGATGTCAATCACTGGATTGTTTGGTCCAGACTCGATTATTTTCAGACTGCCATCACATAGCTGGAATATTGCTGAGTGTTGCGTTAAACAACACACAAACAAACGAGCAATCATGTCAAATCATGACTCGGTGTTCTGACTTGTGGACTATTCTGTCCTTGCTATTGCAGTAGTGGGTTACAATATCAGCAGTGCTCCATGTCCTCCACTGTTTCAGGCATCAACCCCCAGGACTTTGATAACCAGACTCTGGCAGTGCTGAAGGGGAGACTGGTGCGCTATCTCATGAGATCGAGAGAGGTGAATATCTCTACACAATGTACTAAAGTCCTTGCTTAAGAAATTCCCAGGCACGTTGGGGTAGCCTAGTTGTTAAAGTGTTCGCTCGTCACACTGAAGATCTGGATTCGAATGCCCACATGGGCACAATGTGTGAAGCCCATTTCTGGTGTCCCCAGCCACAATATTGCTGAAATATTGTTTAAAGCAGTGTAAAACCATACTCAATCAAGCAATTCTCATGCTGTTGACCTATTGTATGCATAAGTTGACATTCTTTGAATTAATACCTGTGTTTTTATTTATATATAGAATCTCACCTGAATGTCTTTTGAACATTAAATATATACACAAGTCGATACAAGTGTTAAACTCCAAGCCTTGCCAAGCAATTTTAGACTTTGTCGTCGAGTATGGATATATTTGATGTCATTTGATCAATAGACATGACAGTGAGATTCTATATACCATCCAATATCATTCCTGCAACATTTTAAATTTGTAAACAGAAAATAACCGATATGTTGAGTTACTGATAACATTTGTGTATAACAGTTTTACAATTTCAAATATTAAGAGGGTTTGCAGGTGTTTTTGAGCATTTGATGCTCGCAATCTAGCTCCGACATTAGCTGGAGAATATGACTTGTTGTTGAGGGAGGGTTGTGGCTTGTGAATCCTCCATCCTTACCTTGTTGCAGATCACACTGGGCCGAGCCACCAAAGACAACCAGATTGATGTGGACTTGTCATTAGAAGGCCCTGCAGCTAAAATATCTCGGCGACAGGGCGTCATTAAGCTACGAAACAATGGGGATTTCTTCATTGCTAATGAAGGAAAAAGGCCAATCTACATTGATGGCAAACCGGTGTTAGCTGGTAACAAACAGAAGCTGTTTAATAATTCTGTGTTAGAGGTAAATATGTTTCTTTACTCAAGGGTTTGAAAAAAGCCTTGAACTTTCCTTACCTACCCCCCAAAATATTACCTAGAAATATTAAAATCAGGGGTCCAGAAACGGTCATATGAGGCTGACATGTCCGATTGGGAATCTCAAATGTCTGGTTTAAAATATTGCTTACCAGACATTTAAATTTTTTTGTCCTGACATTTTAAACAAACGGGGTCCAAATAATTGATGAGCGTTTACGTATCCCTTCAGTGAACTCAGGTGAATAAACAGGTATAACAAACTTGGTCAATAAAAGTATGAAATTTGATATAAAACATCACTAGACATGATGATTTACCATTTAAAATGTATTTCCTGCTCTCCAAGGCATTGTTTATATGCAGAGATTAAGATTACCGTGTGTATTTTCTCGTAAACTAAGCCGGAAATAGCAATCAGCTGTGCACACGTTTCCTCCCAATCTACCGGTGATTCAGTTAAAACGTATAAGAACCATAAGCGTAGCACTTTGGTACAGATGGTATGCAGGATATTTTTTGACGTGTGGAATGATTTTTTACCAGTCACCGTAGGGATTTCCCGCGCTACATGTGTTTCGATTGCGAAAACGTTATGTTGACATTTAGTAGTCAAATAGCCTCAAATATGACTTTTAGCGAGTCGCGGTACGGCATTTATGATATGTGTATCCATTCTCTTGCAACTAAAGTTCGTTGCAAGGCGTCAATAGCGGTAATCTGACTGTGGTTGCTGTAAATAACGGTGAGTTGTGCGATCCACTGATCACTTCGCATATGATTTCGCCGAAATTATTGTAAACATTATTATAATTATTGAATGAAATTTTGAATATAATTAATAAAATATACTGCAAACATTATTCCAGGTAAACAATGAACAAAATATTATAATAATAGGATTAAATTGCGTACTTCAGTTCGAAATTGTTGACTGGTATTTCCAGTGTTACGTGATCGCTGTGATCAGCTGATAATGTTTTCTGAGATGGGGGAAAACATTGTGTCATTGGAAAACTTGAGTTTATTAAATTAATGTTAGTAACTTTTGGGAGCCATGCTTTACCGCACGCTATAACCGAGTTAGCGCTATATTGAAGCGCGCAATAATGAGGGAACACTGAACGTAACAACTTGTAATGTGTGTGAAAAGTTGTACTAAAATACGCTATTTGAAGGGGGCGTGGCCTAAATGCAAATGTCCGATTGGGATTTTAAATTTTCTGGACCCCTGATTAAAATATCTCTTTCTTTGATAAAAACTGTTGAAGTCTATTAAAAACTGACAATGGAGTTATGTCCCTTCCGCTGATGCACTGCTTCTGTTATAGGGGAAAAGGCCCAAAGTATAATTATGTGTTTTGTATATATGGTGGGATGGTGTGCTTGGTCAAATCCATGGCCTTGAATAAAGGGGAAGGAACCTTGGAAAGGTCTAGAATTTTGTGACTGAAATTCTGTACTAACCCAGTAAGTATATTTTTGATGTGAGACAAAAACTGTACAGACAGTCTGCCCCCATTTTAAGAGGACCGCTGGTTATGAACACCATCATATAGGAGTTGTGAGGTCGTTGATGAGAAAGAACTTCCCAAGAAAGAACTTCCCAAGAAATTAGAAAGTTACCTCCCCTGGGTTGACCAGAGCAAGAAGACAGAACTGGGGGGTCTCGGGAATGAACCTGGAAAAAAAGAAGCATGCAGACTGTTTGATTAAAGGCATCACAGGGTTTCACTGAGACTAAGAAAACTGAGTGTCATGACTGCAATTGTTTTGTCATTAGCACAATTTAGAGATATTGATTTGCACAAAATGGATATTAACAAAACAAAACATTGTGGACATTGTGCTAGATTAGAAATGATTAGAAATATACAATTGTGTAGGAACTAGTTACCGGTAGTACTGACTGATATAAATAATAACTTTGAAAATCGGATAAGCAGTATTTTTTATGGAAAGCACTTCAAATATGCAGGATAACTATGTCATGGTGAAATAAAATATGAGTTTGCAGATTTGAATCAAACTTGCCAGGACTATCAGTTGGCCCGAACCTAGCTTCCTCAATAAATTTGATAATGGTGATGTTTATATTGTAACTGACCATTAACATTTTCCTTATCTTTCTTTCAGATCTCATGTTTGCGTTTTACATTTCTGATGAACCAAGACCTGATAAACGTCATACGAGCTGAAGCTCAGAAGATCACACCACCAACATCATGACCATCTTGAACATTAGCTTCATCATTGTCTTCTTCATAATCATCCACCATATTCATACAAAATGTGCAGCTCTTCCTTACCTTAAAGTCACGATCACAATATTAGTGGAGCAGTCTGATTATAAGAAGCTTCAGAATACAAATATCACTAAAACATTTCCACATGCTGTTGAGGAGCATTGAGATTGACAGCAGTCATGGAGTCACGGCAACAATCTGTTCTGTGGAGGAAAGTGATGAGAAGACTGAGACAGCTATGCTGATATTGTCTCAGTGGCGGCCCCGTGGCCTCCCTGTGAATTGAGTTCCTTGTCCGTATTCTGATCAGTCTTAGGTCCGAATCCCAGATTTACCCTGATAGTGTTCCTTGGTCTACTAGAACTTGACCTGCAATCTTAAACCCTTCTAATTCATTTTTGCTAACTAATACATCACACATTTGATTACCATGATGTAATACAAATAGGTCATTGTCCGGTGATCATTTGACATTCATTCTAACTCATCGTCAAAGTGACCTAGACAGGCATTAGTACCCACAGTTCCTAATGTCATGGTCACATCTATGTAAGAATACGAAGTCTATCTCTTCTGATTACCAAGTGGTTACTGACAAAGAATGGGAGTCATGTCTTCTGTTGCATGATAAAGTTCATGGGATTTCATGGGACTGTTGAGACAATCTGAGGTGGACTGCTGCCCTTTTAGGTAGCTAGGGTTTGCTGTACACTGCAATTTAGTTCTGTTTCACTCATGATGGACAGATGCAGTAGGAATGAACTCTGAAACATGTTCATGAGATGTGATTTGCCTAGTATGGTAGAAAACATGTCCATGCTGATGATGTGTCTTTGGTGGGACATACCCTGATGCATTGATGGAGGAACTACCGGTGCACATGTATTAGAATGATGGAAGATGAGGAAAAGCTGAATTTCTCTGCCTTTGTTGACGCATTTGTTATCTGTTATTTGTTGACATTATTGTATATGGTGTATGAAAGACTTCCATACCAATCATGACAAAAGAGTTTTGTATGATCATGATTGAAAGCCGCCTTTAGCCTGCCTAGGACATGATGTAGTGAACAATGACATGCATCTTAAGGGGAATGTTTGTTAATTTGTTGTATCAATGTCATTTTATGGTAATGATACGTTTTGAACTGCCTTCAAAGTTAGCTTATTTCCTGAAGATTTAGAATCGGTAACCTAATGGAACGAAGTGCTGAGTGAATCATGGCGGTGTTCTCTGTACAGTTAAGTGGTTAGACCACTCACCCTCATGTGTGAAGGAGACTTTGTCAGCATCAGTACGATTGTGTAAGGAATTCTAAACAACTAAAATGTTCAATCTTCATTCAGGCAGAGACTGGGTCCTCTGATAGAAGTATTATAAGGGTACCAGTTTAAGGTGTTTATGGGTGGTGGGGTTAGTGGTTAAGCATTCGCTCGTCACCTCGAAAACACAGGGTCAATTCCCCACATGGGAGCAATGTGTGAAGCCCATTTGTGGTTTCTCTGCTGTCATATTGCTGGAACATTGCTAAAAGCGGCGTCAAACCATACTCACTCACTCGCCCAAGATGTTAAATGAATTTTTTATTTTTATTTTTTGGTCCATTTTCCAAAGGTCACATACCCCTGCTTATTTTTCTGACTACCCACAGTTAAACAATTTGCTCAATTGATTCAAGTTTCTTGGGCAACACCTCTATGACATCATGTAGTGACCACAACAAAAGATTTCACTGTTACACAATTCCTTCTATGTGAGGCTTACAACTTATCAATCAACCCTGTTGAAATTATTCCTCCTTAAAGCTATTAAAGTGTTTTTGCTGGAATATTGCCGAGAGCAGCATAAAACATGTCTCAAACAGAATCAGGAAACTTGACTCTGTTTATGTCTGTGTCTTAGCATGTCAACTACACAGAAAATACTGTGGTTCACAATTATCTGAAGATTAGTTAAAGTCACATGGTGTGATAATGCTGACCTGAACACTTGGAGTGGAAGACTATTGAATGTGTAGGAAAGATACACTGCCTTATGAAATATTGTGAAATCATTTTGTAATAAATGTCTTAATGATAAACAGTGTTGTTGTTATGTTGATGGCAAGATGTGACTCGTGTTCCTTGGATGTGTGGCCCAGCTGTCCACATTTCGCTTTACAGTGATGGGTAACAATGATGGAGGGCTGAATCCCAGATTTGACATCAGTTTGTTTCTAGGTTTGCCTACATCACACCCCTGCTTGTGGGTTGTTGTCACACGTCCTGGATAACTGCAGACTTTCCTCCCACACCAAGCTTACAGGCAATGATATGACCGTGTTACTGTCACTCTGAAATATGTCGTTAAACTGTCCCTCCCTCACTCACTCACTCTGAGATTTTGTGTGGAGATTTGATATTTTTCCAGCTACAGCTACAAAACTAGATATTCTCTCTTAAAACTATGAGCCTGAATTCTTTTTTGTGTGGAAAAACGGCTTGCAGCAATGTAATTTTTGTGGCAGGCATAATTTTATTTAACAGTCTGAAATATTTTGGGGACATTTTTTTTTATATTATAAAATCCCAGCCCACCTGAATATCAAATATATTTGAAATCTCAAATAATGTTGTTATCTTAAGTTCCCAACACCCTTACAACCATGCACTTGTTGACAGTTACATGCTGTGGGGATATGAGACATGCACTTAAATTATTAAATGTTCAAATCACATAACTTCTGTTTTCCAATTGATTATTTACAGACCGCCATCACAAAGCTGAAATACTGAGTGCAGCGTTTAACACCAAACAAACAAAACCCATATTTAACATTTCTAACATCACCCTGTCCGTTTGGTTAAAATTCCATTTTAGCGCAGTTAAATCTACAGGGTACTTATCTCTACATTGAAAACATAGTATGTTTATCTCCCAAGTACACACGTGCGACTCACGGGATCTGGTGGTCGGGCTCACTGACTTGGTTGATGCATGACATGGTATCCTAATTACATAGATTGATGCTCATGATGTCAACCACTAAAGGGGCGGTCGGGTAGCCTAGTGGTTAAAGCGATCGCTTGTCACGCCGAAGACCCGGGTTCTATTCCCGACATGGGTACAATGTGTGAAGCCCATTTCTGGTGTCCCCCGCCATGATATTGCTGGAATATTGCTAAAAGCGGCGTAAAACCATATTCACTCACTCACTCAACAACTAGATTGTCTGGTCCAGACTCGATTATTTACAGACCGCAGTTGTATAGGTGGAATATTGCTGAATGCGGTGTTAAACAACAAGCATGATGGTGATGACGATGTATGGATTTTTAACTCGCTATTAATCTAAACCACGAAATCTGGTTTTTTTTAAAAAACAAAAAACGTTGGATCTAACTGTATATGAAATGCTTCAACAACAAAATATTTTCATTAACCATGATATATGAATGGAATATTGGGAAAACATAAGAATCGCAAATTAAGAATCTTACAAATTGATGAGTCTGAATTCTTAGGAACATATATATATACATTTAAATAAGTTCAATTTCAATAGAAATGAATTTATACATATCAATTGGGGTGTCGCGTCTGTAGAGTATTTTTAGCAAAATGTAAAACATATATATAACTGACGGCATTAAAATGAACCCAAATAAGCAATAGATGCTTCTAAAACTTTTGGTACTACCCCTTGTGTGCCCCTTGACCTATAACATTTCTATATATAGGTCAAAACAAGGCTTTTTAAAGAAATGACGAACGAAAAGCAGTTGTCATTCAGCCTGTTTGAAACTGGCGGGTTGGACCATTGACTGTACACATTTCGCCTCTTTCTACGTGGACCTTGTGCTGTCAGGGGTGTTGAAATCGGCAACACTGGCCACAAACACAGCGACGGTGACACTGGCAACAGGAACTGTACTATACGTAGTAAATATTCGCTCTGGCAACCATCAACAATGGAGTTGCTTGGTTTGATAGATATCCCGCTCACATGGATGCTCGTCGCAGGCTGTTTGCTGCTGATCTACTTGTGAGTACATATGTGTCAGTTTGACACCAACTGTCTTATTTACTTTGGATAAGGATCACGAATGCAATCCGACATCTTGAATGAATGCAGGGGGGTGCTGATCGATTTATTACCGTATTTCCTTTAACAAGCGCTTCGTAGTTTACTCATTGAACAAGCGTCCAAACCTGTCGGGGAAAATGGAAGCCCGACTTGAAATACGGTAGTGACCCAGTGCTTAATATTTTAGCTAAGGTGTTGCCTACGCTGCGGTCACAAATAAATGGATTTTACGTTCTTGATACAGAATTTAGAAGTAATTTAAATCTAACATACCTGGCGCTTATGTCGCCGGTTGGGAACCGGCGTTTTTTAGAGGAAATACGGCGTATCTGTACCTCCGTCATTGTGTCAAATGCATGACACACGTGTTAGCCCTACACCATGACCGGGGAATATATGTAGTTGACTTTATCAAAATCAGTCTAGATAATATAAAAGAGACAAGTCAATATATTTCACATGTGAAATCAGCATTAGAAAGAGGAAAATCAGAACAGAGTCATGTATTGCCCTATACTTTTTACAAACACTAATCTCTCTCTATTTTTACAGGTACGGCAAGAAACGGAACCGTTTCCTCAGTGACTATGGTATCCCCGGCCCAACTCCAGACATATATTTAGGAAATCTTCGTCAAGTTGTGAAAATGGTAACATACCCGTGTAGTGTACCTGTCAAGTAAAAATTAAAATTTGTAGAATAGGAGTCATCATTTATTTGTGACAACATTCTGATATTTCTTATTGATATATATTTTTAGGGCGTTGACCTCGACAATAAATGGGGACAGGAATTCGGCGACGTGTACAGGTGAGGTTCAATAATATTTACGACATCGCGGACAGTGACAAGTGCAATTTATAGAGGCCACATATCATACTATTTCGCTTGTCATGATTACTATTCCTTCTTGTGATATTGTGACATCGGCGTTTTAGAAACCACTTCTAAACATGCTTGTTCCGCACAATGACATCTGAATTTGTTCAAGAGATTCGAATCCGATTTTCAATATCGTCGCCACATCAGCAACAATGAAAAACCTTTTTATGGCCATCATTCAGTAATTTTATATCACAATTACATGAAATTTGTTATATATCTATGCATTTTTTTGTGATATTTTAATTTTTTTATTTGATTTGACCTTTCCACTTTGAAAATGCTCTTAAATTCTCACAAAATGCACGTCCTTGCACTGTAAACACAATCTCCTCAGAAACCAAAAGACAATGAAGTATTTCCGACAGTCATGACACCTAAAATTGTTTAAAAGTTTGAAATCAGATTTTCAATGTGGCCTATATTTCTGCTCAAAATATAATGTAATCAAACTTTTAAATTCTGTAAAAATGTCGTTTCGTTCCCTAAAGATCACGGCTGAAGTTGCAAGACTGAGGGAGGTGAATTTTGGCATGTGTTTTGCCCCTAAATGTAATTGTTGTAAATTGCAACAATATTGTAACGCGCACATCCATTCCTGGCTGCAGATTTAGAAATATGTGGAAATGTAGTATTGTTTCAAGTACTAACAAATTGGAAACAAGAAACTAATTTTCCACATATTTTTAAATGTATTCAGAATTTACGCAGAAACTGTTGCAATAACAATTTATTAAGATGTTGTCTAAGTTTACATTTGCTTTTGACTACACACCTAGGGGCGCTACAGTGCCGTGGCACAATATTCGTTTTCTAGATATTTAATAAAAAAAACCCCGATGGAATAATAGATCGAAATGGTGATAGCACATCATGAATAAGGGATATCACAAGTTCCATTTTCATATCACTAAAACATTTTTAGATATGATGGTATTAATATATTTTCATTCTCAATTCATTTATCGATATGAAAAAAAGCGACTTTGCGATATCAAGAATTAATGCATATGCGATATTATAAAAAAGGGAATATGTTCCAACGTGTACGATGTGTGTAGCCTTATCATGGTGACATGTCCGGAATATTTCTAAAGCCACACCTCCTCACTACATACACTACATAACCCCCGTCACTGCCATTTTCTAAGTTGACATGATGATTCGTTGATGTGGTAGCTTTATGGTTAAAGAATTCGCTCGTCCAGCTGAAGCACATGGTTCGATTCTCCACATGACTCGAGTCCACCGCCGTAATATTACTGTATTATTTCTAAAGACGTCACTCATAAGTTGAAACCTGGTAATAAAGGATGTTTTATTCGCGCCTTTCCTTTTCCAGTGTCTACTTAGGCGGTTTCCCCCTTATCAACGTGCACGACCCTGAAATCATCAAAGAAATATTTATAAGAGACTTCAATAATTTTTCAGATAGATTAGTAAGTATGCAACAATGTGGCTGGGATTTTTGTTTGTTTGTTTGTTTATTTGTTTATTTGTTGTTTAACGCCGCACTCAGCAATATTCCAGCTATATGAAGGCGGTTTGTAAATTATCGAATCTGGACCAGACAATCCAGTGATTGACATCATGAGCATCGATCCATGCAATTGGGATACGATGACATGCATCAACCAAGTCAGCAAGCCTGACCACCCGATCCCGCTAGTCGCCTCTTACGGCAAGCATTGTCGCCTTTTACGGCAAGCATGGGTTGCTGAAGACCTATTTTACCCCGGATCTTCACGGGTCTGGAATTTTTTATAGAGGGGATATGACATCGGTCACTTCGTTAAAACAATGTTTTTTTCTTCCTCTAAAAGGAGAAGCCAAACTTGTTTGTTTATGTTATTACACAACAATTACTTTTCGGGGCGTCCAGCATGTCTAGTAAACAATGTACATGTATTACGAGCTGGGGTGCCCTTTTACCGGTAAGGTTTGTTATAAAAGCTATAGTGAAACTCACGAAAAATAAGAGTTATTGTTCGGTATTCCATTTGAGGGTCGGTCGGGGTTTCACAGTCACACGCTTGTGTTGGCCTAAGCCCTTACATTGCATATCGTTGTTTATATCCATTGTCCACTTTCAGATTTTTGACCTCAATGACTTCCCTCTGAGCACCGGCATCTTCTTTGAGACAGGAGCAACATGGAAGAGGCTAAGGAATATTATCAGTCCGACATTCAGCGGAAACAAGCTCAGAAGTGTTAGTATCATAGTCAACCCCATGAGTGAGGGAGTGCGATGTGTTTTGCCCTTTGTAGCAATATTCCAGAAACAGATTGCTGGTCGAAGCTTCAGGGCCATTCGTCACCGCTCGCCCCTTTCCGTAACCTGCAAGAAGACTCGTCCCCCTCTCGATGAATGTTATGTGCGAGATACGACAAACCAATCAGAATGCGCGTATGATTTCGAGTTCTTTGTCAAATAATCCCTCAGAAATAATTTTTGATTTTACATATGTCTTGCATCTAAAAATATACCCAAGACACAGTTAAATGTGTTCAATCATACTGTATAATTCCGCAGGTCCCCATGTCCTTTAAATTGCATCTGAAATATATATATAATATATGGGGAAATATATGTGAAACATTACGCAACGAGTTGACAATTGTTTTAGGTATGCCCGTTTGCGCTAAGACGGAACCTAGTCGCAAAAATGGCCATGAGAGGGGCACGAGTCGCTAATCGGCTTGTCCCGGAATAACACGAGTTGGTCACGAATGCTTCAGGGCCAGTCGGGCTGTTTTTGGTAGATCTCAGAGAGCTGTTAAATGATTCGATATCGAAGACAAAACTAAATTTAAGAAATTGGGAAATTATTCCCCCATACTTACACGTACGGTAATCATTTATCATCCCAAACTGGCTCCCACAGGAGATATCGCTTGGGTGAGATCAAGCGATATCTATATTGTAGATATCACTGCAATGAAATAGCATCACAATGCTTTGCAGCCCATTGTGACGTCATTGGTGACCATGACATCACAATCAAATGACATCACCTATAGCACTGCTACTGAAGCTGTTAGCAGTCCCTTTACACCGAAGACACTGCTTATTACTGTCTACAAACTGAAAAAGTTGGAAGAATGATGTTTGATGATAAATAAAATCCCACCCGAGTGTCTTTTGATATCAAATATATCAACACTTTTCTCAACGAGTGTTGATATATTTGATATCAAAAGACACTCGGGTGGGATTCTCTTTATCATAGTCAAAAATGACGATTAACGCTGTTCTTTGCGACTTCTTATGCAGGGTGTCAGATCGTCACATTCAAGGATTTTAATGATTTCAACTCTAAGATGACCATATATTTTGTAAATGATAGTGTTTTGGTGTTCTAGATGTGTGCCAAGATCGACGAGTGCGCCGTGACTCTAACAAAGAATCTCGCACACGCTGCTGAGAACGAAGAAATCATCACCACGAAAGAGTATGCACATATCTTTGTTTAAGTGTGATTGAACGTCGTTTACGTCGCAATATGGCATGCTATGTCGCACCAACCGGTGAATGATCGAAATTAAAACCAGGTCTGATAGTTTGAGTAACGGTTTTGGGGATGCGGTGAGTAACGGTATAGAGGATGCGATGATTAACGGCATTGGGTGTGCAATGAGTAACCGTATGTGGGATGCGGTGAGTAACGGTATAGGGGATGGACGAGCAATGGTATAGTGATTGTGGTGTGCTAAGGTATATGGGTACGGTGAGTAACGCTATAGGGGATGCTGAGAGTAACGGTACAGGGGGGTGCATAGAGTAACGCTACAGGGGATGCATAGAATAACAGCACAGGGGATGCAGAGATTAACGGTACAGGGGATGCATAGAGTAACGCTACAGGGGATGCAGAGAGTAACGGTACAGGGGATGCAGAGAATAACGGTACAGGGGATGCAGAGAGTAACGGTACAGGGGATGCAGAGAGTAACGGTACAGGGGATGCAGAGTAACGCAGAATAACGGTACAGGGGATGCAGAGAGTAACGGTTCACGGGATGCGGGGTGTTTATCCGTCTATGAACGGTGAAATATGTGTTTCATGCTGGACGTTTTATGTTGTTCTATGCATCGTACGTACGTCTGATTTGGTAGAAACGAACAGTTAGAAAAGAACTTACTCTTATCTTGACCAGCACTGTGTTTGCTCATAATAAACCCATCGACATGAGCAAGTAATACTTAGGTGATTGATAAATGAGCTCAAGTTGGTCCTGTATGAATTGTATACTTGCCCCGGCGTATGCATTTCATAACCCGAGTCTTCAAAGAGCGAGGCGCACGTGCGAAAATCTCGGGGAACACATCTCACGTGCAACACGCAGGGCCGACCCACACATTTGAGCATGGAGTTTTTGAGTGGTGATGCTTCTGGGCGGAGTTGCTTTGATTTTGTGTTTCATGTCCCCATTAAGATACCCGCAGACACTTAACTCCATGATATAACTGTACTACTCAAAATAACATTACATCCATGTTTGATCCACGAACCTTTGAAACGCCTACCTTTCGCATTGTTCAAAATACACAGAATGACATCGCAACGATAATATAATGAACTGTTGCGACGGAACTATTCCGACCAGAATGTTTATTATAGATATGTTATTCTTCATGTGATGCAGTTATTTTGGTGCCTTCACTATGGATGTGATTGCCAGCACAGCTTTCGGCATTGACATCGACTCCCAAAACAACTTCCACAACGTCTTCATCACCCAGGCCAAGAAGGTCTTTGACAACAACGTGCTCCAGAGCCCGGTCATGTCTCTCATAAGTATGTATCATCCCGGGGGTTACCATGCCTTCCGATGTCCATCCCGGGGGTTACTAGCCTTCCAATGTCCACCCCGGGGGTTACCATGCCTTTCAATGTCCATCCCGGGGGTCACCATGCCTTCCAATGTCCATCCCGGGGGTCACCATGCCTTCCAATGTCCATCCCGGGGGTCACCATGCCTTCCAATGTCCATCCCGGGGGTCACCATGCCTTCCAATGTCCATCCCGGGGGTTACCATGCCTTTCAATGTCCATGTCCAACCCCGGGGTCACCATGCCTTCCAATGTCCATCCCGGGGGTCACCATGCCTTCCGATGTCCATCCCGGGGGTCACCATGCCTTCCGATGTCCATCCTAGGGGTTCACATTCCCGCTAATGTCCATTCTAGGGGTTCACCATGTCCGCTAATGTCCATCCTAGGTGTTCACCATGTCCGCTAATGTCCATCCTGAGGGGTCACCATGTCCGCTAATGTCCATCCTGAGGGGTCACCATGTCCGCTAATGTCCATCCTAGGTGTTCACCATGTCTGCTAATGTCCATCCTGAGGGGTCACCATGCGCTCCCATGTCCGTCCTCCGTGTTGCTGTATCTTATCTAGGCCCCCAGGTGTCAAGCTTCCATCCTCGAGATCTCCATGCCTATTCAGATCCTTCCTGGGGGGTTGCCACGGCTTTAAGAGAACACATCACAAATTTCCATGTAAAAATTGCACTAATGACCTCTCTGAGTAGCAATCAATCACTCAATCACGATATTTCTCAATGTCTCACGTGCCCAAACTAAGCTGCCACGAATTTGATCTTGTCACAATCACTGTCTATCTCTGGGCAGATAGAACTCAATTCTTTTTGCACCAGCAGTCACCAATCTGAAGGACCCATGTTTGCTGTAATTTGTAGAAGTTTCTATGTTCCCTGTTGATACCCTGACACCGTCTTTTACAGTTCTTTTCCCAAGTCTACAAAGGGTCGCCAAGGCTCTAGGTTTCAGCTCGTTTCCAAAGTCAACCAGGAAATTTTTTGTGTCCTCTCTTAAAGAAATGATAACAATGAGAAAAAGCGAACCAAAGGAAGAGCAAAAGGTAACACTGTTTCCTTGTTTGTGCCTTTGTTGACGTTTCTTAATAAGAGTCTCAATGGGCTACAGGACTTTTCAACAGCAATAGTTAATGCCCCCGACTTAAATGCTCCTATCTAGCATGTGTTTGTTTGTTTATTTGTTGTTTAACGCCACACTCAGCAGTATTTCAGCTATATGACGGCGGTCTGTAAATGGCAAGACAATCCAGTGATTGATATCAGGAGCACCGATCTACGCATTGGGATACTAGTTACTAGCGAGTCCCCCGTTTGGTTTCAATAGTATGTCGGTTAAAACAGGGCGTATAATCAGAAAATATGTTATTAAAACGACACACCATATAATATTCCTGCGTATGAGAAAAAAAGAACTTGTGATAGTGTATGAAGATTTCAATTCGGGTATAATATTGTAGATTGCGGCGTAAACCAATAACATTCCCACTCTCATCATTCCTGAAATATTATGTTGAGACTTTGGCAAGGCAAAGTGACTTGGCTGACATGTCCAGACTCGATTAATTACAGGTCACGCGAATGGCTTGGATATTGGTGTTTGCGGCTTTTAACATTCACTTTCTCACTTGTTATCATTTCCTAACTGGTCATTCTTTCCAGAGAAGAATAGACTTTCTTCAGTTGATGCTGGATGCTGGGGATAACTTGAGCCATCAAGATAGCGAGGATGACAAGAGCCAATCACAACCTCCAGGTTCCCAAAATGGCAACAAAGGTATGTACTTGAAGGTCGCAAGCCCACGATGTCTGATGATCATGTGACACACTATCGCCCACGACTTTTACAAATGGCATTGTCTATTGCTACGATGTATTGTTCTACTAATCGCCTCTCACTAGACCGGTGAGGATCCGGGGTAGAATAGGTGCTCAGCAACCCATGCTTGCCATAAAGAGCGACTATACTTGTAAGAGGCGACTAATGTGATCGGGTAGTCAGGCTCGCTGATCCAATTGCGTGGTCATGTTGTCAATCACTTGATTGTCTGGTCAAGACTCGATTATATACAGAACGCCGTCATATAGCTGGAATATTGCTGAATCCGACATTAAACAACAAACAAACAAAACATCTCACTGCCATGAGCGTATGGGTGTGCAAATAATATCAATTTGTATCGGATATGTTTTCGGTATCCAGGTTTGAATTGACTGACCAAGCTTAAAATGGGCCTTGAAGACCAGTTCGGCATATCCGAAATTCATGTTAATCATGATCATTTTACTACCACTCATTCTATTTAATATGTGAATCTTATTAATCGTTCTAACTCTAGGGAGTTGAAAAGTTCAATGGAGGATAAACACAACTATATTCTTTGAAAGACACCCCTCATACCCACTGTTTGGGTATCACATCTACATCCTATATAAATACCTGGGCTCATCCGCTATTATACATTTGTAACTTTCCTTTGGAAGTGACTCTTTCTCAGGGGGGTAATTTAAAGGGAGGCTGGTTGAGCGTCATGTCATTCGATTCGGGTTTAAAAAGAAGCAGATGAGATTGGATCCAGCATATTTATCATTCCAGAATTGGGTGACAAACATTGGATAAACGATGTTCAACGGAAACATTTTTTTAGTTAGGTTCTACTGTATACACCTTGAGCATTAAGTTACTTTGCCTGTGTGAAGATTCCGGGGTAGAATACGTCTTCAGCAACCCATGCTTGCTGACTCTTATCATGCTATTTATGGCGGAATATTCATTTTATGATGACCAGCAATGACGACCGACGAGGTGCTGGGGCAGGCGTTCTTGTTCTTTATCGCCGGATACGAAACTACGGCCAGCACCTTGAACTTCGCTGCATATTCACTGGCAACTAACCCGGATGTTCAAGAAAGGTTGACAAAGGAGGTGGACACTGTATTAGGAAAGGTAACTTTGTCCTCTCGAACTTCGCGTTGCTAAATGGCGACCTTCTCAAATGTAATTTACAACCGATGATAGACTAATTTCTACTTTAAAGGTGTCTCTCAGCAATCCCATTCTCTCTCCCTCGCTTTCTTTCTGTCTTTCTTTATCTTTCTCTCTCTCTTGCTTTCTCTGTCTCTCTGTCTGTCTGTCTCTCTCTCTCTCTCTCTCTCTCTCTCTCTCTCTCTCTCTCTCTCTCTCTTCTTTCTTTCTTTCTTTCTCAACCATACTCTCTTGCTCTCACTCTATATGTAAGTCAATGCAACTTTGACATCATTCACAGGAACCGGCAGACTACGACAACATTGGCCAGTTGACGTATATGGACCACGTGATTTCAGAGACGCTTAGGCTGTACCCAGTTGTACCCGGGTGAGTACCGGAAACATTCAGCTCAGAGGTTCAGAGGTTTTTCATGCACACATGTACAGAATTTAATGACCATCGAGTTATGATTGTGACATTTTCAGATGACCCCCTCTATGTCCTTGCAATTTCTTTCACCCCTCTCCCTGAAAAGACCAAATGCAAAAGCACTTTATGTTTTATTATAAAAATGTCCATTATATCATGAACCTCTCCTAATATGTGTATTATTTTTTATAGCCTTCCCCTGGAGACTGACATTCGTTTTGGTGACATTCCACTGATTCCCTCTGGCCCACAGACACCCTATAACAAATGACCGGACCCAAATGATGTTAAACGTGAATTACCCCTGATTCTCTCGACCATTCAGTTGTTATTATCCAAGTGTTCCATTCTCATCAAGAGCCTATTCTAATGCGAATCGGGATGTTAGATATATGTGAGTGAGTGAGTTTGGTTTTTCGCCGCTTTTAGCAATATTCCAGCAATATCACGGCGGGGGACACTAGAAATGGGCTTCACACATTGTACCCATGTCGGGAATCGAACCCGGGTCTTCAGCGTGACGTGCGAACGCTTTAACCACTAGGCTACCCGACCGCCCCGTCAGATATATGTGACCAACCTTGAAAAATTGGACCTTATGGGTGAAAAAGTCACATTTTGACTTTTTAATATATTTCAAATCTACGGTATCTTAGGACCATAAAAATGCCTAATTCCTAAGCTTCAATTCATATTTATTACAGAGATGCATGGTTTCAAACATTTGGACTCATTTTCTGCAAAGGCCCATTTTCAGATTTATAACTGTCTGTGTAATGGCTGCCGTTTTTAAATATGTCTGCTTTAATGAAAGAAGACATGTATGCTGAATGTTTTGACGTGGTTTTATTACATTACGAACTAACGAGACAAAAAAAGGATATATTGTACAGTCTGCACACATGACAATTTTTACGGAAGTAAGTTGACATCAAACGTCTTGCTTCATGACGTCACAGCACTATTGTATCCTAGCACCCATTAGGTCCCTTTATTCTTGGTGGGTCACATATGTGATATCTGATATTATATGATATATATTTGTATACTGACTGTTCTTTAACAGGTTAAACCGTGCTGTCTCCAAGACAACTGTCATCAAAGGTTGGACATTCCCCAAGGGCAGCTTCATCAACATCCCCCTTGTGTCCCTTCAGAGAAATGCGGATATATTCCCAGAGCCTAACAAATTCAATCCAGATAGGTAAGCCTAACAACTTGCCATATTCAGGGAAAACGTTTCAACTTTGAGCGCCAGTTGGCTCTGTGCATCATTTACTGAAGGCGTTCAGAAGACTCAGCTCGTCTTCAGTGAAAACGTTAAACAGTATTTTAATCTTAACAAACGTTCATAAGCATTTAGCGAATGCGAAATTCGTACACCTTCAGTGAAAATGTTTAACGTTAAACTTTATAACACATCTGCTAATTCGGTTATCATTTAATGCAAATGTTCTGAGTATAAAAGTTCATTTTCTATTTAAGATGGGAGAATGCAGATCTACATCAAATGGGTTATCTCCCCTTCGGCCAAGGCCCCCGGATGTGTATCGGAATGAGGCTTGCCCAAGTTGAGATGAAGATTGGTCTGGCTCGCATCCTGCAGAAGGTCCAGTTTGACAGACTTCCAGACACACCGGTTCGTTGACTTGTGTACATGTTTTAGTTGTCATCTTGTAGCGCCTTTCTGCCGTAGTAATGTTCACTTAAAAAGTAGTGTGTTGAGGGTACACGAAAACAACGTAAATAAGTAATGATACATATGATAGAAAAGTTACGTATGTTTGTCACAGTAGTTATATCGAAAGACGATCGGGTAGGTACAATGTGGTTCCACTGTATGCAACACTGTGGGGGCCCGAGTTTAGAATAGGCCCCTCTTATCCAAATGCTTGTAAGAGACGACTAAAGAGGAACCGTTGATCAGACTGACTTGCTGATCGCTCAACGTCGTGGACCATGCAGAACATCACCGGTCTGTTGGGTTTAAATTGGCCGTAGTTGAGTTGGTGGTCGACATGGCATTGCTGAAATATTGCCGCCGAGGCACAAAAACGACATATTACTTTCCAGTGAACCAAAATGTCCATATTGTTTTTTCAGGATGAGTTGAGGAACTTCACCGCGTTGGGAACCCTCAGCAACAAGTGTCCAATAAACCTGAAAGTCGTGCTCCGATAAGCTCCCTGGCTCCAGACCCCAGGCTCCGTACCTAAGAGGAATCGATGCATTGAAACTGGATGTATTTCTGTCACCCGTTCACGTAACAACCACAAGACTAAACACATCTGGTGGCACTCATGACCTTTATAATAATGTTGATCGATATCATATTGTATTCCAATTTTCTATAAATCATAAGAAAGGCTTGTCTAAACACCTGCCGTCACTGCATGCGGAGGGATGAGTCGGTGCACGGCTTACAGTGACATGAATGTCACTACATCACTGGTAAAGTTATGGGATAATCTGAGTGGACCCGGACCAAGCGAGGATGGCAAACTCAGGGATGACATGTATAGCGTCTTAGATTATTGCTTAATTCCCACTTTCTTTTCCCACTTTGTGTTTGTTGTATGTAATACCTGTACTAATCACTTGACATTGTATATACATATTATGTTGAAGGCACAGAGTATGTTGTCCAAATCCAGATGTACATAGTCTGGAGTTCATTCAGTGTATGTAGTCTATGTATACTAACGGAATAAAAGTAACTGTGCTTCATATAAAGTGGTGTAAATGTTATGTTATTGAAAATAACAACATAATATTTGGTTATTCGTCTGATCAATATTTTATCATTAGGAAATCATTGACAAAAGCCATACTTGGTAACAGGAGACAGATAAACACTACCTAAAAGAGGGGTGGTGTATTGAAGACACCAGATGATTGAAAACAGCCAGGGGGATGTTGTTAAAAAAATGTCAACCAAAGATTGTCCCAACGGAGCTTGCGTCACCGGCTGGTTCTGGTGGTGTTGTAGGCGTCGCTTCATCTCATCCAAATGGGGCGGTCGGGTAGCCTAGTGGTTAAAGCGTTCGCTCGTCACGCTGAAGACCCGGGTTCGATTCCCGACATGAGTACAATGTGTGAAGCCCATTTCTGGTGTCCCCCGCCGGGATATTGCTGGAATATTGCTAAAAGCGGCGTTAAACCATACTCACTCACTCACTCATCTCATCCAAGACATGTTCTACACAGCAATGTCATGCTGCCTCAAAAGTCTGTTACAACACGTGCAATGTGTTGGCAGGCATTATCCTGCAGCAACGTGACGTTGCACAAAGGGTAGAACATGATCTCGAACGATGTCGTCCCGGTAGCGTACGCCGTTTAAATTTCCATTAACAATGATGAGTTGTGATGCCACCCCGTACCATTACACAGCGGTAAAAACTAACAGTTTCAGTCCACTAGTCCTTATAATGATAGCATATAGCAAAACCTTTAAAAATGTCAAAATTCTACTAGTCCTTAGAATACCTTTACTATTGGGCAGTTTGGCAAGGACTATAGGACTAGTGCCAATTTCTAACCCTGTTACACTTCAACCCCCTCACTGACGACGTTGAGTAACGCAAGCGTCGCTTAAAAGTGGGCGCTTGTAGACCCTTGCGCGATCATCACAGCATCTGGGAATAGTATACTGTCTCAGTCTCCTGAGCCTCAGATGGTGTCTACACGAAGGTAGGCGACCCAGACGGGGACGTGAAAGCAAGACTGGGCGTATCGCTGAACGTCGGGCGGATGTTGTGCTCCCTCAACTGGTTGTGTACGGTTCTGCCACTAATTGGTCTCAACTCAGGAATTGTCCGAGCTTTTAATGTGACAGTTTGGTATCGATTCCTTAGATGCACCACTCCGACCGAATGTGGTAGTCTTGTAGTACATGGACCACCGGCCCGTCACATATCCTTTATTTGAGAGAAAATATTGCTCACCAGCTTGTCTTTTACGTGGTTGGGACCCGTGAAGATCCGGGGTAGGCTAGGTCTTCAGCAACCCATGCTTGCCGTAAAAGGCGTCTATTCTTGTCGTAAGAGGACTAACGGGATCGGGTGGTCAAGCTCGCTGACTTGGTTGATGTATGTCATCGTATCCCAATTGCATGGGTCGATGCTCATGATGTCAATCACTGGATTGTCAGGTCCAGACTCGATTATTTACAGACCGCCGCCATATAGCTGGAATATTGCTGAGTGGGGCTTTAAACAACAAAGAAAGAAAGAAAGAAACAATTTACGTGGTTGAGTAGTCTTCTTCACGGTTTGTTCCCACGTGGGTACAATGAGTAAACTGCTGTTTTGTGTGTGCTTTTTGCATTTTTGAGTGCGCTGTGTAATCACTGGAATTTTGCTAACAGCAGCATAAAACATGTCTCAGGAAACTTGACTTTGTTTATGTCTATGTCTTAGTTTGTCAACAAAACAGAATACTGTGGTCCACAATTATCTGAAGATTAGGTAAAGTTACATAGTGTGATAATATCACTGTGCTAGTACTGACATGAACACTTTGAGTGGAAGACTATTGAATGTGTATAAAGAAACACTGCCTTATTGCGAAATATTGTGAAACCATTTTGTAATAAATGTCTTAATGATAAACATTGTTGTTGTTATGTTGATGGCAAGATGTGACTCGTGTCCCTTGGATGTGTGGCCCAGCTGTCCACATTTCGCTTTACAGTGATGGGTAACAATGATGGAGGGCCGAATCCCAGATTTGACATCAGTTTGTTTCTAGGTTTGCCTACATCACACCCCTGCTTGTGGGTTGTTGTCACACGTCCTGCATCACTGCAGACTTTCATCCCCCACCAAGCTGACACACAGTGAGATATTATTACCGTTCTGAAACACTGAAAAATTCAGTGTTGAACCAAACTCACTCACTCCCTCAGAGGATGTAGACTGGTGTTTATGTAGACAGATGAGGCTCATGGAGTCCACGACATTCGATTGGATTGGATTGGATTGATGTTTAACGCCACACTCAGCAATATTCCAGCTATATGACGGCGGTCTGTAAATAATCGAGTCTGGACCAGACAATCCAGTGATTAATATCATGAGCATCGATCCACGCAATTTGGATCGATGACATGCATCAACCAAGTCAGCGAGCCTGCCCACCCGATCCCGTTAGTCGCCTTTTACGACAAGCATAGTCGCCTCTTACGGCAAGCATGGGTTGCTGAAGACCTATTCTACCCCGGATCTTCACGGGTCTCACGACATTCGAGCTGCTGTTGACCGAGGTCACCAGGACCCCACTTACATGAGGATTTGGTGGATGTGAAGTTGCTGATTACCCGTCATTTCCTCCATGTTGAACCCTTGCTCAGTTGCTGGTTTGTCTGCTCCAGACACAACTGTTTAAAGACTGGAATAATGCGGCATTAAATAATTTTCACTCACTCACTTACTTGTGAAACACTTCCTTACAAACTGTGATTGTTCTCAAGTAAATGGGTTAATTGTTGTTTGTTGTTTAACCCCGTATTGAGCAATGTGGCGGCGATCTGTAAATAATCGACCAGACAATCCGGTGAGTGAATTGCCAGGGTATGAGTCTATGCCTACTCATTGGAAAACTACAAGGTTATGTATTGTCACCTCAAACAATCTTTCCAAGATCTTATTTATATCTCAAATAATGTCTTCATTGTAAGTTCCCAACACTGCAATTAACACGCCGTGAGGTTTTCTTAAATTATACAATGTTCAAGTTACATAACCTGTTTTTTGCAATTGTTTTTCAGGACTTCGAGTTGTGAAACATGTAGACACATATAAACAACAAATCACTTCTATCCTCAACCAAAGACAGTTTTTAAGAGACGAAACGGGAATGAAATGGATTGAACGCATTCAATGATATGCTCCACTGAGTTATGACACTGTCCCCGACATGAATGACAGTCGACATTACAAAGAAATAAAATTAGATCTGCCGCGTCATCACGAAATTACATGTATAAGGTTTTCAGCTGATATGAATCTTTGGTCGATCATGTTCACCATCCATTGTAAGGGCCACAAACGGCTTTGATCGCTTGGCAGAACATGAATAAAGAAACCTGATTCAACACTATCCTTGGAAAAACGTAAACATCTCACGGTACCAACAGAGCATTAATTCACGAAATGTGTGGTGAGTTATTTAACAGACATGATAGAACTATGTAAATAAATTATGTGCATCTTCATCTTTAGGTACCCCAGTTAGGTACTGTTTCTGACAGATATTTCACATAAAATATTGACCCCTTGCGATTCCTGGCTACAGGCGCCTTGTGGTTAAAGCGTTCGCTCGTCACGCCAAAGACCCGGGTACGATTCCGCCGTGATATTGCTGGAATATTGCTAAAAGCGGCGTGAAACCATGCTCAATCACCCAATGTATATAAGAAGGAACACATTCAGTATATTTTATTTCTGTTTAATGTTTCAACGTGGAATTCGCAAGCTCGAAAAGTCCTTTCACCAATCGTTGACATATTTATGAATGTGCGGTCGAAGGTGAGTGTGATTGCGATTGTGTGAGTGTCCGTGGTTGTGTGTACAGGTGTTGGAGGTTGAGAGCGTGCGTGCTTGTGTTTGTACATGAGTGCGAGGTTGAGAGTGTGTGCGTGTGCATGCCTGCCTGTTTGTGTGTACTAATCGACGTTTGATAGGTATACTGGTATATTTCAGTCTATTTACATAATAGTAATTTGTCCTTTGTCATGAAATATTATGCAATGTGTCAGTCTAGTTTAATGTCTTGCATTTTTTACGTCTCACACCCTATATAATAAAATCTGAATTAAGCAAAATGGAGGTAAATGGTATAACATAATAGAATAAGAATACAGCGATAAGAACATATATCAAGCAAATAAACACGTCATTAGTCGGGGATTAAATAACAAGTCAAAGTTTAGTCCCTGTATACAGCTTTATGTGTTCATCAAGGGCCAACGTCAACAAGTCATTGGCCTGAGATTAAAGGAGCCAGTCAATGTGTAGTCTCTATTTCAAGCAATGTCTTTTTATCCAGGATCAACGTTATACAACCATGTCTGGCCGAGCATCAAAGAAGCCAGAAATGCATACACGTCATTGGCCGGGCATTAAAGGAGCCAGAAAGCCATACACGTCATTGGCCGGGCATTAAAGGAGCCAGAAAGCAATACACGTCATTGGCCGGGCATGAAAGGTGCCGGATAGCCAAACACGTCATTGGTCGGGCATGAAAGGAGCCAGAAAGCCATACACGTCATTGGTCGGGCATTAAAGGAGCCGGAAAGCCATACACGTCATTTTCGTCAAAAGACTACTCACCAGAGTTAAAGTAATGTGTTTGAAATTCATAAGTCTGAAATTGCCTCAACAAATAAAGTTTAGTCAAGTGGTCATAATGAAGAACATGGGATTACATCATTGGTCACTTGCGGGACCTTTATGGAGTCGGAAGTAGTTAGAGAGGTTAATGTTAATAACCGTTAAACCACAATCAGTTCCCTATTTTGTTCCTCGGAATGGTTGTTATCGGAATTTATTTAGCATAGCTACATGAACTGTGGCAGTATTTTCACTTGGCAGACACCTAAACAGTAGTTAATATTTTCTCTAGGTTAAAAACCGCAACTCCTTCCTCCCTCACTGCATGTGGAACAAGATCAAGGGATAAGCACAGCCATTATTTAAAATGTACACCGGTTGCTTCAGGAAGGCCGGTCTTGTCTAGGAAATGCAGCTTTAACATCATGTCAACGAAAACATCTTTAGAAATGTACATACATAATGAAAACAGTAGTGTAAAAGTACATATTTCTCTATCCCCATTCTTTCACTTTAGTCATTTAACGTGTTAATTGTAAATAAGCATACAAGAAAGTGGCGACTAAAAGCAGGAAGGGCATGTCATCGTATCCCATTTGCGTGGATCGGTATATACTTTCATGGGAATACGATATGTTTAAACTTAACTAAAAACGGCCACAAAATCCATCTTTACATTCGCGCATTGGGTTACTGTCTTCTACAGATCTTGGTCTCCAATTGCTTTTCGATCAGCGGAATTTCACTTTCAGCTCGATCGGCTTCTTTGGTGCCAAAACATCAAATGGCTTGAAATCCGTCAACACGTCCTGTAACAGAGTGATTCACAGTTACTACAAATCATCCTTACAAAATTGATGTCAACTGGAAAATTATATAAAATTGTTTTTTAAACTTTAAATCTTTAAAAATCCAACACGTGTCCATCTTCAGCCCATTTAAAAACACCCATACGCATTAAATCTTCAGACAGAAATAGAGGAATCATGAAATGTGTTCATCTAAAAAATGATTAATAAATAAATGATCAGATGTATTTTGCGTTATTGTAACGCTGCGTGCATTGAGCCTGGTAACCCTTTATATGTAAATCTGTCTCAGTCCGTTGTGACGTGATGTTCTTCGGACCGGTGGTCAGTGATAGTTTGCATTGAGCGTTTTCCGAACATCAAAATGTTTTTCCTATATTAACGTTTCTAGTTAAACACCTCCAGTAACGGTTTGGTGATTATACCATGCATGTGTTATAAGCTCATCACGTGTAATCCTACCGGGGTATCAGCCAGTCGGACAAAGTGGAGTTTCTTGAGCAGGTGAGCCAGTGCGACCTTGATCTCCACCAGGGCAAGCCTCATTCCCACACACTGACGTGGACCATGGCCGAACGGCAAATAATACATCGGGTTGATTTCCGATTTCTTCTCCCATCTGTAAATATACACCATATCACATATTGTTTTTAACAACGTGCCGTTTGGATTCCGATGTACAAATGATACATTTCAGTAACGAATGCAACGAAATTGGGGAAACATTTTGAAACTAGAGGAGATGGTATCATTGACGGGACCATACCTGATTTTATATAATGTACACAACTAAATGGGCAAAACGTAAGATTGTAAGCTTCATGTTAAGCCATAGGTAAAATCGTGATCCAGTAAGTTGTGTCTCACCGTCCTGGAATCGTGTTGACGGTTGGTTTGATTACCTTTTTGCCTCGCGCTCGAAGGGAAGTTTGTTTTGACGACGAGCGCAAGTTTTGAATGCACTTGGCATTACTTTGAAACTCTGCACCTATCATGGTCATACCAACCAACTTTTAACAAAATGTAAAAGATCGCGAGATGTAGATATTATTTGCTGTTTATAATTTCCTGTAGAGCTAATAAAGGTGAAACCTTTCAGGTTTGAACTTTAAGGGTTCTGGATAAATGTCAGGGTTCCTGTGCATTTGGACAACGGGGATGTTGATGTAGACACCCTTTGGAAACGTCCATCCTTTGATCGTTGTTGTTTCAGACACGTAGCGATCCACACTGCAAACACAATAGACATATCAGAAATTGGTGATTCTGGCGAGAATGGTTTGAGATGGAGCACTGAACATAGTAAAGGCGAGCATGGTTTGAAATGGGGCACTGAACATAGTAAAGGCGAGCATGGTTTGAGATGGGACACTGAACATAGTAAAGGCGGCCATGGTTTGAGATGGAACACTGAACATAGTAAAGGCGAGCATGGTTTGAGATGGGGCACTGAACATAGTAAAGGCGAGAATGGTTTGAGATGGAGCACTGAACATAGTAAAGGCGAGCATGGTTTGAGATGGGGCACTGAACATAGTAAAGGCGAGCATGGTGTCATATGGGGCACTGAACATAGTAAAGGCGAGCATGGTTTGAGATGGGGCACTGAGCATAGTAAAGGCGAGCATGGTTTGAGATGGAGCACTGAACATAGTAAAGGCGAGCATGGTTTGAGATGTGGCACTGAACATAGTAAAAGATCAACATCACATATTTTTGATTCACAACTGAAAACTTTCTTAAAGAACGCAAGCATTACTACAAGACACGAGTTACAAGTTATTATATTTCACTCTGGATGTATCATATTTTGTCGGAAGAAACTGTGGTTTTAGCGAATTCGAACGGCAAAGCAGAGAACAACTTACTCCGGAACAATCGGGTACAGTCTCAGCGTCTCTGTGACCACGAGATCCATGTACACCAATTCATGGATGCTGTCATAGTCCGGATCTTTCTGAAAAATATAGAGTAAGCATTGAAGTATCTGGGTAATATCAGTCTATTAAGTTCATCTGTTTGGAGCCCTTGTCAGTTTGTGATGCTCATGACCTTTCTACCAGGTCGTTTCAAACCTTCATTACTTACAGGCCATATTGAACATTCTACTTCCAAATTTCATTTGGATATTTTATCTTGACGGTTAACTGATGATAACATAAAGGCAAGAAATGATGACATAACACACCTAAGCGAGACTTACATCCCCAAGGACTGAATCTATCTCTTCAGACAGCTTCTGCTGAATGTCGGGGTGAGTTGCCAGGACATATGCAAGGAACTGGAGGGTGCTCGCCGTAGTTTCGTATCCGGCCAGAAAGAAGACGAATGCTTGGCCAATAACTTCATCGGTTGACATTTCTAGAAAAAGGTGTAAGAAATAAAAGCAGTAAGGACATAAATATCATTCTGAACAGACGGCAGCACATATTGAAACTACCTAAAACATGCACTTTCAATTCTGCAGATTAACAATAAGTAAATGCCAATAGTTCATATATGAGGTACACATTAAATGCACCAACGACTATGTAAACAGGCATACGAGGGTTGATTTTTAAGTTCTGAACTAAGCGTAGAAAGAATTGTGTAATAGTGACATCTTTTGTTGTAGACATCATATGATGTCATGGAGGTTTTTCCACAAACGCTTGAGTAAAATGAGGAACTGGTTTCCCTGTGGCACGTCAGCGAAATACGTAGGGGTTTGTGACCTTGGAACATGGACAGTCTTGCGTAACGTGCATCGATCAAGTACTTGCAGATTGTTGTTTAGACTCCGACTGGAAGTGGTGAGCCATGTTCATAAGGTATTATCAGGTAAAAAACAACACATCTCAGCAAAGGTAAGAAATAGACCAAAAGGAATTGGCGTGTCTCTATCCACACAACTTAGCCCCCCACAGGGCACTTGAAAAAGACTACATGACCCGGATTCCATTCCAGAGTTTTTTCACAGCATTCATATAATTTCCTTCGAATTTAACATATTAGTTAATACATATGACGATACTTGGATCTGAACTAGCTATCACTAACCCTGCAATGTATTCACCATTCTGTATTGTTCACAAAACATTTTTAACAATAACTGGACACTTGGTGCATTCAATATGCGATGTCCTAGTTGTTAGTTAACCCTACACTTTAACACGCAAAAAATATACAGATTGCGACGGTCAAGGCCATGTACATACTCTTATGTGATTGGTCAGTGTTTCCGTCTTGCGTGACGTCATTCTCAGCGTTCAGCAGCAGCTGGAGGAAGTCCCCCCTCCGCTGCAAGGGATGAAGAAGGAAAGTCAGCAACTGCGTTGCCATGGTAAGTAGCGTATGAAGGACGACCAGTACGTTAGATGGACATAAGGCCACAGTCGCACGAAAATGGTACTGTCTATGACAACATTTAAATGCGAATCCGAGCGTTATTTGATAACGGCAGTATCTTTATGTGTAAGAAGTCCCAATTTCCAAATGTAAAAAACCCAAAATATCTTAATTATATTTTCACCCTCGTCTCAAGTCGCCGTTTTGAACACGAGTTTCCCCTTACTTACAGCTAAGCAAAATGTTTATTTTTTCCGTAGTTCATACACATGTAAACAATACAATGCTAATTTTACATGAGTTTTCTGCATGGTATAGGTCACGTGTTCCAAAGTTGGGAAATATTAAAGCTGACTGTTCGTTTCCTGACAAATAGGATAAAATTGCAACAAGTCTTCAGAATGTGTAATGTATCTTCTCAGAATTGCTCAAGAATAGATGATTAGGATGTCTCAGCATGAGTAGTGTATCATATTCACCTCGGAGTTCCGGAAGTAGATGGATTCATGTCTACCTACCCGTCGATCAGCCTCTGGTTCTTCCCTTCTTTGTTTGATGATATCTTTCACACTGTTCTCAAAAAACGCCTTGGATGAGCGCGGTAAAGTTGAAAACCCGAGTTTTGCAAGTAGCGGTTGTAAACCAGGGAAAACCACTGAAATTGAGTGAAAAATGTGTGACTACGAATACTATGTCAGTTACAGCATTGGTTTTCAGCTAAATAGCCGAACATGGTCGTAGACATTGTAGAACTATACAATGCCAGGCAAACTACAATTCTAGTACTTGAAATTAAATTGGGATTTTCTTGAACGTTAAATCAAGGGGCTGTCGTGTAGCCTAGTGGCTGAAGCGTTCGCTCGTCACGCCGACGATCCGGTTTCGAATCCCGACATGGGTACAATGTTTGAAGCCAATTTTTGGTGTCCCCCACCGTGATATTGCTGGAATATTGCTAAAAGCAGCGTAAAACCATACTCACTCACTTACTTGTAAAATCAATTAGGCAAAATATGTCTTCAGTGCGATTATTTTCGAAAACTCACATGCGATGAGCAGGATGGGGTTTCCGATAACATTATTATCAAATATGTTCTTGGCTGCTTTCAGAAAACCGCTCTCAGTGCCATTTTGGGAGTCGGTGTCGATGCCAAAAGCAGTGCTGGCGATGGAGTCCATGGTGAAAGCACCAAAGTATCTGTAACAGCAATGTACACAATGACATACGTGTAACTGAAGTGGTTGAAAAAGTGACCCTTAGCCAAACGGCTGCGTGAGGCGAGTCGACAAGTTCTCGAAAGTCAGGGTTGCGAAATTGGTTGTTCTATTATTTGTGGAAGACATGGAAGACGAATGCAAATCTTCCTCAATTGTTCAACACAAATAATAGTACAATACTTGCTGAGCATTATCGACTATTAAATATATGTGGAGTGTGTGTGTGTGTGTGTGTGTGTGTGTGTGTGTGTGTGTGTGTGTGTGTGTGTGTGTGCGTGTGCGTGTGTGTTTTACTCATATGGAGGTTGAACCATACTTATTGGGTCCAACAAAACACTAATTTTAAGAAAATCCATCAAATCATGCGAACAATTTATGTTTGTGTCTAAACCCGAGAAAAGGCTTTAACCACTGCATAACGTACTTATATGTGAATGTTTCATTCAGTGTTTGAAGGCTTCGGTCATGTACAAATAAGTACATAATATCATGATATGAAAGAGACAGTTGTATAATAATAGGAACAGTGCAAAGAATTACAAAGTATTGAACAGTAATGTGCTACATCTTCAAGTGAGTCCTTGTGTCTTATTTCAGTGTTTACATCAGGGGCACGTGGCCCAGTCGTCTAAGGCACCGTGATTCGCTGTGCAGAGTTGCGTGCCTTGGGCACGCCAGAAACCTATGAGTGTGGGTTCGAATCCCGGTTCGCCACGATTATGTTTCTAGGTTTGTCAGCACCATACCCGTGCTCGTGGGTTTCACCGAAGTGGTAAACGTCAGAGACCTGCATCACTTCGGGCGTTCCTCCAACATTAAGCTGGTACGCTGCGATATAACTGGAATACTGTTAAAAGCGGCGTTAAACCAAACTCACTCACTCACTCAATGTTTACATCAGTTATCCCTATACAGCACTTGCCAAATATGGCCGATGCTTGCAACCGGTAGGGCAGGACATGCTTACCCTTTTCGCGAATACCTGGTGCCATCAATGATTTTCAGTGGTCCATTAATATAATTTTCACAGCTATTTTCCTTTTGCGTCAAACGCAAACGCAAAACGCGTACAGTTGGCTGAATCTGTAGTCACACAAACTGATTATAATATTTTACTCGCATGTACTTTACGTGCGATTATCTTCGCGGATGTTGATTACTCAGCATCCGGATCCTTGTCTTTCTTGTAGCTTGATGATTTTGTTCGGTATCGCTATTCAGTTTTACATTTGGTATTGTAAGTCTAGATACATTATTATACATGTTGTTAATAGTATTAAGGGGACAAGTTGGTAGAGACGGTGTATTATGGTGCATTGCAAAGTAAAACCATTATAAAAGTTATTAATGAAATCAGTTTGTTAAGACTTTGGTTTATTAGAAATTAGAGGTTTTCAGGAAACGAGTAAGTCTTTGACCCATGCTGGTTTTCTAGACAGATGTAGACAAAAATTGTATAAACATATGTATTTTATCGTGTCAGAAGTAAATTGTTAATGTAAGACAGCAAAATAGAGCAATACGGCTCTGCAGCTCACCTGAATTATGAGGAAATATATTAGGTCATGTTTAAAATCGGATGGAAATTATACGAGCGTGTCAGGCAAGAAACAAACACCTGTTTTACCTGTGGTGCACCACACGCTTTACCTTTTCACCAACACCTGGTGTCGTGATTTTCAGTGATCCATTCATATATTTGGCCTCATTGAAATGTGCTTCGGCAGATAATGAAGACTAATATTCTCTGACGTTAACGTTTTATGCTTGAGACACCGCAGCTGGGATCATTGATGCAAAGTTTCAGCTTTAAAGGCCTCGTAGTTCAGAGAGATATGAAACAATGAGGCCACATGGGTACTCGAAGGTCAAAGGTCGTTTCTTGATAAATGATCAAACATTTCTTAACATTTCTGATACATTTCATGCCAGTGTTTTAAATCTGACATTTCCATTGGGTCGAATATGGCCATTGTACCACCTTGTCCTTTGTCGTTTTTTTAAGGACATGGCTACCCGACCGCCCCTACGAATTTAAGAAGCATGGCATTATGTCACGCTTGTGCCTGCATTCTTACCTTAACAATTGTAGCTTTGTGTGTATATATTTGAACATGACTATTGATAAAAGCAGATAGCCACTAGCAGTCGTGTCAAACTGACCCTGTATACATCGGACTCGATCACTGTCTAGAGTTCTGAATATCTTCTGTTCGATGAAAGATATCATAACTGAGATATCATTCCCTTACTTATACCGTTCTTAACTGAATGGGCTTACAATAGAATCTGCATTTAGCAGACATTCCGATTCATATGCTTTAAGAAACAGATCCAGAAGAAGGGGAGCACAATTGGTGTCCATGGAATGTCTTTCCCCAAAACTTCAGATAGGCTTGATCATTCCACGTAGTGTTTCTCAGTACACAGATGACACTTGCTTTCAGTTTGGGTTCAGTTTAGTCACGTGACACTAAACATTCCACGAGCGCACTGTGGGACTGAGCATTGTGGAACACATGTGTAGACCCTAAGTCTTTTTTTTATTGACTGGCGTGGGACTTTCGTTGTAAAAATTGAAACTAATGCAAGGGCGGATCCAGCATTTGTAAAAGGGAGGGGTCCATAATATCAAAATCCTCTCTCAGATAATTTTACTGCCTACAACATAACGGTCCCCCCACCTAAGTAATGTTATCACCGATAATGTCAGCAGACTACAGCAACAGCAAGCCCGGAAATGGAGGACTCATCGAGTTGGATTCTCTGCGGGATATTAACGTGAATCGACGGTTTGTGGTGACGTGACGTGAGATGAAATGGCACCGACGTGGGAAGAATAATTCGTTTCCGGATTCGAAAGGGGGCGCGGAAGGAAAGCATCAATTTCTTGGATTTCGGTTAACAAGGTAGAGTTTTAACTAATAACGGGGCAATTGTCACTTTTAAATTTTGTTTGATACATCCGTGGCGGTTTTTCCTTCTCACAATCCTTAACACCATGATGTGTTTTATCAGATTCATTGTAAGCAACAATTTTACCGATAGATAAATTTTGATTGACAGCAATGACAGAACAAGTACGGACGGCGTCTTAGAATTCTCTTTCGTGAAGATGTTAGTGTGTACAGCTGTCCGTGTAAACGAGTTGATTATAACCGAATAAGATACAGTGGACGTTATCACTTTCTGTTTGTCGTAAAACATTCATTTACAAGTTTACGCCAATGCGATGTTTACAAAGTAAAAAATTCTGTCAATGTCGTAAAAAGACACATCGAATGGTATTTATGAGGCAACTAAACTTTTAATTAAAAGGCAGAATGTGTTGATTGAGACATTAACTCTTTAATATGTTTCACAGATCGTAGTAAAACACAGAAGTGGGGATGTCGTTAATTAATGAATTCAAATCATGTTGCGTAGATGCTTAAAACATTGCGTAGGATCTGTACTTGCGACGCACAGATTAATGTCTTACTTTTTCACGACTACAGCCTCTCCTGACTCAGCAACGGCAGCAAGGTTCTCCGTTAGTTTTCCAGCACATGTGTTAAGTCCCGCACACATCTGAAACAAAATAGATTTAAACTATAAACCCAACGCAAAAGTCCATCCTATTACGCATACAGCCTTACACAGTCAGACTATAAAGACGAAATTTACGCACTATCGAATTTAGCTTCACACATAACAATGGCACAGACACAGCTGTAGTGCAAGCTGAAGGATTCCAAACAGACTTAGTTACAGAGACATCCTATAGGCTAAGGTAAGTTCGGGATTTGGAACTTAAGCCATTGCATGGTGAATGAGTTTAGGATATGTTTTGATAGGCAACGGGTAGTTTTGTCGTCTGCAACGTTGCATCGTTTGGGCGTGCCGGAAACTTATGATGGTGGGCCGGGTTATGTGTTTAGGCTTAGCACCAGACCCAGCATCAGTTCTTGGGTGGTAATACCTGTGGTAAATCATATGTTTCCACAAATACAGAATCCTTGCAGCTGTTGTAATAATATATAAGTGCTCTTTAATTGTTTTCTTGAATTCCACAGTTCAACACACTGACATAAAATTATGATGTGCAGTAGAAGTGTATGGACGCTATAAAACACACATGCTTTGAAACATCAGTCAAACGATATCAACATTTTTCTTGAATACTTTAAAATCAAGAAAAAAAACAGTAAGTACCCGGACACTGGGATCTGTGTACCGCTGCGATAAATGTGTCCCTGTTCGTGCACTTACTTAAGGGTTGGTTCACGGGACAAAGTATAGCACCGTTGACTGTTGTCTAATTAAAGATGGACGGCGCATTTCATCTCGCCTCAACCGTGACAAAACTGGATCAAGTTTCACTCGCCTTGCACATCCCTATTCAGAAATCAGTCGTTACCGAAAGCGGTCGTTGAAATTTCTCGCCAGTAAGAGTGTGACACTTTTGACAGTTCTTGACCTCGTGTCATCAACTGATACATGAACTAGTGACTCGTTGTGACGTACCCGTCGGAGCTTGACACCGCTGAAGGTTGGGCTTATGATGTTTCGTAGTCTCCTCCATGTTTCCCCCCTCGAATTGAAAAGATTGGTGGAGAAGGGGAAGTCATTCAGTTCAAAAACCTGGAAATACAAAAATATATATAATTTATTTATAGACTACAGGTAGCTACAACCTGGCACATGAACAATTATCACCTTGTTGCCTGTAGCACGGGTGGAAAGAAACCTATCATTGTGAGTTCGAATCCCGGTACACACTGATCATGATTCTAGGTCAGCGCCAGACCCTTGGGTTTCACCAAAGAGGTAAACGTCTGCACCACTCTGGTCTTTTCTCCCCATCAATCTGACACACCCTGATGTGACTGACATACTGTTAAAAACGGCGTTAAACCAGCTCACTCACTTACCCTTACCCGAGGATCATCCATCAAATAGAAAAAAACCCAGGAATTTGGAAGTCCGCGTAAAGTCTTTAACACATTGCATACTTATTCCTTTCTTGTCGTTTTTTTTAAGCTGATGCTCTTCTTGAACAGCCAAAGTTAGTTGCTGTATATGCCCAACAAGTCATTATCTGTTATGAAAAATCTTCTATATTTAAATTGGTCGTATACAAAGTTGCCCTTGGACCCCTTCAATTTGTTTTGGAATTTGGCACCGAATGTCTGCCACTTACCAGTCTGTCAGTGAAGTTCTTGAAGTCTTTTATCAGAACTTCCTTAATGATGTCGACGTCAAACACATTCACCATGGGAAAGCCTCCCAACCACACTCTGAAAGAATCATCAGTGCCATGTCTTTTGACTTAGTATCTACAAATTCAAACCTCTTTTAGGGAAGTTTATAACGAGAAGAACCAGTCTGATTATCTACCGAAACAGATTCATTTTGGCGTCATGGTCAAAATGGCTGCGAAAATGATGTGAATGGACTACAGAACCCTCATTATATATTAAAACCTGTGGCAATGATCAATAGCTAGAATGAAAGAAGAAGTATTGATTACCATTACATTTTTATGTCCCATTGACTATACAGTTGACTGCCCACCACTACAATATCAATGCCACCTCTATACACAATGGAAAAACAAAGAGAAACTTTAGATTCTAGTTGACGAATTTATATACAGTCTGTTCATATACAGTGTTAGTCAAACAAATGATTTAATACCCAAATACGTCTCCATACTTCTTGCCAAGCTTGTTCTCAAGATCTATACCCTGAAACATATGTTTAGATGACAATATAACAATGGCTTTGTACAAGAATGTACATCACTGTAGACGCAAAGTATGGACAACATTTCTGTACTTTACTGTAAATTACTGTAATATTGACGTTTCAAGTTTGACAACGGTGATCTGTACCGAAAGGTCGCTATTACAGTAACATAATGAAGTTGTTATCCATAAATTGTGTCTACTTTGTCATCCGTCAACTTATTATATGCATAATAAAACTAAACACGTTAATTTTCAATCAATTGACCAAGGCTTTTATACTAATAGGTGAGGTGAAGTGAAATGGGGTTTAACGTCGCGTGCAAGATTATTGCACTTATATAGCGACGTGCATGCACGCGTATGTGTGTGTGTGGCTGCTTGTACTAGTCCGGACTGATGCCGATTTATAGTGCTAGCACACTGAGATACCATGCCGCAGTTTAACATGAGTACCCCACTCAGACACAGTATACTGACTCCGAGCCGACCAGTCCTTGTTTTAGCCCTTAATGCCGAGCGCCAGACAGGGTAACAACAAGTACCATCTTTTAACGTCTTTTTGTATGACGCGGCTGGGGATCAAACCCCGGACCTTCCGCTCTCCGGGCGGACGCTCTACCATAAGACCACGGAGGCGGTCTTTTACACTAATAAACAATAATTTGCTATCAACGTTAATGGACCAATCTACTAAATGGCTAAGTGCAGTGAATGCTTGTGAACAATGTACACACACACACTAATGAACGTCTTATGCAAATGTTCAAATATCAGAGTATATAAGTTTAACAATCTGGTTTATGTTTACTCATTCGTAGGAAATGACATCTAGAAGCTGCACTGATCAATACGTATTCAGTCTGTAACGGCATTAGGCATATTGAAGTACATTCAGTATGAAGAGTATGATTTTCTGCTTGTGATCTGGTTGTAAAACCGTCAAGTTAGACGGACATTGTCACGAGTTTGGAATTGAGTGTGCTGATGATAACCTGTTTGTGACACTCTCTTGGGATATTAAGGTTTGCAGGTCGTATGTTGTCTGGCTGTGTCTTTTCGTACCCTCCACATGAAATTCCATGTGGACGGACTATCTACAGCTGCCTCAAGACAAATGTTTATATTGAAACCGGTGAAATGGACGACACGTTGATGACCTATTATAAAAGTCCGAATTACACACATAAAATGTCTCACTTTCACACATGGCATTAGTTTTTACAACGACTAGACCTGGACTTGAAATGGTCACTAGACCGAAGAGCAGTGTCAGCGTCTAATTGCCTACATCTCTCATAACGCGCCGAAGATCCCCGAGGTAGATATCTGGTTCCGGACCGGGAAAACCAGCGTCTTTCAGCAAGCGGAACCGCCATTTTCCATATCTGGGGAAAACACGAATGATCAGCATCAGACTTTTGAAATCATTAATGTTCTGATTGGAATGGGGAACACATCACAGGCTTCCAATCAACTCCGGATAAAATGGAGCTGGCTATAGAGAAACTCGACTACAACACTTACTAAGTGAGTTTGTTGTTTTGGATTCGAACGCATTATCAGAGGTTTAAAAGAGGTCTATTAAATCGAAACTTCTTAAAACATGTTGAATAGTCTTACAAGGTACATATTTAAACCAATAAATGTCATGTGTGATTGTTATGCAGGAAAAGTCCCTCTTTGTTTATTATTATTGTTCATGTTCACTGGCGTGTGCCGGCGTGTCCCATTTCCGACCTCGTCAATATTCGAATCCTCAAATGGTTTGCTTGTACCAACGCCGTTAAAAGTTAGGTATCGCTCGCAGGACATCGCCGCTACGAAATTTGCATGTGCAGGAGCGTCCTTGCGTGGTCTTAACCCATTTCAGACCTCGTCCATATTCGAATCCTCCAATGGTTTGCTTGTACCAAAGCCGTCAAAACATAGGCACCTCTTGCAGGACATCGCCGCTACGAAATTGGCATGTGCAGGAGCGTCCTTGGGTCTTCTTAACACATTTCAGACCTCGTCCATATTCGAATCCTCAAATAGTTTGCTTGTGCCAACGCCGTCAAAAGATAGTCACCGCTTGTGGACATCGCTGCTACGAAATTGGCGTGTGCCAGGGTATCCCGGGGTATTTTAAAACCATTTCCGATCTCTACCGTGTTCGAATCCTCAAAGGGTTGGCTTGTGCCAACGCCGTCAAAAGATAGTCACCGCTTGTGGACATCGCTGCTACGAAATTGGCGTGTGCCACGGTGTCCCGGGGTATTTTAAACCCATTTCCGATTTCGACCATGTTCGAATCATCAAAGGTTTTTGCTTGTGCCAACGCCGTAAAGATCATCAACGCTTTCAGGACATCGCCGCTACGAAAGTGGCGTGCGCCGGAGTGTCCTTCCCAAGCCCTGCGAACGCTTTAACCACTAAGCCACCCCGCCGTCCACATAATAATATAGATGTCACAAATGCAATAATCTTAGTTCACATAAAGTTATTTGGTTATAGTTGCAAGGCTTGCAATCTAAATACTATGAAAAAACAAGTTAATATACACACTTGCCGGCACCATTGGCAGATGTGTAGCTGACAGTGGACTCAATGTGAGAGTAAAGTTTCAATATCACACACACACGCACGCACGCATGCACGCTGGATGAAGAAGAGGGGAATGTCCGAGTAACTCCCCATTCCTTAAAAAAAATGGAGCGGAGGCCCCGCAGGAGCTGAGGCCCATTACTCTTTAGGAATGGAGATTTACGAGGATATTCCCCGACTTAAAACACATCCCTACTTTTACACTTTGACAAAATATTATGTTGTTGAAAATATTTGAAAACTAAATATTTGAAAAGTAAACCAGAACTCTTTGTTGTCTGTATTTATGCTGCGTGAGTCACGAGGAATGCTTTCTCTGCCGCTGTTGCACGTGCGCCAAGCTCCGTCGCGAGCTGACATTTACAATGCATGGTTCACGGCTCTTCATAATTTTGTTGGGTCCTAAACTATTATTCATCAATCGCTTGGACATTGTCAACACATGCTGACATGAATAATATGAAATAAAGAGCCCCGAACAAAGATTTATATATGACCTGATTTGTTTTTTCTCGTCAAAGGTTTATCAAATTGCTGTAAATATGAACATTGTTGTATGTAACCCGCTCTAACACAAACGTTTTTCATATTTTGAGCTTTAGAGCATTATGCAAAATTATGAAAATATTTAATAGTTTATTTTACAATCCCGCTTGCGACACATGTTTTTGGAAAAAATATATGAAATTATTCACTTGTCAATAAATGTAAAACATAGTTGCGTCTATTCAAAGTGGAAATTAATCAAATGCTGGTTCAAGATAATGCATAGTTGACAAACAACTCCCCATTCCTGAAAAATAATGTAGCGTTCAAACAATAGGATGACGTCACAGATGTGTTTTAACTTGCGATTCAAGCTACATAACCAAAGTCCCGTCACCCTACGTGAACCCCGCTTGTTACGCACACAGTCTTGGTATTATTACAATATGATCTCATGTATATTGAGGACGACATGAAAAACTGTGTCGTGGGTCCTAGGGTTATCTCGCTATACGACTGCATGACTCATGAACACTTATAACCTGGCGTCTAGTGTACACTGTATCCGGGCCAACCTGGACACTTCGGCCTATCACCTGGGTGACGTTGTACAAAAAACCTCAGCCGTACGACTGTCGTACTGTCTGGGTTAAGGTGTGTGAGTTACGATAACCTTAGCGCTTAGAACCACAGCACTGTAATGAATACGTGTTACTTTAACCTTGCCTCCAGTGCACATGTACCCGGGCCAACCTGGACACTCCGGCCTATCACCCGGGTGGCGTTGTACAAACAACCTTAGCGGTACGACTGTCGTACTGTCTGTGTTAAGATGGGTAAGTTACGATAACCTTAGCGCTTAGATCGCTTTGTACCACAGCACTCTAATGAATACATGTTACTACAACCTTGCCTCCAGTGCACATGTACCCGGGCCAACCTGGACACTCCGGCCTATCACCCGGGCGGCGTTGTACAAACAACCTTAGCGGTACGACTGTCGTACTGTCTGGGTTAAGGTGTGTGAGTTACGATAACCTTAGTGCTAAGATCGCTTTGTACCACAGCACTGTAATGAATACATGTTACTTTAACCTTGCCTCCAGTACACATGTACCCGCTATGCGCTACACTCACCAAGCCAATATCGCAAAAGTAAACAGAGCGAACAAGATTTCTATAAACAGAAACGTCCATACATTGTTTCCCTATCCCTTGCCACACTGATCGCATATGTTATACACTACTGAGTACAGACTTTAATAACAGCTTCATACTTGTTTGTTAAACATCTTTCCTTACTTCAAATGTCAAAGAACCACTACCAACATACAAGGGAAATCAATAACAACATAAACAAATCATACTGTAAGTGCTGTTCTCGATAGATGAGTCCAGACTGAGAATGGCTTCACTTACATGTAGACCAAGACCAGGAATCCTGCGAGTAGAGTCAGGGGCAGTGTTAGATCAACACCCAGAAGCTCCATTGCGGTGAATGTGTGGTGTCTAGCAGGTTGACAACTGTCCTCACGGCTGAGTAAATCCGAAGTCAGACCGACCGACCTTCCCCTGGCTGTGAAGCCGTCCTGGCTCTGTCGACCGACCTTTAAGGGGTCGTCTCAAAACTTTAACTATGTATGTTATGAAAACAGTGTAAAGTCTGTGTACAAGTTCATGTGAGGTGAGATGGGATTTAGGTTGCGTTCAAGATGGATCCACCTCTATGCAGCGACGCGCATGCGTGTATGTGTATGCTTGTACTAGTCCATATTCATGCCGGTTTCATAGTACTAGCACACTGTCATGCCATGCCGCAGTGTAAGACGGAGGTTCAAATCAGGTACATTATAATCATGACTCCACTCCACTCCTCTCCACGGGAACTACACAACGGAGGCGGCCCATATATCATCTGACTTTGGGAGGTGAGGTGAGGTGAAATGGGGTTTAACGTCGCGTCCAAGATTATTGCACTTATATAGCGACGTGCATGCACGTGTATGTGTGTGTGTGGCTGCTTGTACTAGTCTGGACTGATGCCGATTTATAGTGCTAGCTCACTGAGATACCATGCCGCAGTTTAACATGAATACCCCACTCAGACACAGTATACTGACTCCGAGCCGACCAGTCCTTGTTTTAGCCCCTTAATGCCGAGCGCCAGACAGGGTAACAACAAGTACCATATTTTAACGTCTTTTTGTATGACGCGGCCCGGGATCAAACCCTGGACCTTCCGCTCTCCGGGCTGACGCTCTACCACAAGACCACGGAGGCGGTGACTGTGGGAGGAAAGCCCGTAGCCGCGTGTATCATTGTATGCCGATGACAAGGTTTAAGATCTCATTTACCATTTGTTTGACGGGTCCAGGCTCGATCGTATACACACCGTTTTGACACCTCCATTTGGGACATTGGTTACCACTGCAATATGTTATGAAGAGTTGCGTTCCTTACCTCTGATAGGTTCGAGAGTTCAAATGCCTGATTCGCCCAGGTTCTGATCTTTGGTCTGTTGGCACCACGCCCGTCCAAACAATGACGAATGCTACAATATTTCTGCCAGCACATAATAAACTATGTAATCACTTTAACCATTCAACTATCATAAATAACACACAATGATTGGACATTTTTGGCAGGTTATTATTTATGCACAAGTAGTGGTCATGATGGTGCATGTATTGCAGGGTAAAAAAAGAAAAGAAGGGAACACACACACTCAAGAAAACGTGCCTGCAAATGGGTATACCCATTTAGCTGCCTTCGTAATGTCCAAAGATTAGGGGGGGGGGGGGGGGGGGGGGGGGGCACGACTTGCAAACCTTAATATCCCAAGAGAGTGTCACAAAACAGGTTATTATCAGCACACTCAATTCCAAACTCGTGACAATGTCCGCCTAACTTGACGGTTTTACAGCCAGATCGCACACAAGCAGAAATTCATACTCTTCATACTGAATTTACTTCAATATGCCTAAGGGGGCACGGGTGGCCCAGTCGACTAAGGCGCCGCGATTCGCTGTGCAGAGTTGCGTCCTTTGGGCACGCCAGAAACCTATGATTGTGGGTTCGAATCCAGGTTCGCCCCAATTATGTTTCTAGGTTTGTCAGCACCATACCCGTGCTCGTGGGTTTCACCGAAGTGGTAAACGTCTTAGACCTGCATCACTTCGGGCTTTCCTCCAACATAAAGCTGACACGCTGCGATATAACTGGAATACTGTTAAAAGCGGCGTTAAACCCAACTCACTCACTCACTCACTCCAAAGATTAAGTATCTCGGTGAAGCTCCGAGGTGGATGGCAATGGGCCTAATTTTCTTTCGGGGATGATTGATAAGTTCTGAGCCTCACATAGAAAAACATTGCGGGATAGTGAAACCGTTTGTCATTATATACTGAACAGCATTGAAAACGCACCAGCAATAAATCTTGAAATATTACAAAAACAACTTGAGCAATGATCGATTTTAATTAGAACAGACATAGAAGGATTATTAAGAAAGACGACAAAGGAAACAGGAATACCACACAGTAATTACATTTACGTCATCAGTGTGAGGAAGACACAAAGGGTTAAAATGAAAAGTCAATACCTGGTATGTCCGCCATTTGCAGCAACACAGGCCATGCAACGTCTTTTCATTGATCGAATAAGTCTGCGAATAGTGTTCTGTGGGATAGCATTCCACTCTTGACGTAGTGTATCTTCAAGTTCTCTCAGGTTCCGTACTTGCGGACTACGTGAGAGGCGTTGACCCAGGTAATCACATAGATGTTCAATTGGCAATAGATCGGGTGACAGGGCTGGCCATGGAAGCAGAGGCACATTATTGTTCGCTAGGTACTGTGTTGAAACACGTGCCGCGTGCGCTCTTGCATTATCTTGCTGGAAGGTGTGCATATCCTGGTGCTGATGAAAGAATGGGATGACGTGATTTGGCAATATGTTATTCCTGTAGTAAAGGGCATTAACTCTTCCACGACAAACATGGAGCTCTGTTCGATGGTTATGACACTGATGCCGCCCCACACCATGACACCCCCCCACCCCCACCCACCCCCACCACCCCCCCCCCCCCCCCCACCCCCCACCCCCATCGATCTGTCTGTACAATGCAGTCATTGTGGTAACGTTCTCCACGTCGACGCCACACTCGCAGTCGACCGTCAGCATTCCGTAAATGAAAACGGGACTCATCAGAGAACAGCACACCATGCCACTGCCGCAATCTCCAATGACGATGCCTTTCGGCCTAACGCAGACGTTCATTTCGATGTCGATCAGTGAGTATGGGTCCAACATATGGACGTCGAGCACGTAGACCAGCTGAGCGGAGACGTCGATGTACGGTGTCAACGCTGATCAAACCCCGTCGGCCTTTCACGGTTGCTGCAGTCCTGGGAACCGGAAGTGTACGATCACGAAGATGCCAACGAACAATATGGCGATCCTGACGTGGTGTAGTTACACGACGTTGACCCGGACGTGGTCCATCTCTGGTGGTTCCTGTCTGCTGGTATCTGCTCAGTAGCCTGAGGACTGTTGAATGATGGCATTGAAACCGTTGTGCAACGACTCTACTTGACGTACCAACTTGAAGCATGCCCAAGGCACGTTCACGTTCCTCTGCTGTTAATCTTGGCATTTCTTGTGTCGGTACCCTTTACGTCTGCAGCAAAAAGTGATGTGGCTTTTAAAAGTATGTCTTTTATAGCCCTATTCTGCATGCTTCCCGTGAAACAAAACACGTTTTCCATGATGCGCACGCAATTTGTTGCGTTTTGGCGTTGTCGCTCACAAAACAATTAGGAATGTGGTTTGACGAGCTGTTCTTCTTCATGCTTCGTCCAGAACGTCGTATATTACTCATTCAATTATATAGTTTCATATGACATAAGCCCGGATAAAAATACATCCATTTTCATGGTGGTGCGTTTTCAATGCTGTTCAGTATATGATGTCATATAGGTATATCCACAAACACGTGAGTCAGTTGAACAAATTGTTAGGTTGATAAAAGTCAGTAAATAAGCGGGGTTTTGTGACCTTTGGAAAACGAACACACTTGGGGAACTTGCACTGACCAAGTACTTGCTGAAAAACAGCTTAATACCAAAAGCCACCCACGAAGATATGAGTACAACACAGAGTTTAGGCGTGGAAGGGAGTGCCTTGAAGACGACCCCGTCATGGAAGGCCATTTACGACAGCAATACCAGAAATAATCCAGAGATTCCACGATATAGTGATGACTAACCGGCGAATGACTGAGCATCATATTGCCAGTTCAGTAGGCATTTCCAGGTAGAACGTATATTTCATTATCACAGAAACTTTGGCAGTGAATCAACACTTTGGGTTCCAAACGCACCAGGCACAACAAGTTTCGTGTTATTCTGGCTCTGTTTAAAGCTGATCCAGAAAGGTTCTTGCAACGATTTGTGACTGTGGATGAAACCTGGCTTCACCACTTCCAGCCCAAGTGGTCCAACCAACAGTGGAAGCCTGTGTAATCCCAACCACTTCACAAAGGCAAAGCCTGTCCCATCAGCTGTAAACAGATATGGACTCTGTGTTCTGACATGTAGGGAATGTCATCACTTGGGCGATCTTCCAAAAAGCCAGTTAATAAACGGAGCATTTTATGCCGCACTATTCGTGCAATTACTGTATGACGTGGGAAGCTGTGAAAAGATGTGCACTTCCATCAGGACCTTGCCCTTGAGTGCTACAATCTACGAGTGTTGCTTTGAACTCCTTCATCACCCACTTTATGCTCATCACATTCCCATCTGTTCCCAAACGTGAAGGGAGCTCTAGCAGGAATCCATGTCGACTCGAACGTTAACATCATAGGAGCTGTGGCGAACATTTTGGACAGCCACAAGAAGGACTCCTAGGAAACAAGGAAAGCGTCCTTCCAACATATTTGGTAAACGTTTATCAATGTGGGGAGGATTATGTGAGGCTGATAACTTATGAATCTCTTCCCTCTTCGATCACTCAATCGACTGCTTCTTCAATACAAATCATTTTGTCAATACTAACATAGGTTACCACATGTAGCATTGGAAAAAGTTAGTGGAAGGTCAGGCCTTTACGTACTTAGGTGCAGGTTAGGGACAAACTCTAGAATGATGGAGTTCAGAGCTGAACGTCAAGATAAACTCAAAGCCATAAATACTTATGCTGTACCCGTCCTTTCATATTCTTTTGGTGTTGCTGTTTGGATGAAACAAGAAATTCAGGGTATTGACAAACTAACACGAATTATCATGTCAGACAATAGATCCCTCCACCCTCGCTTTTCACTCAATTGCTTATATTTACCAATCATAATTGGAGAACGTGGAGGCTCTTCATGATAGCCTTGTATGGTGCACTTTTGCACACACTTATTTGTCTGATGATCCTCTTGTGAGGCATGTAAAGACTCATGATGAAAACAAGGCATTCCACAATTTCCTTAAACGAGCCAATGATGAAGGACATAATGTCAATGTTGATTTTGTTGATGGGTCTGTAGTGCTGGACGGTACAGAAATGAGCGTCAACCAAGCGAAGTGCCATATCAAATCGGCCCAGTCTTTCAAGGAGAGGCTATCTGAACGACCACTGCATCGAGTTTATGTGCAGTGTGTTAAGAAGTCAAGCTACTCTGCAGATTCCTTCGCTTGGATAATTTAGGCGGGCCTGAAAAGTGAAGCAAAAGACTTTCTGTTTGCTACTCAGGAGCAGTCACTTCCCACTTGAAACCGTCAATGTGTGATTTTGTATCAAAATGTAAATATGACATGTAGAATATGCAATGAATTTAATGAGACTGTCCAACACATTGTCAGTGGATTCCCAGCTTTGGCACAAACACAACATCCTAAGCGACATGATGGAGTGACTCGATCCTTTTATTACCGTCTTTGCCATGCTTGTGGCACACCGGCGTATGCTCTTAGCGTACACAAATTGCAGGACTGGCGATATCAGTTTACTATGAAAGCGCTTTGAACCAGAACGTTAGAGTCAAAGGGGATAGCACTGGAAGTGAAGTGTTTTAAGCTCAGACTTGAATGACTGAAGTGTTGGTGCTGATTGCAGTATGAGAGGGAGTGAGTTCCACGAGGAAGCGACAGCAACGCTGAAGGATCTGGAGCTGAAGGTCTCTTTGAATTTGAACCTTGAATTTGGAACATGCAGCAGGAATGAACCCATAGACAATGAGCACAGATGAACCAATCTGTAGCAATGTTTAAATATTTTCATATTTTATAAAAATCCATTCTTGAACCGAAATGATTACGATCACAAATGACAATACATTGTCAGCAGCAGCATATAACATATCCTGTATTACATGTCAGTGCACTCACGAATGTCCAGTATTTGTCACGTCCAATATCTTGAAACATGACTGTCTCTGTTCCAGAATCAGGGATAATGTTTTGCAGTTGGCAGGAAGTCGGTGTTTTTAGACAAATATCCCGTCCGCACTTGGAAAGTCAGGTCGTAAACAAATATGTCTTCAGGTCTCAGAGTCAAATCTGATGCATGGTTAAAGCTGATGTCTTACTCACTTCACATACTGGCATTGTTTGATATATCACTAACACCAAGTTCTTCAGCTGTCTGTTTTGCCCTCTGTCTGATTGTGGGTTAAATAAGTTGCAGCAGCAGTATATAACATATTCTTTATTATATGTCAGTGCGCTCACGAATGTCCAGTGTTTGTCACTGTCCAATATCTTGAAACATGGCTGTCTCTGTTCTATAAGTTGGAAGGAAGTCGGTGATTTCAGACAGATATCCCGTCCGCACTTGGACAGAGCTCGAATGGTTCTCGTGTCGCTATGATACAGCTACAGTCAGCTTTATTAATACGAACCAAAGCACCCTTGCTTTATTATTTGATGGTGAAGACATTTCTTCGAACAGATGTGTACGTCATAGGGAAGGAACACTGTAGAACATTCAACTATCATATCGTGCCAACGTAACTATTATCGGAAGAAATAAGTAGTCCCAGAAAATGCTAGAAAAAATTATTATCTGTTGAACAATAACAGAACTTGTCTGCCACAAAACATGCATTGTTCAAGATGGGTGCTGTTTTGCCTCAAAACAATATACGCTCATGAATGTAATTAATTTTTATTTATTTTTGCAGCTGCAGCTGAAGAATCATCTTTTTTTTCCATACAAATAATTTCAAAACAAATGAATAATTGTTTCAACTGATATATGGGTTTCTGTTCATTCATTGCGAAACCCTTATTGTTCCTCTAGATGTTCAATAGTTTAGGACTATTTTTTTCAATATTTGTCATATACACCTTCTCTCGGGCCTGATTTTGTCATTCGTTTAAGCACCGCTGTTAATTGTAACACACATGTCTTGGTACCCTCACCACTGAAATGACTGTGGTCAAAGACTGCTGTTACTTGTAACCAATGTACCTTGCTACCCACATCACTGAACTGCCTGTGGTTAAACACCGCTGTTACTTGCAACGTATATGTCTTGCTACCCACACCCATGAACTGTATGTACTTAAAACAACGCTGTTACTTATAACATACATGTCTTGATGCCCTCACCACTGAACTGTCTGTAGTTAAACACCGCTGTTACGTGTAACATATATGTGTTGATGCCCTCACCACTGAACTGTCTGTAGTTAAACACCGCTGTTACGTGTAACATATATGTGTTGATGCCCTCACCACTGAACTGTCTATAGTTAAACACCGCTGTTACGTGTAACATATATGTGTTGATGCCCTCACCACTGAACTGTCTGTAGTTAAACACCGCTGTTACGTGTAACATATATGTGTTGATGCCCTCACCACTGAACTGTCTGTAGTTAAACACCGCTGTTACGTGTAAGATATATGTATTGATGCCCTCACCACTGAACTGTCTGTAGTTAAACACCGCTGTTACGTGTAAGATATATGTGTTGATGCCCTCACCACTGAACTGTCTGTAGTTAAACACCGCTGTTACGTGTAACATATATGTCTTGATGCCCTCGCCACTGAACTGTCTGTAGTTAAACACCGCTGTTACTTGTAACATATATGTGTTGATGCCCTCACCACTGAACTGTCTGTAGTTAAACACCGCTGTTACTTGTAACATATATGTATTGATGCCCTCACCACTGAACTGTCTGCAGTTAAACACCGCTGTTACTTGTAACATATATGTGTTGATGCCCTCACCACTGAACTGTCTGTAGTTAAACACCGCTGTTACGTGTAACATATATGTGTTGATGCCCTCACCACTGAACTGTCGATAGTTAAACACCGCTGTTACTTGCAACATATATATCTTGCTACCCTCACCACTGAACTGTCTGTAGTTAAACACCGCTGTTCCTAATAACATATATGTATTGATGCCCTCACCACTGAACTGTCTGTAGTTAAACACCGCTGTTACTTGCAACATATATGCCTTGCTACCTTCACCACTGAACTTTCTGTAGTTAAACAACGCTGTTACTTGCAACATATATGTCTTGATGCCCTCACCACTGAACTGTCTGTAGTTAAACACCGCTGTTCCTAATAACATATATGTATTGATGCCCTCACCACTGAACTGTCTGTAGTTAAACACCGCTGTTACTTGTAAGGATGTAGTATTGTTTACTTTTTCATCATTTCAAGTGACATTGTTCTCTTAACTGTATCATTAAAGATATATTACAGCCGTTTTAATCAGCACCACCAACCAATGTTTCACAACTGACTCCCATGATAGGATTTATCTTCCTGAAAGTGAAACAACCAACGTCCGAGAATTGTTATGATGTTCTATTACTGAATAGTTGTTTGAGGAATTAGCTGATAGTGACATTACAGAATAGTTGTTTGAGGAATTAGCTGATAGTGACATTACTGAATAGTTGTTTGAGGAATTAGCTGATAGTGACATAACTGAATAGTTGTTGGGGGAATTAGTTGAAAGTGACATTACTGAATAGTTGTTTGAGGAATTAGTTGATAGTGACATTACTGAATAGTTGTTGGGGGAATAAGTTGATAGTGACATAACGGCAGCTACACATAGATTATCGGATATCGTTTTCTACTGTGGCAGTGAAATGTTTCTGCAAGACAAGAAGAAGCGTTACTTTTGGACAACAACCTATGTGGTTTGATGAACAGTGCGATATAGAAAAGAGGGTAAACTATAGGCACTTAAATCAATACAGGAAATACGAATGTATTAACAATTTACAGAAATACTTCCATGCAAAAACCAACATGAAGGAGTGTTGTAAACATGAAACATGTAAACAGGAAGGGAAAACACACGGTATTAACTCCACTCGCCTCGAATTCTTTGTGTGAATATAAAGAAAGTGAGACAGGGACTTGGTGGTACATTCGCTAGACCCAGCAATATCGCTCACTCAGTAAGGATGTTTATGGAGCTGTGGAATCCAGTACAGGAGATGAATGGACATGTGTTCAAGTCTTAGAGTTAAGTGTGATGCATGGTTTAGGCTGATTTCTTACTCAGTTCACATACTGGCATTGTTTGATATGTCACTAACACCAAGTTCTCCAGCTGTCTTTTTTTGCCCACGGTCTGATTGTAATACCCTGTACAGAACGTGTGAAACGTGTTTAAATGCGTTTCATTGTAATATTACAATGACAATCAGCTTATGATACACACAGGAAGATATATGTTTAATATTTAGTTTAAGAAATAAATTGCGTATTGTGTTGATTTGCTGGAGCAGGAACACATTTGAACCGTGCAAGTGAACAAAGCGTTCATGCTCCAGTAAACCAGCACAATATAAAATTTATGGGTTTTTTAAATTAAGGGGATGCCAAGTTTAACGTCACACACAATTTATGCGATTTACGTTACCAGTTTCATTGGAATGCTGTGACCCAGTTGCGGGAATATTTTTCAAACTTATGCAATACACGATCGCGGTAAACAAGGGATTCCCCATGAAAAGTAGTTCCATTCAAAATCACGTAAACGTCAAAAGGTGATGTGTTATCTTTGTAAACGTCACTTTAGATGAACGTATTACATAAAACGCACAAATACAGTTTTGAGACGACCCCTAAAATTCAGTCGACAGGGACAAAGGCGGATTCACAGCGAAAGATTTACTCAGCATTGTCAGCCTGCCAGCCACCACACACTCACCGCATACAAGGTGACTTTGTTAGTGAAGCCATTCTCAGTCTGGACTGATCTATCTCACCTCACATTAACTTTTACAAAGGCTTTACACTGTGTTTTCATAACATACATAGTTAAAGTTTTGAGACGACCCCTTAAAGGTCAGTCGACAGAGCCAGGACGGGTTCACAGCCACAGTCAGCGGAAGGTCCGTCGCACTTCGGATTTACTTAGCCGTGAGGACAGTAGACAACCACACATTCACCACAATGGAGCTTCTGGGTGTTGACCTATCACTGACCCTGACTCTACTCGCAGGATTCCTGGCCTTGGTCTACATGTAAGTCGCCTCGTCATGCAACACTGATACGTCCAAGATATACACATGTAGCTTTTTCGGCGGTATCGTCTTCGTCAAGAATAAGGTCAAGTGTAGCCTGCAATGCTGTGCCTGGATTTAGTTGTTGATTACGATATCGCACAGTCGTTTGATAAATATTTTTTGTTGATTATGAAAAGTTTATTATTTTGCTTTATTTCAATATGTCCTAGAAAATTTATAGACTTCTCGGTAAAAAAAATAATCTTGTTCTCTTAGTTTTAGTATCATCGGCTTTGGTGAATGCAGCATGTATTCAAGGCTGGGCTGAATAAAAAAGTGTACACTCGAGGCCGAGTTATAGTGTCATGTATTCAAGGCTGGGCTGTTTAAAAAGTGTACACTCGAGGTCAAGTTAAAGTGTCATGTTTTCAAGGCTAAGCTGATTGTAGTGTATAACTGAGGTCGGATTATAGAGTCCTGTATTCAGATTCAGATTCTTTATTACAGTATAAAGGCCAAAGGCCCATAATACATGCTTGATTTTATATTTTTTTGTAGTGTACAATTGAGGCCGGGTTATAGTGTCCTGTTTTCAAGGCTGAGCTGATTGTAGTGTTCAACTGAGGCCAAGTTTTAGTGTCATGTATTCAAGGCGGGGCTGGTTGTAGTGTATAACTGAGGTCGGGTTATAGTGTCATGTATTCAAGGCTGAGCTGATTGTAGTGTACAACTGAGGCCGGGTTATAGTGTCCTGTATTCAAGGCTGAACTGATTGTAGTGTATAACTGAGGTCGGGTTATAGTGTCCTGTATTCAAGGCTGAGCTGGTTGTAGTTAATAACTGAGGTCGGGTTATAGTGTCATGTATTCAAGGCTGAGATGATTGTAGTGTACAACTGAGGCCGGGTTATAGTGTCATGTATTCAAGGCTGAACTGATTGTAGTGTATAACTGAGGTCGGGTTATAGTGTCCTGTATTCAAGGCTGAGCTGGTTGTAGTTAATAACTGAGGTCGGGTTATAGTGTCCTGTATTCAAAGCTTAGCTGGTTGTAGTGTACAACTGAGGCCGGGTTATAGTGTCCTGTATTCAAGGCTGAACTGATTGTAGTGTATAACTGAGGTCGGGTTATAGTGTCCTGTATTCAAGGCTGAGCTGGTTGTAGTGTATAACTGAGGTCGGGTTATAGTGTCATGTATTCAAGGCTGAGCTGATTGTAGTGTACAACTGAGGCCGGGTTATAGTGTCCTGTATTCAAGGCTGAACTGATTGTAGTGTATAACTGAGGTCGGGTTATAGTGTCCTGTATTCAAGGCTGAGCTGGTTGTAGTTAATAACTGAGGTCGGGTTATAGTGTCATGTATTCAAGGCTGAGATGATTGTAGTGTACAACTGAGGCCGGGTTATAGTGTCATGTATTCAAGGCTGAACTGATTGTAGTGTATAACTGAGGTCGGGTTATAGTGTCCTGTATTCAAGGCTGAGCTGGTTGTAGTTAATAACTGAGGTCGGGTTATAGTGTCCTGTATTCAAAGCTTAGCTGGTTGTAGTGTATAACTAAGGTCGGATCATAGTGTCCTGTATTCAGATTCAGATTCTTTATTACAGTATAAAGGCCAAAGGCCCATAATACATGCTTGATTTTATTAACATGTACTGCGCTTACGCTAATATAAAGGCAGATGTACAATCATATGCAAGAAAGCGGGTACATGTTTCAAATGTTGCCAACAGTTGTTTAACATTTAGACATTATGTTTCATTGAACTATAAGTATCACTCATCATTTAAGAGTGCAGTTCCGTGTTTATAAACTTTATGTAAATACTGACAAGTATCATGAATAACATAATTATCTGATGACCTAATACTTTTGCAAGAAAGTGTGGTACATGCTGTTTAACATTATAAATAGTGTGTTAGAATGAACTATAAATATCACACATCCTTTAAAAGTGCAGTTCTGTGCTTATAAACTTTATGTAAATACTGACAAGTATCATGAATAACATAATTATCTGATGACCTAATACTTTTGCAAGAAAATGTGGTACATGTTTCAAATATTGCCAACAGTTGTTTAACATTATAAATATTATGTTTGAATGAACTATAAATATCACTCATCCTTTAAGAGTACAGTTCTGTTTTTATTAACTTTATGTAAATACTGACAAATATCAATAATAACATTATAGTTATCTGATGACTTAATATTTTTGCAAGAAAGTGTGGTACATGTTTCAAATAATACCAACAGTTGTTTAACATTATAAATAGTATGTTTGAGTGAACTGTACATGAATAACATAATTATATGATGACAGAATACTTATGCAAGAAAGTGTGGTACATGTTTCAAATGTTGACAACAGTTGTTTAACATTGATCATTATGTTAAAATTAACTATAAATATCACTCTTTCTTTAAGAATGCAATTCTGTGTTTATAAACATTATGTAAATACTGACAAGTATCATGAATAACATTATAATTATCTGATGACATAATACTTATAAACGCCTGTAATGTGGCTGAGCTAAAGTGCCTAACAATGTACATACTTCTTAAGGTATCATACCGTTTACACACAAGTAATACATGATGTTCATCTTCAGTAGATGAAATGCCTTCCTTGAGACAAAAAGGGCACAATAGTATTAAGTATTCAATATTATTATAACGTCCCGTTTCTATTGCAAGTCCATAATTACCACATCTAAATCTTGACATGGTTGTCCTGATAGATAAAGGTAGATTATAGGATAGATTCAAGGCTGAGCTGATTGTAGTGTATAACTGAGGCCGGGTTATAGTGTCCTGTATTCAAAGCTGAGCTGATTGTGGTGTACGACTGAGGCCGAGTTATATTGTCATGTATTCAAGGCTAGGCTGGTTGTAGTGTTCAACTGAGGCCGGGTTACAGTGTCCTGTATTCAAGGCTGAGCTGATTGTAGTGTATAACTGAGGCCGGGTTATTGTGTCCTTTATTCAAGGCTAGGCTGGTTGTAGTGTACAACTGAGGCCGGATTATTGTGTCCTGTATTCAAGGCTAGGCTGGTTGTAGTGTTCAACTGAGGCCGAGGTGTAGTGCCATGTCTTCAAGGCTGAGCTATTTGCAATGTACACCCAAGGCCAAGATATAGTGTCATGCATTCAAGTTTTGGCCGGTTGTAGTGTACACTAGAGGAATTGTTATATTGACGTGTATTTAAGGTTGTTCTTGGGTTTGTGTAACTTGGGCGTCATACGGCTTTTTCAGGTGAAGAATTGATTAGCTTTAGCATGTGTTTGAGACGTCTTTTGTCGCTTCTATTGTAGTGTAGAGGCCAGTGGTCAAGTATTCAAGGCCAGGTACACATTGGTGGCTTGAAATACTGTGTCAAGTCTACTGGTAGCTACTCATATGTAAATGGTACCAGACAAATGTGTACATTGACCTGTTTGTTTGTTGTTTAGATTGCAAGTCTTGCAACTGTCACCAAATAACTCTATGTGAACAAAGATGATTGCATATGTGATGTCTATATTATTATGTGGACGGCGGGGTAGCTTTGTGGGTAAGTGTTCGCTCGTCACGCCGAAGGCCTGGGTTCGATGAATACGGTGTGTGAGACCCATTGCTGTTGTCTCACATTGTGATGGAATATTGTAAAACTTCACTCATTCACTCACTGATTAATTATGAAAAGAATTAAAGAAAACAGTAATATGCAATATTGTACAATACTACTAAAAGTTTGCTAAGGATCACCACTTTAATATCTTGAAATAGCCAAAGACAATATTATGTGAAGATATGTTTAATGAACAAAAGTCATGTGCCACACAATGCCAACAAACAACATGTGCCAATAATTAGTCAGATCACCTGTCAACATGAGAGTATCTGACCATTCTGAAACGTCAACAATTCACGAAAACAAATTGATTGTCCGATAAACACCCCAGTAGCGAATATATGCTTCACGTGAAGCGATCACAGCCTGTCACCTTCGGCTCCTGCTCTCAATAAGTGTTAGGATGGTTGCCTAGGGATGACTGTTCCACTCTTCAGTGAGATCATTGCCGGGTTGCGGGAAGTATAGGGCGTCGTGGTCTCGACAATGGTCTCCTGCTTTAAGTAGGCATCAACGATCGTGGCACGAGGAGATATTGCGTTTTCGGCAATGAGGATGAAATCCGGTCCGGTTTCACCAGCATAGGTCTCACGTACACATCCAGAGTGGTATCCCTTTAGCGCACACCTGTCATCGTGCCCCGCTATTGGACATAGAGCTCTACTGATACCACCACAAATCATGATTGAACACCCTCCATAGCAGTCATGTTCGGCTAATTTGGGATCCTGAAATCTTTCTCCTTGTCTACGCCAAATTCGGGCACGACGATATGTGAAGTCCAGGCAGTATTTTGAATCATCAGTGAAAGGTACTGGAGCCCAGTCCTCGTATGCCTAATTGTCGTGACCTTTAGCCCAATCCAAACGTGCCCGCATGTGATGTCGGGTCAGTGGGAGTAGAAACGTTAATGCAAACGGCGTTCCACAGGTCATTTCTGAGAGTGATGGCAGTCACGAAGTGATGACGTCTTGCTGCAATGAGGAGAAACCTGTCTTCCCGCTGTGCGGTGGAACGCTGTCGACCACCTGCAAGTCGCTGGGTAGCTGATCCAAACGTCTGGTATTGATTCCATACCCTACTGATCACATTTTCGCTGATACCAAACCCGCTGATCCCCTGCGCTGATACTGATCCTTCTTGTTTTCTCCAGATATGGTAAATGGCGGTTCCGCTTGATGAAAGACGCTGGTATTCCAGGCCCAGAACCCGATGTCTACCTCGGAGATTTTCGGCACGTTATAAGAGATGTAGGTAATAAGACATTGCTCTTCGGTCTGGCGACAATATCAAGACCAGGTCTCTTCGTTGTTATAAATGTGTGAACTGTGTGACATTTTATATGTAGAAGTAGGGCTGTTAAGTAGGTCATCAACGTGTCGTCCATTCATCGGACCTCCAATGTAAACATTTGTTTTGAGACAGCTGTAATTCATCTGCCTACAGGAATGGGCAACATTTTATCAAGAGGTACGAAAACACACAATTACAACCACCCCGCTTATACTTCAAAGCCAATTAATAACCCAAAGAGCGTCCATCCTCCATTGAGGAGCGTCAAAGGGTCTTATTATGATCAGCACTCTCAATTCAAAACCCGTGTTCTATTGTACTTGGTTCCAAAGGTCCATAAACTCAGTACAAAGAGACATATGTTGCAAGGTCCAGCAAAGGTACCACCAAATCCTTGTCTTAAAGATTAACCATAATCCTTAATCCAATCAAGGAAGGACTTTCTTTATCCACACATAAGGTATTTATTAGGTATTAGGTAAGACACAGGCATCCCCATGAGCGCCTACTGTTATATTGTGCATATGAATCAGAACTTCTGCTCGGATTGGCAAAATCCCCGAAAAAGGAATTGGCCAAGAAGTTTATCTTAGACTTCAAGCGTATCAATGATCTGATATCGTTCAATATTGGTTGAATAGCCTATAAGCTGCGACTGATTACAACCATAACTAGAAATACAAGAGACCAGTGAGCCAGCCTCATCTATGTCATACTTAGGTTTGTGCTTACAAATTCAGAGTGACAGAAGACTATCCACAAGTCTGTATGACGAAAGGGATGACCTCAAGTTTCCAATAGTAAACTTTCCCTTTATGTCGAGCAACATTTTACTGTTTGATAGTGATTCATAAACATATGTATGTATATGATATAGTCGGAACACTGGAGTCTGCGTTCAGTAAGGATTTCCTACAATTATTGAAATGGTTTTGCTGCTTAAATTTCCATATGACATTTTCGAAATTTATCGCTTAACTCAACGGCGTTGCAAACAGATCACCAAAAAGCAAAATATGTGTGGGCTCTTCATACTGAATTTTACTTCAGTGTACATAATATACCTGCATTTTGATCAGTGTAGCATATCTCGATTTAACCTCCCTATGATCAGAGAATGAACCAGACTGTTAAAATTATATCCTTTGATATTGGAACTTTTCGATTAGACGGTCCTTAGTGGGTGTACATTATTCACAAGCATTTACTGCACTTACCCGTTCAGTAGAGTGGCGAATTAGCGTTGATGGCAAACTATTGGTTATCAGTTTTACAGCATTTGTCAATTAATGTTAAATTAACATTTCTATTTTTTATATGCATATACGTTCTTGCTCATTGCAATTGTTATTTTATATTCAGGGTATAGATCTTAACAACAAGATGGGCAAGCAGTATGGAGACGTATTTGGGTATTGTATCAATTGTTAATCATAAATGAAATTCATATACTGTATATTAATCTACAGTTCCTGTGTGATTTGACATTGAGTGAAAAGGAATGGTACATAAAATGTAAAGATAAGATAATTAATACTAATTCTTTCATGATACCTATATTACCTATAAAATGCTTAAAACGCTTTAATCATTGTGATGGTTATTTCATATGATACGATGATTTCGATTCGAGAAACGAATGCATTTGTAGATAGTAGGTCAGGTGAAATGATACTGATGATTCTTTCAGAACGTGGCTGGGGGGTATTCCCATAGTGAATGTGTTTGACGTCGACATCATTAAGGAGGTTCTGATAAAAGACTTTAAGAACTTCACTGACAGACTGGTAAGTGGCTGACATTCGGTGCCAAATTTCAAAAGCAAATTGAAGAAGTCTCTTTAGATAGAGACCATGTGTCGTGACAAATAATAATTTTGTCGGTATATTTAGCAGCTATATTTAGCAATTACATAATAGCATCGCTCCATATATACTGACACACTATAAACACAAGTTTTGTTCAGGATATTTTTTTCGACATGTAACAAATGTTAATGAGCATCTGAAAAGCAAAATCAGGCCGGGCCCGTTATCTGAGTTCAAATCCCGTTTGGTGTTTCTGGAAGCGGACAAGATCACGAACACATCATCCCTCATCAAAATTGCCAGAGCAAACTGTTCCTCAAAGTGCAAATACACTGCAATCCAAGGAGTCGAGTGCATAAATGACATGGGCATCAAGATGACAGCAATGATTTGGAACGATGAAGTGTCTGAGTTGACAAGAAAGAGAACTTTCTCTTTGGCTGCTCGAGACAGGAACTTTGCAGACAGCCGTTGCCAGATGGCTCCACGTCAACCAGTCAACCCTAAGCCGTCCCTTTAGTCGCAACAAGCAACAAGAAGTGTTGCGGAGCGACCTCGACCTGGACAACTTCTGGTTACAACAGCCATACAAGACCGACAGATTCGATTGGCACAGCTCCGAGATCGGTTCAGAACGGCACAGTCAGTAGACATGGGAACAAATTCACTCAATTACAATCATTCTACGTCTGAGACAAGCTGGGATACGCTGATGACGTCCTTACCGTGGTCTAGTGTTGCAGCCCCGACACAGTCAAGCCCGACGTTAATTTGCCCAACAGTATGGACGACAAACACAGCTCTTCTTCAGTAGAATTGTGTTTTCTGAAGAGTCACGATATTGCATTTAACTTGTGGATGTTACAAAACGTGTGTATCCACGACGTCGTGAACGTTGCACCAATGCATGTGTCATACAGTGAGATTGGTGGCAGTGTCATGGTTTGGGGAGCAATAAACGCATGTTTCAGGAGTGACATTTCATGTAATTGATGGTAATCTCACAGCACAGCGCTTTTTAGACGAAATTCTAAGGCATGAAGTCGTTCCATTGTTGCGACGTCAGCCTAACCCCAACATCCTAATGCACGTCCCCGTGCATCAGGAGTGACACAGGCCTTCACGCAACAAGCTGGAATCAGTGTGATGGACTGGCCGGCCTATTCACCAGATTTGAACCCCATTGAACATTTGTTGGATGACCTCGGCCTTGCAGCAAGTGTGGAGGAACATTTCTATGGCATTTACCACTCGTCTCTCTGGCTCTATGCCCAAACGTATCCATGCCTGTGCCAGGGCCGATGGAGGCCACACAAGATACTGACTGTGCACCCATTTTGGTCTCTTGTTCTTTTTCTTCCACACCAAAATAGATTATCTATCCCATAAGAAAGAAATACGTAAGCTTGTGGACTTGCATATTCCATCGTTGAATTCGAGTTTAAATGAGTGCTATGCGAGTTGTAAATTTCTTTTTTTTTCTAATTTGATGAAATCATCGGGGAAGAATGAATAAGTTAGCATGGTTTAACGCTTCTTTGAACAATGTTTCAGTTACGACCAAACAATGCCCTTTGGAAATTGGTGAAATGTAACATATGTTATATGTTGATGTACACTTTCATAGTAAAGTACTAATTTGAGTCATGTTTTAGTTCCATCAAGGCGTGCCGGCTTGATGTGGGAGGGAAGGCTAAGGTGATGCCCCTCTTAGACGTGTACCACTTTGGTGAAACCAAAGAGCAATGGTGTAGTCCTTGAACATAATCAGTGGGCACCATGGATTCGAACTCACGACTCTAGGTTTCTGGCCACCAGTGCCCCTCTAGGATCGGGGGAAATACATCAACATAGTGGTCATATGAGTTGTTCATGTGTCAGTTGTAGCAACTGACATCGTGCATACCAATTTCCTTGCCTGCATATACCCCATAAATAGGATATATATTTTATATTATTATGTCCTTTCAGGTTTTTGAACTCGACGACTTCCCCTTCTCCACCAATCTTTTCAATTCGAGGGGGGAAACATGGAGGAGACTACGAAACATCATAAGCCCTACCTTCAGCGGTGTCAAGCTCCGACGGGTACGTCACAACACTACATGAATCAACAGTTCTGGTATTAATTGATGACACAAGGTCACGAACAGTCAAAAGTGTCGAAGTCTTACTGACTAGGATATTCAAGGAACGCTTTCAGTAATAACTCATTTCTAAATTGGTATTTGCAAGGCGAGTGGCACTTGATCCCTTTAACTGATTGTTTGCTTCTTTGTTTTAAAAACAACACAAGTATGCAAGATTCTATCATGGTTGAGGCGAGATCAAATGCACCGTCCATCTTAAATAAGACAACAGGCAACGGTGCCATATTTTGTTGGGTGAACAAGCCCCTCAGTAAGAGCGTGATCAGGGACATATTTATCGCAGCGGGAAACAGATATCAGTGTTCGAACACTTACTTCTGGCACTATCATGAACATGTGTTTATGAATCACTATCAAATAGTGATGATACCAGGTGTTCGCTAACAGGTAATCGTATTCTGCTCCACCGGGGCACCCGCCACAATCACATGCAGAGCAAAGTCAATTGTACATCTGTAAAAAATACGTGAACATATATTGCAAGTCAAAATAGGGAATTGCGTCGGACATCATTCTTTTTTTACTGATGCGTCAAATTTGAAAATGTCCTCCACATGTCTAAGATGAAACCTGTTGATGTTGTAACCTTGATCAAACAACTTCTGAGCTAGAGAAGTATGAAATCTTGGTAGGTAGAGCATGCTCGACTGTACCTCAAAAGTTGTGAAATGTAGACACCAAGGGCTGGAGTTGTAGGAATATTGCTCAGCATGTAGGGAAAATTGACTATTTGAAAGTTGATGTCATCCCTCTTGTCATACAGTCTTGTGGAGAGTGTTTTGTCCCTCTGAATATGTATGCATAGATCTAAATATGAAACAGATGAAACGGTCTCACTGGTCTCCTTCATTTCTAGTTCAGGTAGGTAGGGTGGAAGAGATTTGGCTGTTTGATGGTTATTGAACGATATCAGATACGCCTGAAGCTGAGGTGAAACGTCTAAGCCAGATTACCCTTTTTTGACTTTGCCAATCCGAGCAGAAAATCCGGTTTTTTATCCACAAAGAAACAGATCCGCAAGAAGGAGAGCACAACTGGTGCCCAAGGGTATGCCTGCTTCTTGCCTAAATTACTAACCCCACCTTTTACCAAGTTATTTGATCAAACAATTAATGTAGTAAATAATGTAGCTTACATATTATAGTTATGTTATTTGAGGCCTTGTAAATAAGCACATACATATGATTGCAGCATTTGTAAGTATTCTGTATTTGTGGAAAATTATAAAATTTACCTCAGGTTTTACCATCCAAAAACTAATTACATGGAAGGCATCTTTGAGACACCTGCTCGTGGCTATTTTGAGTAATTTTAGAATTGGGTTAGTTTGGTTAACGCAACTGTGAACAGTATTTTAGATATATCACTAGTGTCAGCTTGATGTGGGAGGATCGCCAACCGAGTCCCTATCAAAAAACATGTTGATCTTATTCTCTATATAATGACTGAAGATTCAACCCTCGTTACTAGCCTTAGCTCATATGATTTATCTGTAACTAAATCAGTTGGGAATCGTTTAGTTTGCGCTATCTGTGTCTGAACCATTGTGGTGTAGTAGCAGGTAAATTTGAAGCTACGTCTTCTTGTGTTAACAGTTCGTCCTCACAATTTGACTGTGTGTACATTTGTTCGAGTCGTATGCGTCATATCATGTACTTTTGATTTGGACTAATAGTTCGAAATATATTTCGTTTCAGATGTGTGAGGGACTTAACACATGTGCTGGAAAACTAACGGAGAACTTTGCTGGTGCTGCTGAGAAAGGAGAAATTGTAGTCGTGGAAGAGTAAGACATTAATCCGAGCGTCTTAAGGAACGTTTAATACAGAAAGATCTATTTTTGTCCCAATTTAAAAGTGACAATCTGACCTTCGTTCACAAAGGGAGGTTATATGGTAATCGCCAATTTAGGTTATCAATCATCGAACTAACCACCAGTTAACATGAACATACTGATGGGGTTGTATATCTTTTAAAACGGGTTGCCTGGAGGAGGAGCGACATAACTAACATTGCCAAATGACGTTCGGCTTTCTGACAGCATCACAATGGGTCGTTTTCAGCAGCTCCATAGTCTATATTTTGGGCTGGTGAGCCCTGTTGTTTACAATTGCCTTTATGGTCTACATAGTGTCAAGTGTCTAAATCTTGAGTAAGAAAAACTATTTATTATTTCACACTTTTTATATGCAAAAATATTTTATGTCTTATATAGAAAGTGTAAAAGTACCAAATGAATTTTGAAGTAAACATTATCAATTAAACGTTTACCGTGAAAAATGGGATTTAGAAGAAAAAAACCAGGGAATTTTGAACAATTTTCAACATATGTTAAGGTTTAACGACGGTTAAAACCGCATGGGGACCTCATTTATTATGTCATTTCTGATATCGCGCTACGCTCGACAAACGGAGGTAGGATAATATCCAGGGCCCACTTGGAATGTCAAATGTGAAATATTGGTATGATAAATATCAGACATGTTCAAATGGCTGACAACCAGGCGTGTATTGGCTGACCTGACTGAAAGTCGACACTTCAAATACAATAACACTGGACTACCTGGGGTATTCAAAGGCCACATGTCGTAGCGGTTGTCCGTCCTTCTGTCCTTAACCGACATCTCAATGGAGCTGAAACATACTATCGATCATTCCAGCAGCGGTGTCTCTAAGACGTTGCTAACAAAATACCAATCCAATTAAAAACGTGGCCGCTATGGCGGCCATATTGAAAATGTCATTTTGCCCATTCCTCTGCCATTTCTGCATGTATCATCATAACACACCCAGTATGTGGAATCTACGTTATAACATAATTACTATGCCCTTATTTGGAATATTTGGATTTTTCATCAAGCCTTTGAGTTCAAGATTAGATAATTTTCAGCTACAGCTACAAAACCAGATATTTTTGTTACTAAAAAATATTAACCTGAATGGTTTTTTGAAAAACACTTTGCAACAATGTAGTTTTTGTGGCAGGCAATTTCATTTTTTTTCAACAGTCTGAAGCATAATTGATTTTGTTCGTTAAATTCACAGCACACTACTGCAGCATAAGGGCTCCAAATGAAGTGACAAATATGGAGACCATAACTGTTTGGTACTTTGAGGTTCTTTGCACTGTTCCTATTATACAATTGTCCGGCTGTCCGTTCGCCCGTATTGATAGTTTATCATGTATATTTGCACTGACATGTACATCGGCCGATGGCCTATACACACTGAATAAAACATCCACATATAGCTGAATAATACAGAGGTTAAACCTTGTTCTCAGTTTTACACGCAATCATACATTCTTCACTGGATCTTGCCTTTTTTCTGAGACATAATGTAATGGGACCAAAACAGGTGATATGCTCTACCTTTTGGAGTACAACGTGTATGATTACAATACCACTTTCGTGAACTTGTCCAGTGGTTTCATGCAGCCATTTGTCTAAAGGCTACTATAATAACCACCTCAGTGCCACATATGTCTTTGTGTATATTATTGTTCCAGTTACTTTGGTGCTTTCACCATGGACTCCATCGCCAACACTGCTTTTGGCATCGACACCGACTCCCAAAATGACTTTGAGAACAATTTCATTACAGAAGTCAAGAAATTATTTGATAAAAATATTATCGGAAACCCCGTGTTGTTCCTCATACGTGAGTTTCACAATATTCAATGTTTCGATAATAAGTATATTGCTAAATTTATTTAAGAAGAAAATCCCAATGAATATTCAAGTACTAGAATTATAGCTTGTCTGGTATTGTATACTAACTGTACAAATGAACCACGCGTCTTTTAGTTGTTATTACATCAGTATTCTATGGTGATGTGCTGAATTGCTTCCCTTAATTACCAGTATCCTCTGATCTTGGCTTCGCCCTGATTATGATCCTCAGTTACTATAAGGATAAATGTCTACGACCTGCGCCATGTATGGCCATCCTCTCACATAAACCTGAAACCCATTGATGAAACTGACATATTATTCTTAGGAGTCTATACTCCAACTCCCAAACAAGATATGCTTACCTTTTTGCGAACACCTGGTGTCATCAATGATTTTCAGTGATCAATTCATATAATTGTCGCCGCTATTTTACCTTTAACGGATAATCGAGACTGGCTATTCTCTGGCGTTGACGTTTTAAATTCACTCAATTTCAGTGCTTTTCCCTAGTTTGCAACCACTAGTTACGAAACTAGGGTTTTCAACAATACCGCGGTCAGCCAAAACGTTTTTTGAGAACTGTGTGAAGGAGATGATAAAACAAAGGAGGGAAGAACCGGATGCTGATCGACAGGTAGGTGACATGAAACTTCCGGTTCTCCGAGGTGTATATAATATTCAGCCGGTGCTCCCTGGATGTAAGGCACACATAATCACCGAGCCTGGTGGTAAGTTGTAAGTTGTAAGTCTGAGAGGGGGTGCAGAGCAAGGTGTGACTGTGTTGTGAAACATTTGACTAGTGCACCACTTTGCAAATGTAATCACATTTAATTGTCACAAGCTAACCAAAACATTAGCCATGTATACAAATTCGTTCTTTAAATATTCTGTTATTTACCAAATGAGTATACAATATTGGTATAGTTAATTGGCATTAATGCTGTATGTCTTAAAGATATGCCGAAAAAGTAAGAAATGCATATTCTTTTCATTTTGTTCACACTTTAGGATTATCTAAATCACAACAAATAGTCTACTAAATTATGGTTATTTTCTTTTAAGATTTAGTGTCGGGTAAATACATTCCAAAGTGTTCATTTTTCTTTATATATTTATAGATTGGGTCATATTCAAACGAGATATACCAGAATTTCATTCCTCCATGGCAGCCATATTGCATTTGGCAGCCATATAGGATGTTTTTAGGTGGCACCATATCTGAAAAAATTTGGAATGTCGTTACATTCATTTTAGTTTTAAGCTTTTATCACAAAGTGCACAATTTTTCACGAAACGTCTTCACTACACGGCAATTGTAGCGCTAAGGTCGCTTTGTTGAACGGGCCCTGGTCACAGTAATCTTAGTATATTATCAGGAGATAAAGATACCGCCGTATGCAAATAACGTTCGGATTCGCCTTAAATTGTTGTCAGAGGCAGTACCATGGTAGTCTGACATTGCCCGTATGTCCACCTAACGTATTGGTCACTCGTCCTCCGTCTCTTACTGACAATCGACCTCCGTCTGTACTGACAATCGGCAACACAGTTCTTGACTTTCCTTTCTCATCCCTTGCAGCGGAGGGGAGACTTCCTCCAGCTGCTGCTGAACGCTGAGAATGACGTCACGCAAGACGGAAACAGTGACCAATCACATAAGAGTATGTACATGGCCTTGACGAATTTATATATGAGTATGTTAATGTGTAGGATTTAGATGTAAATAGATATAACTAACCACCAGCATAATGAATGCACCAGGTGTCCATTGCATTGTGTAAGAAATTGTTTATATACAATACAGGAGTGAGTAAGTTGCCTGATAGCTGGTTCGGCTGCCAGGTTCATCCAACTTATGAACTGTTAAATCCAAAGAAATGATATACGCCATAATGGAATCCAGCTGATGTAGATTTGCCCAGGTTACCTCTGTGTGTGGTAGGGGGCACGGGTGGCCCAGTCGTCTAAGGCGCCGCGATTCGCTGTGCAGAGTTGCGTCCCTTGGGCACGCCAGAAACCTATGATTGTGGGTTCGAATCCCGGTTCGCCCCGATTATGTTTCTAGGTTTTTCAGCACCATACCCGTGCTCCTGGGTTTCACCGAAGTGGTAAACGTCTGAGACCTGCATCACTTCGGACTTTCCTCCCACATTAAACTGACACGCCGTGATATAACTGGAATACTGTTAAAAGCGGCGTAAAACCCAACTCACTCACTCACACTGAAGGATGTGTGGAGGTATAGACATATCTATTCGTTTTGATCTATTTCTCAAATAGTAACCATAGCCCTTAATGCAATCAATAAGGACTTTCGTTTTATTCACAGAAAGTTTTTTAGAAGGATTTGATTAAATGTTTGCAATCTCAATAAAGAACCAAAAAATACTTATGTCGTAACATTTGATGTTTCGACTTTGTACACCTCTATCCCACATGACAAACTCAAAGAACAACGTCGTTCCTTGGTCCATGGGGAATTTTGTCACTTAGTGTGGTAACCATATTATATCGTTGCATTGCGGCCTTTTCGTGATATGACACGAATACTGTTCAAAGCGGCGTTAAACCCAACTCCCTCACTCCCCATCGATAACATATATGCGAAATTTGGGGGTAAGACATTTAAGGCAAGACGTAGGCATCCCCACGGACACAAATCGTGCTCCTCTTCTTGTTGATTCGGTTTCTTTATACATATGAATCGGAAATTCTCCTCGGATTGGTAAAGTCAAAACAATGGCATGTGGCCAGGGAGTTTAACGACAATCTGATGTCGTTCAATAACCGACAAATAGCCAATTCCCTTCAATTGATTTACCCACCTGAACTAGAAGTAAAACTGGCCACTGAAACCGCCTCAACTATTTTATATTCATATCTATGCATAAAGATTCAGAGTGACAAAAGACGAGAGGGATGAACTTCAAACAGTCAACTTTCCCTATATGTTGAGTAATATTCTAGCAATTCCAGCCTTTGATGTCAACATTTGAGGTACAATCGAGTATACTCTTTCTCAAAAAGCGTCATATGACATCTTGCTCAAACGTTGTTTTGAGCAGGGTTGCACCATTCAAGGCCTTAGGAAATATTTCTAAATATTTCATGGTAGGTATGCGCAGGACAATTCGAATTTTGACATATCAGTGACAAGAATAACGCTTTGCACATGGCCCTGGGTGGTGTGGAAGTATGCGCAATATAAATAGCCTATTATTTCAGAATGTGTCCGATGCAATTCCCTGTTTTGATTTGTACCATATGTTCCCGTGAATGTTCCATATGTTTCAGCTGAACAATTGACTTTACTTTGCATGTGTTTGCAACGGATTATGGAAATATTTTTTGTTGCTTTCATTTACCGATATCTTTGCTGGGATGTATTGTTTAGCCTCGATATTCTAGGTAGCCAGTGGCATATGTGTCGCTTGATATTACCGTATGACATATGACCAAGATAATAAGCAACTAAAACAAAAACAATTTTTACATTTTAAAGAGGTTCTGTTGTACAACGCTGACATACATCTACCTGTTTACATAGATTCGGTCCATGGATTGAATGCGCTCCTCGTATTTGAAATAAATACGTTGGCTTATTGTTAATCTGCAGCAGAACTGCAACTGCATGTTTTAAATAGCTTTACGATGTATCTGTTCAGAATGGTATTTAGAATATATTTCCCAACTTTTTTCTTTTCTTTCTTAAACCTTTTCAAGGAATGTCAATCGATGAAGTTGTTGGCCAAGCATTCGTCTTCTTTCTGGCCGGATATGGGACTACCGCGAACACCCTCCAGTACCTTGCACACGTTCTGGCAACTCACCCCGACATTCAGCAGAAGCTGTCTGAAGAGATAGATTCAGTCCTTGGGGATGTATGTGTATTATGTCATCATTTTGCCTTTATGTTATCATCAGGTAACTTTTTACATGACGCATAATTAACCTTTTAAGATTGTTTTGGTATGTTAAAGTTTTTTTTAAATTTGGTATTATACCATTACAGTTACGGAAAGAAGGGAGTGCATGTATCAGTTATATCTGTTAAAACAGATTTTTCAACTTTGTACACCACTATCCCACATGATAATTGATCCACTGGTCTTTTGTTACAAAATGTGGTGTACACAGATATAGTTACGTATCTGTATTCAGACATTTCGGACAATTTGTGAAAAATGAAAGCAAATGCCATCTCATGTTTACTGAGAAAACACTTTGTGAAATGAGGGACTTCCTCACTGAAAACATCTACCTAAAATTGGGGGATGGGCATTAGGCAGGAAGTATGCATCCCCATGGAAACCAATTGCGCTCACCTTCTCGTGGATCTGTTTCTTTATGCATATGACATGGAATTTTTGTTTGGATTGGCAAAGTCAAAACAAAGTAATTTGATCAAGAAGTTTAACTTGAGCTTCAGGTATATCGATGATCTGATATCATTCAATAACAATCAAATAGCCAATTCACTTCCACTGCTTTACCCACCTGTACTGGACATAAAGTAGAGCAGTGGGACCGCCTCATCTCTTTCATATTTAGATATATGCATAGAGATTCAGAGTGACAAAACACTCTCCACTAAACTGTATGACAAGAGGGATGACATCAACTTTCCAATAGTCAACTTTACCTTCATGTCGAGCAATATTCCTGCAGCTCCAGCCCTTGGTGTTTACATTTCACAACATTTGAGATATAATCGAGCATGCTCTCTCTACCAAGATTTCAAAGAGCGTCATACGACGCTTGCTCGGGAGTTGTATGATCAAGGTTACAACATTCAAGGCCTCAGTAAAGCTTTCAAAAACTTTTATGGTAGACATGTGGAGGATATGTCCAAATTTGACGCATCAGTGACAAAAATGTCCTATGCAATTCCCTATTTTGACTTGTACCACGTGTTCCCGTGTTTTTTTCCGTTGAGCAATTGACTTGCATTTGCATGTGTTTGTGACGGGTGCCACCCGTGGGACAGGATACGCTCACCTTTTCGCAAACACCTGGTATCATTAGATATGGAGAGGGTTTTGTCGCTAGATAGAAATAACGAAGCGCATAAAAGGAAATCCTCTTATCTGATCATCAAAGCAAATTACCGTATTTCTTTATTGAGAGTCAGCACCTTCAGTCTAATTCTTGTATCGGTCCATAGTGGAGGTCGGTTCTTAGTAAAGGTTTTGTTCCGTTTGTATTTGTGACACGAAGGGTGTCTTAGTTTAGTAAAATTAAAGGCATTCATATTCAAATTTTTAGCTGCAGCTGATCCGGCCAGTATTAGAAACTCATCTCATATGTCAAAACCTACCACAATACTCGACCCTAAAGAGTCGGTACTTATCATAAACAGTAACAATTAAAGTAGTTTTGTTATTCTTATTTCATTTAAGTGATCAATATGTATGACCTAGAATTTGTAAGAACAACTAACCCCATTGTCAACAATAGACAGTTCAGTGACGGGACACTGTTTATCTGCGAGTGAATATTGCAGCTATGCCACGGCGTGTCAGCTTAATGTCTGAGGAAAACCTTATATAATGCAGGTCTTAGACATTTACCACATTGGTGACACCCAAGAGCACGGCTATGGCGCTGACAAACCTGGAAACATCATCAGGGCGAATAACGTGTGTTTATTCATGTATGGGAGGCCATAGGCCCATGTACATTTCAGTTATATATAGTAATATACAATTGAGACAATTTACATTGCAAACAATCTTAAGGGTATAATATTAGGACTTGGTACGTAATAATAGGGCTTCCTTCACATACTTAGCTAAATTTCTGAGTATACAGTCATTTTTGCTATTTAAGAGATTACTAAAAGTCTTAATACATGGATTGTTATAGAATCTTACAGGAATATACTTTTGTCTTATTGTTGCGTAAAACGGGCAGACAAACACAAAATGGACTTCGTCCTCAATACAAACCATTGTTACATAGCCGACAAAAGCGTTGTGAAGAATCAATATCCTCTCTTCTGCCCAGATTACTCCGTATAGGCAATTCACTTAATCGCAACAGGCACATCATACGTCTATGGTCTCTATTTCTGAAAGCTGTAACATAATATTCCATATCCAATAATATCTTGACGTTTGAATAATACCTTAATTTACGAGACTCATAAATTTTCATCTGTATACTCTGTTTGTTGCAATCCAACAAACGTTGTCTAAATAGCTGCAAGAAACACTTAACATCACCAATATTCTGTTCGTACCACACATTACCAAATCAGGGAATCGAACCCACGAATGTCACTGGGCATAGTATCAGCGACTTTCGCATACCGCATATATTGGGTATTTCCCAGAGGGGAACATAGAAAGGTAAAGGACTTGACACGATTGTATCAAATGTATCCATTAACGTGGCACCAAACCTCTATAATTTCATATGGCATTAGATTGAGCTGTATCAATATTTTAATGACCTTGGGTTTATTAACTGATCATTAACTAAACACATGTTCAATAGTCATATGGCTACAAACGTAATGGTTGAACTCAAAGGAACACGTGAAGGCGTTAGAATTGATGATGGACTTTCATACAGCCGTTCCTAAAATGTCATTTACTTATGATGAATTAAGAATGTAATGAACTGTAACAGTTTGATATAGCCATTAGTTACAGATGGTTTGATACAACCGTGGTTCTGGTTATGTAGAAAGGTCATGGTACAATAGCTGAGCATATATGGATATTTCAATGCTTACTCTTTAATTTTTAGAAAGACCCGGACTATGACAGCATCCATGAATTGGTGTACATGGATCTCGTGGTCACAGAGACGCTGAGACTGTACCCAATTGTACCGGAGTAGGTTATTCTCTGCTTTTCCGTTCGAATTTGCTTCAACGTAAAACACAGTTTCATTCGGGAAAGCTCGATCCATCCTGAGTGAAAAACGTTAATAGTAGTTTTACATGCTCGCTTTTACTATGTTCAGTGCCCCATCCAAAACCATGCTCGCCTTTACTATGCTCAGTGTTCCATCCCAAACAAAGCTCGCCTTTACTATGCTCAGTGTCCCATCTCAAACCATGCTCGCCTTTACTATGCTCAATGTTCCATCCCAAACAATGCTCGCCTTAACTATGCTCAGTGTCCCATCCCAAACCATGCTCGCCTTTACTATGTTCAGTGCCCCATCCCAAACAATGTTCGCCTTTACTATGTTCACTGCCCCATCCCAAACCATGCTCGCCTTTACTATGTTCAGTGCCCCATCTCAAACTATGTTCGCCTTTACTATGTTCAGTGCCCCATCTCAAACCATGCTCGCCTTTACTATGTTCAGTGCCCCATCTCAAACCATACTCGCCTTTACTATGCTCAGTGTCCCATCCCAAACCATGCTCGCCTTTACTATGTTCACTGCCCCATCCCAAACCATGCTCGCCTTTACTATGTTCAGTGCCCCATTCCAAACCATGCTCGCCTTTCCTATGTTCAGTGCCCCATCTCAAACCATGCTCGCCTTTAATTTGTTCAGTGCCCCATCTCAAACCATGCTCGCCTTTACTATGTTCAGTGCCCCATCTCAAACCATGCTCGCCTTTACTATGCTCAGTGCTCCATCTTAAACCATGCTCGCCTTTACTATGTTCAGTGCCCCATCCCAAACCATGCTCGCCTTTACTATGTTCAGTGCCCCATCCCAAACCATGCTCGCCTTTACTATGTTCAGTGCCCCATCTTAAACCATGCTCGCCTTTACTATGTTCAGTGCCCCATCTCAAACCATGCTCGCCTTTACTATGTTCAGTACTCGATCTCAAACCATGCTCGCCTATACTATGCTCAGAACTCGATATCAAACCATGCTAGCCTTTACTGTGCTCAGTACTCGATCCCAAACCATGCTCGCCTTTACTATGCTCAGTACTTGATCCCAAACCATTCTCGCCTTTACTATGCTCAGTATTCCATCTCAAACCTTGCTCTCCGGGACTATCACTATCACTGTTTATATTGTTTGCAGTATAACTCGCTACGTGTCTGAAACAACAACGATCAAAGGATGGACGTTCCCTAAGGGTGTCTACATCGACATCCCCGTTGTCAAACTGCACAGGAACCCTGACATTTACCCAGAACCCTTGAAGTTCAAACCTGAAAGGTCCGGTTACGTCTTTGTTAGCTCTGCAGGAACGTATAAGCAGCATATAATATCTACATATTGCATGTATATATCTTCGTTTATATTTTGTTAAAAGTTGGTTGGTATGACCATGGTAGCAGTTGTTAGTGTTCACGATTTTCAAAGTAATGCAAAGTGCATTCAAAACATGCACTACTCGTCAAAACAAACTTCCCTTCGATCGCGAGGCAATAAGTTAATCAAAGTAACCGTCAATACGATTCTACGACTGTAAGACACATCTCGCTAGATGACGATATTATCAATGGGTTAACAATCATATTGCCCATTCAGGTGTGTACATGATGTAACATCAGTTATGTAATCAAACCGAAGATAATTGCCTGTTCATTTATCCAATGAAAACGCCAGGTGACCCGGTCATTATATAATCCTCTCCAGATGACATGTTTCAATTATTCATTTTTTATTCGTTTTGCATTGTTCACTGAAATGTATCATTGTTCATCGGAATTCAAACGGCAAAAAAACACCAAAAACATCATAAAGTATATGATTTACGTATATTTACAGATGGGAGAAGAAATCGGAAATCAACCCGATGTATTATTTGCCATTCGGCCATGGTCCACGTCATTGTGTGGGAATGAGGCTTGCCCTGGTGGAGATCAAGGTCGCACTGGCTCACCTGCTCAAGAAACTCCACTTTGTTCGACTGGCTGATACCCCGGTAGGATTACAAGTGATGAGCTCATAACACTTGCATGGTATAATCACCAAACCGTTACTGGAGGACTTTAACTAGAACCGTTAATATAGGAAAAAACTGTACTGTTCTGCAATACAAGGTTTTATCTTACACGACAGTATTTCAGTTGTAGCAGGGCTTAGCTTGATGAGGGAGGAAAGTTAGAAACGATGGCGGCCATAGATCTTTACCACTTTAAACCCACGGGTATGGTGCTGACAAACCTCGAAACGATTACTGGTTTCTGGCACGCCTAAGGGACGCAACTCTTCACAACGACATGCAGATCCTTGGACTACTGGGCCTCATCACCCGGATGTAACCAAACTTGATGAAACAAGCACTTCGACGCAAAATAACTGTGATCATCTACTCATTATAGAATTCAATACGTTTCTTAAATTGACGTAAATAGTGTTATGATTTGTAATTTCTCTTTTATAGGATGTGCTGACGGAGTTCAAGATCTTGGATGTGTTTGTGCCGAAGAAGCCGATTCAGTTGAAAGTGAAATTCCGTTGAGTGAAAAGACATGTGCGATTGAAGATGAAATCTGTAGAAGACTGCAACGCACAGGTGTATGTGTGTTCGGTGGTCCTGAAGCCACCTGTATACATTTATGTAATCATTGTGCTTATACCTGGATTGTGTTACGGATGCAGAGTTTAGTCACCAAGAGAAAATATTATTGGTTTAGTTCAGGGGTCTGCCGTGAGAAAATACTGAAACAGTTCATGTCATCAATCAATCCCGATAGCAATACTTCCAGGGAGCAAAATAATGAACTGATTGTGGTCTAAAAGATATTGTTCACGAACAAATTCCAAAAGATATTGAAGTTCGGGATATAAGAAAGGCGTAGTGCTTATTTTTTTCCAGTTGTATAGATTAAATAGTAACATTAACCTCTCTTATTTAATTCCAACTCCATAAAGGTCCCGAAAGTGACCAATGATGTATTCCCATTCACTTCATTATGACATACCGATGCACACAAGTGGTGCGTAAAGTAAATAGACAGCTATATTCATCGGCATGGAAATACTATAAAGAAATTTGTGTAACTAAATCACAGCATTATCGATCAGTTTGGGAAGGAAAACTTGTGTCTTCTTTAGGAATAAGTAATAATAAGATATTTTGGTCTTTAGTCTCAAAAAGGACTTGTGCCCCTTTGAAACATATATATGTTAATCACTGGATTAAACATTTGGAGTCAGTGTTTCAAGGTAGCCGAGAAGGTGCAGATTTTGTAAATTGATAAATTTGTAGATGACTGTGTCAACTCCATTGATGATGAGTTGATAGATAATACAGTAGCTCCCGAAAGTGAGCTAGACCCTGTAATTACTTTAGAGGAATTAATACGAGCCCTTTTGATATGAAGTTTGCTATAGCTCCTGGTTATAGTGTGATAGAGGATTTCTTTATAGAATGCCCCGACAAAAAGTCTGGACATGTTATTACAATTATTTAATGCAGTATTCACAAGTGGCTCTTATCCAGATCAGTGGTCTTATGGCGTTATACTTCCTATCTTTAACTAACGAGCAAGCGGGTTTTAGAAAGGGTTTCCAATCTGCCGACAATATCTTTATTGTTAATACTTTATCAGATAAATATCTGTCTAAAAACGTGGCAGGATGTATGGTGCCTTTATAGTTTTGAAAGGGGTGTTAGACTGTGTATAGTAATGGCTTACTCTTTAATTTGTGGAAAGGAGGTATTAATGGTCGAATGTTTAGATTAATTCTAAAAATATTTAGATCTGTAAAGTTCTGTATTCCTCCAGAAGGCGGATATACACAGTTCACGAGTGCTACTCTGGTGTTAGACAGGGATGCCAACTGTTGCCTTTTTTGTTCTCATGTCTATCAATGATATTGTGTAATTTTTTAATTGTGAGGGAGCTCATGAGTGAGTGTGTAACTTTAAGTCCATTGGAATTATTTATTTCATTGTTTGCAGATGACATAATCTTGTTAGATGTAACAGCTAATGGCCTACAAAAACGTCTTGGCCAACACTCTTTATATTGTGATACGGAAATTGACTAATAATATTAAAAAAAGCTAAGTGATTGTATTCAGGAATGGAGGCAAACTTAGATCTTATGAAAAGTTTAGGATTGGAGATTCTGTCATTGAAATAGCCACTAGTTATAAATATCTAGGTGTGCAGTTATCATCCTCTAGTTCTTGGTATCTTGCTCAAAAGACTTTGGTACAACATGCATGGAAAGTAGTTTGAATACTACTATCAACACTGGGAAAATTCTGTTTTCTTATTTTTTATGTAAAAGTATTGCCAATATTAAATTATGGAGCAGAGGTTTGGGGATTTCATCCTTCACCCGATACTGAAAATGTACACGATCGTTTCTGTAAACTTGTTCTGAGCTTGAATAGAAACACCCCTAACATAATTGCAAGAGGTATTGTTAATAGAACGTCAATAGGTTTTGCATTATATAAAAGTTATAAAATTCTGGTTAAGGTAATTGTCACAAGAGGTTAATGTTATTATGAAAGGTTCTTATGATCTCAGTATAGAAGGGCAGAAAATGGTATAGCCTGTTGGGCTACTAATGTTAAATCTTTGCTGTATACATATGGTTTTGGCGAAGTTTGGTTACAGCAGGGTGTTGGAAATATGTGGTATAAATTGTGTTTTAAGCAAAGATGTAAAGATATCTGCCAAAAAACATGGAATAAAATTCTAGAATGTTATTCTCAGTTGGAATACTTTTGCTCTGTCAAAGAAAATTTTAATTATGACCATCTGACCAATTGCATTGATGTAGCCATCTATCAAACAACACTTGTTAGGTTTATCTGTTCTGGTCATACTTTATAGGTAGAAGCAGGTAGGCATTATAAAGAACCAAGGCCAGAACGCCTATGCCCCTTTTGTGCCCTTTATAAAAGCTGAATTCCACTTTTGTCTCGAGTGCCCATTCTGCTCAAATTTGAGGGGACATGTACTTCCTAAATATTATTACATATGTCCAACTCTTGATAAACCTAAACAATTATATAGCTGCAACCTCTATGTTATAAGAAGATTTGCAAAGTATGTATTTCTCGCTCTCAAGAAAAGGAACACCCCTTCTTATAGATGTGCCAGTTTTGTAGTACTATGCCATTGTAACAATGTGAGACTGATTGTTGCCACTGTGTGTAACATGTGTTGGGACCCGATACACGGGGTGTCGGTAGGTTATGATCGGTCTCAGTAACCGTTTGTGCATCCTTCTCAGCACTCCGATGAGTGGATGAGGAATCGACTATGTAATGTTTAATCTATTTCGCAATGATATTTTGTATCGTCTTTAATAACAAAAGATTTGATCATGTGTACATTAAAAAGTGAAAATTAAAATGTTTAAACTGGACAGGAAATTTTGTTGGCTTGGTTTTTCTTTTTATATACAAAGTCGATTGCGGGAGACAATTATAATTATGTAAAGATATGTGCACACAACGCTTGTGTACTGTTATTTGCCTGGTGTGGCTCCTTAGGGTTGTGACTTGATGTAGGTGGTAGCTAGGTCCACCTTTGGTCGTTCCTTCAGGATCCTATAGAGGGTCAAGTGGTCACATGTTGTCGGCATCAGCATCTCAACAAAGGAGTAATATCTCTCCCCTGTTGATACCGGACAGCCGGACAGCGCTTTTTTCATACATTTCATCTCCTCCTTCAGAAACCTACAAAAAAATATCGGAACATTCTTCAATGCTATTTGTGTTGAACAACATTGTTAAAGAATTAGCGCTAATGCTGAACAACAAGCAGATCCAAGCTGGACTTGGGGCACAATTTTACATAACAAGTTAGAAATTTTCTTCACAATGTAACAATCTAAAAATGGATGGAAGTTAAGTGACGTTGTGTCAAGCTGATTGGAAATCGTGTTGCCATCTCTTCCCATGAATCCTGACAAAACCTTTTCTGCCCCACAATCCTCACGAGACCCTTACTGCCAAGGAATCCATGAAGGACCTGTTCTGCTCTGGAATCCAGACGGGATCTATTCTGCTCCAAAATCCATAAGGTATGCTATTCTACTATATTGAACCGGAATACATAATGGACTTATTTGTCTCCGGAATCCACAAACGTCCTATTCTGATCCGGATTTCATAAGGTCCTTTTTCTTCTCCGGAACCCATGAGGGATCCATTCTGCTCCAGAATCCATTAGGGGCTTATTCTGCTCCGGAATCCATTAGGGACATATTCTTCATCGGGATCCATAACGTCACGCCGAAAACACGGGTTCGATTCCCCATATGGGTACAATGTGTAAAGCCAATGTCTGGTGTCCACCGCCGTGATTTTGCTGGAATGTGGCTAAAAGCGGCGTTAAATGATAATCACTGACTCACTCGGACCTATTCGTCTCTGGAATCCACCAATATCCCATTCTGATCCGGATTCCAATGGGATCAATTCTGCTCCAGAATCCAAAACGGACCCTTTTCTTTTCCGGAGTCAATAAAGGGACTATACTGCTCCGGAATCTATTAGGGGCCTATTCTGCTTCAGATTCAAGAAGGGGAGCATGGTAAACCTTAGGAAATATTGAGTCCCCTACCCGCACATCTCTTCCTCTGTACTCTTCCTCTGCACTTCCCCTGTGAGGATCTTGAGACTCCTTTCCTGTTCCTTCTTTATATAGCAAACCAAAGTGTCTTTGTCTACGTCCTTCACACAGGAGTCATTCAGTGCTGAAGAAGAAGTACGGGTGTATTTTCATTAATATAACAGCCATTAAGGGTGATTTGTATGTTGGTGTCATCAACATTTAAACTAAAATAATTTCAAATAAAACGCACATCTTCATGCTGCAGCTTCTGATCTCCTTGATATCCAATAAGCGTGACTTATTTGCACAACGAAAGGCACCGAGTGATAGAATAGCATGTCTAGAATCGTTCAATACATCGTTTTTTTATTCATTCTTACAGTGAACAGAGATTGTTCATAATCAACAGACACACCTAACAGAACACGTTCTAAGAACACCATGCACGCATTTACTGTATTTACATTTACTGTTGGGTGTTGAAAGTACCCACAGAGGCCCTATATGCATGTCCACATTGGGCACAACGAGTATTGGGCGTTATTGAGGCTGACATGACGGCAACGCGAGTGGCGAGAGGTGTTCAGGCTCTTCATACAACGATCTACCATCTTATTGCTCTAATGCAGAGACAAGCAGTGCGCAGGATCGCCCAACAAGACTTAGCGTGACGATGTTACTGGGTTATCGTCAGTTCTTAGCCGCGCCAACGCCACCTACCATGGTATACCACGTACAACAACTGGATATTATCATATATGTACAACTTTACAAGATTGTATGTCTGCCATACTCACTTTAGGAAACAAGTTTTAGGATTGCAATAGTTGCAACACTATAACACACACACTTAGCTATCCCCATTCTATTAGCGTAAATACCCTGGACTCAATCGCCCCCACCATAGCCTCGTTTTGAACCGGTTCGAATTCACCACCAAAAGTGACTACTGTCTTGGTGTACGACTCGCCCAGCTGCTTGCCTCTCAATACAACTGGGAACGCCGGGTAGGCGGAGATGTCAGGGTTTTGTCAGTTAGAACTTTTATCTTACCGTCTTCGTCCTGACAGGCGAACACTAAGGCCTTTTTAATCTGAGGATAACTTGCAAACATTCGTCTTATGTTCAGGCAGGTTCCATAGAAGTCAAACATGCAGTTGATACCATATGCCATGTCATCTGTGTGGCTGGAAGAAAGAGTAGACTGGTTGGTTTGATGTAATGACGACTGTTGATTCATTAATGTTGTCCTTACGTGATATAGCGAGTGGGTGTGTGGAGCTGGAATAAGCCGCTATAAGCAGTGATACAATCGAAATACTGCCTACAGCTGTTCCACTGACTCACGTTTCTTGTGGTACGAACTTCCGCGGTTCCGTTTCAAGTTCCCTCTAGTTTTCAGTAAGGGTATCAAGAACTACCCTATGGTGTTCAGGAAGGACATCAATAACTACCCTATGGTTTCAGTAAGGACATCAAGAACGTCACTTTGGTGTTCAGTAAGGGTATCAAGAACGTCACTATGGTGTTCTGTAAAGGGTATCAAGAACGTCACTATGGTGTTCAGTAAGGGTATCAAGAACGTCATTATGGTGTTCAGTAAGGGTATCAAGAACTACATAATGGTGTTCAGTAAGGGTATCAAGAACGTCACTATGGTGTTCAGTAAGGGTATCAAGAACGTCACAATGGTGTTCAGTAAGGGGTATCAAGAACGTCACTATGGTGTTCAGTAAGGGTATCAAGAACGTCATTATGGTGTTCAGTAAGGGTATCAAGAACTACATAATGTTGTTCAGTAAGGGTATCAAGAACGTCACTATGGTGTTCTGTAAAGGGTATCAAGAACGTCACTATGGTGTTCAGTAAGGATGTCAAGAACGTCACTATGGTGTTCAGTTAGGGTATCAAGAACGTCACTGTCGTGTTCAGTAAGGGTATCAAGCACGTCACTATGGTGTTCAGTAAGGGTATCAAGAACGTCACTATGGTGTTCTGTAAAGGGTATCAAGAACGTCACTATGGTGTTCTGTAAAGGGTTTCAAGAACGTCAGTATGGTGTTCTGTAAAGGGTATCAAGAACGTCACTGTCGTGTTCAGTAAGGGTATCAAGAACGTCATTATGGTGCTCAGTAAGGGGTATCAAGAACGTCACTATGGTGTTCAGTAAGGGTATCAAGAACGTCATTATGGTGTTCAGTAAGGGTATCAAGAACTACATAATGGTGTTCAGTAAGGGTATCAAGAACGTCACAATGGTGTTCAGTAAGGGTATCAAGAACGTCACTATGGTGTTCAGTAAGGGTATCAAGAACGTCATTATGGTGTTCAGTAAGGGTATCAAGAACTACATAATGTTGTTCAGTAAGGGTATCAAGAACGTCACTATGGTGTTCTGTAAAGGGTATCAAGAACGTCACTATGGTGTTCAGTAAGGATGTCAAGAACGTCACTATGGTGTTCAGTTAGGGTATCAAGAACGTCACTGTCGTGTTCAGTAAGGGTATCAAGCACGTCACTATGGTGTTCAGTAAGGGTATCAAGAACGTCACTATGGTGTTCTGTAAAGGGTATCAAGAACGTCACTATGGTTTTCTGTAAAGGGTTTCAAGAACGTCAGTATGGTGTTCTGTAAAGGGTATCAAGAACGTCACTATGGTGTTCAGTAAGGGTAACAAGAACGTCATTATGGTGTTCAGTAAGGGGTATCAAGAACGTCAATATGGTGTTCAGTAAGGGTATCACGAACGTCATTATGATGTTCAGTAAGGGTATCAAGAACGTCACTATGGTGTTCAGAAAGGGTATCAAGAACGTCATTATGGTGTTCTGTAAAGGGTATCAAGAACGTCACTATGGTGTTCTGTAAAGGGTATCAAGAACGTCACTATGGTGTTCAGTAAGGGTATCAAGAACGTCACTATGGTGTTCAGAAAGTGTATCAAGTACGTCACTATGGTGTTCTGTAAAGGGTATCAAGAACTACATAATGGTGTTCAGTAAGGGGTATCAAGAACGTCACTATGGTGTTCAGAAAGTGTATCAAGTACGTCACTATGGTGTTCTGTAAAGGGTATCAAGAACTACATAATGGTGTTCAGTAAGGGGTATCAAGAACGTCACTATGGTGTTCAGTAAGGGGTATCAAGAACGTCACTATGGTGTTCAGTAAGGTGTATCAAGAACGCCACCATGGTGTTCAGTAAGGACATCAAGAACTACACTATGGTGTTCAGTAAGGGGTATCAAGAACGTCACTATGGTGTTCAGTAAGGGTATCAAGAACGTCACTATGGTGTTCAGTAAGGGGTATCAAGAACGTCACTATGGTGTTCAGTAAGGGGTATCAAGAACGTCACTATGGTGTTCAGTAAGGACATCAAGAACTACACTATGGTGTTCAGTAAGGGGTATCAAGAACGTCACTATGGTGTTCAGTAAGGACATCAAGAACTACACTATGGTGTTCAGTAAGGGGTATCAAGAACGTCACTATGGTGTTCAGTAAGGGGTATCAAGAACGTCACTATGGTGTTCAGTAAGGACATCAAGAACTACACTATGGTGTTCAGTAAGGACATCAAGAACGTCACTATGGTGTTCAGTAAGGACATCAAGAAATACACTATGGTGTTCAGTAAAGGGTATCAAGAACGTCACTATGGTGTTCAGTAAGGGTATCAAGAACGTCACTATGGTGTTCAGGAAGGGGTATCAAGAACGTCACTATGGTGTTCAGTAAGGGTATCAAGAACGTCACTATGGTCTTAAGCGTTGGTTTCAAGTAATAATCATGATGCTGGTCGTCAGGGCACTGGTAGCCCAGTTTTATATGTCTCTTTCGCTATACACAGTTGCCTCCCCTATGCGTGTCAGAAACATATGACCGTTGTTCGAGAGTTTCACAAAATAAGGCGGCGTAAGACACTCACTCTGTACTGGTTGGGTTTTTAAAGGTCATATAATTTCCAGTGTCCAGAGGTTGGATTTCAACCACGGACCTTCTAATCCGATGTCGGAAGCCTTGTCCACTTGACCAGAGGTATTCCCCGTTAGCAAGGCACAATGTAGGTAAATCTTTGAAGCAGATCAATCGTTATTTCCCTGTCATATTTATAACTCACCTGCATACGTTTGGCCCTGAGAAAAACTTTGACATTTGACCTAGTGACCCCCCTTGTTTTGTTGGGTCAAGGTTGATCAAGTTCTCCCGTCCCAAGCCGGCAAAACACTCCCTCGTCTTCCTTGCAACAACATCAGCCTGCATGCACGGAAGTCCAATGTCAGCAGCTGAAATGATGATATGGTCATCTGCAAACGTTACTGTATAAATGGGTCAGTCTCCGAACGTCATACGGGGAAAATGCAAATACCCCCATAAGTGCGAGTGTGGGTGCGTGTCTGTGTGAGTGAGTGAGCGTGCGTGCGAGTGTGGGTGCGTGTCTGTGTGAGTGAGCGTGCGTGCGTGCGTGCGTGCGTGCGTGCGTGCGTGCGTGCGTGCGTGCGTGCGTGCGTGCGTGTGAATAATCGAGTCTGGGCCAGACAATCCAGTGATTGGTTAAAATGCAATGCAAGACCAGACCGTATTCATTATGCAGTATGATTATTCATCCACCTCTGTAGCTGTATTCATCAACATGTTCAAGCTTAGACTTTATGACTGCAAATATTAACTCAACCATTTTGCCTTTTAAAATGTCTTGTTTTTCACTATTTGACTATTTTATTATGTAAATGTATGCTGCGCGGGGAAAGTTGGGGAGCCCCCGAATCTTTCTTGTGACTTTGGTTGATCCGTCATGCCATGACATAGTGACTATAGTCTTCATGTGTTGCTTGTTATAATTAATGTGGTCTCTCCGGTGAATTTAAGTTAAAGTTTAAGGTCATATTCTTTGAGAGAAAGTACCATAGGCGAACGCATTTCGCCTACATTTTTTGGGGGTGAACAAGGTGCTTTGGGACAGCATGTGTTCAGGATGCAACAGGGGAATTAAATTCCAAATGAAGTTAAGGGGAGTGTATTCGTCGGTGCGTCGCGTGATCTGCCCACGAACAAGTCTGTGCTTACCGCGCGGATTATAGAGATCCGCGGTTACGAGTGTCAGGTTCAGCAGTTGCCGCTCATTTACTTCACCTCTTGCTAACGTTCAACATTTACTGTTGTCATAACGCTGACAAACATCATTGTCACGGTCGCTTACCACTGAGGTGGTCGAGAGGATCACCACCTGCTTATGTCATTAAAGAATGTGTCGGGTATCTGAGTGATTATAAGAGGGGTGTTCATTAAAGATTTTCCCTGACCCACTTCCGAGTGGAATGAAACTTGGCATAGGTATTAGTCTTTCTCCACAGAGGAACCACCAAGAGTTACACACTTCTCCCATCGTTTTATGCCACTATGGAGACCTCGCTTGTAAAAGCCATCATTTTGCGTCTCAAACCAGGACTTGACTTCAGAAATCAGTGTTGCATCATCTGTGAAACGTTTTCCCTTCAAAAATGACTTCATGGTTGGAAGATGGAGCAAGTCAGATGGTGCAAGGTCAGGAGAGTAAGGAGGATGTGGAAGGATTTCATAGCCACAGGACCGCGCTTCTGTCTGGGCAACATGAGAGTTGTGTACTGGAGCATTGTCTTGCAGGATACGGACACCCTTGGTCAGCATGCCACGACTCCTAAGCTTGATAGCGTCCCGCAATTTCCGCAGCAGTGAAGCATAATAAGCTCCTGTAATTGTGGTACCCTTTGCCAAGTAATCCATCATCACTACTCCGTGCTGGTCCCAAAACACCGTGAGCATGACCTTGCCTGCAGAGGGTTGGACACGTGCCTTCTTTGGGGGTGGTGACTCCACATGCTTCAATTGGATCCACTGAACTTTAGTCTCAGGATCATAGTGATGGACCCATATTTCATCCTGTGTGATAAGTCTGTCAATAAAGTTTGCCTGTTTTTTTTGGCACATGTCCAAAAGATCCTTTGAGCAATTGACTCGTTCCTGTTTTTGGAAAGGTGTGAGCAACCCGGGAATCCATCGTGCAGACACCTTATGCATGTTCAAATTGTCATGGATGATTTTTTCCACAGACCCTACACTGATCTTGACATGTTGTGCTAACTGGCGAACAGTTATACGTCGGTCTGCCAAGATGGCGGTCTCCACTTGATGGATAGTGTCCTGATGGAGAACGTGCACTCCCTGGATCCCTATGAGAATTTTAGCCATAAATTATCTTCTCCAGACTTATCGAGAACAGTAACGTCAAATAATTTCAAGGACTCTTTTTTGTCGAAAATACCCACTCCGCCAGAACCCCTCTTTGCATTCATATGTCTACTGAATCTGTTTCTGCCATGCCAAATAAAATCATTGGGACATCATCATTACTTAAAAAAGTTTCACATACAGCAAATACATCACAGTAAAGATTGTTAAGAAAGCTTAGCCTAAAATTAGAGTTGTCATTGTCTTTCCGTGAAAAACCTCCCACGTTCCAAAACCCTAGACGGGCACACCTATAACTTTTCTGTCGGCTCTCATTGCTTAGTTTTTCTTTCTGCCTTGCAGAGTGAAGTTTTTGTCTTTTCCGATTTCCTTCAAAACTGTTCTCCATTTTGCGTCAGCCTTGCGTTTGTCACTAAGAATGGCATGTTCAATGTATACACCGTTCTAATGTTTACAGTCTTTCAACTTAAGCTTACTTTCCATCCTCTTCGTTCCCGGAACAGCCGATTGTAGAGTTACAATAACCACCCCAGGGTAGTTTCCATGCTTGATCTTCCTTGAATCTTGAGTTACAAACACATCTTTCAAGTGGCGCTCGTCTCTAAGAAGGCTGATTTCTTTGCCTTTTGTGACAGAACTGTCTGGTTGCTCTCTGAGGTCCTCGCTTAAGTTCTGCTTTTCCCGCCATTTTCATAACATCAGAGTAAGAGGTCTCCATCTTGGATATGTTAGCGGATTTTTTTTGTCGTTCACTGTCTTGAACATGACTCTCATATCAGCCGACAAGAAATTAAACAAGTTCAGGGCCTCAAGTACTTTAAACACATTATTTTCGATTGTATCGACAGAAACGTTCTCATAACCCACATTGTCCTGCATGGTTGAGTGATCAATGTCTGAGCGTCTCGCTCTAATTGCGCAAACACCTCGGCTTCAGCATACTAATCCCTAAGTTTTATCTCACTGCTAAACTCGCCTTTGTCGCCCCAACTACGTATTCTGCGAGTATCCGCATTCATATTTCACTTTAAAACAGTAAAAAGTTGCGATCGGTTTCTTAAGACACGTTTAAAAGTCAGTTGTTTGTTACAGTCAAGTCCCGTTAATCCGACTTGGGTGGTTACATTTGGTTACATGTAGAAAACTGAAATGCGCATACTTGCTGAAGGACCCATACAATTAGTATACATGTGGCCATAGGCCCATGGGGAAAATAACCTTCCCAACCAATATCTTGGTGTACTGACGAGGCATTGTTTTTGTAGATTATCCTGGTGATGACTCAAGAACACCGTGTTGTTTTCTGTAGTATTCCCCAGGGTATTCTGTAGGAATGCCCGAATTTCCCAGAGGTTGCATATTTGATAACATCTTTTTAAAATGTATCCAAGAATGATTTTTAGTTCGTTAGAAAATACAATTTGTTTCACATGAAAATTCCAACTAGCTTATATAACTAAACATGATATTGATATCGCAGGTTCCATAAAGCATCAATATCATGTTTAGTTATATAAGCTAGTTGCCACTCCTCCTCGGGCCTTTACACATGCTCAGACACAAACGAAGAACGTTTTTTAGCCGACACTAAGGTTCCTGATGACGTCTCGTAACTTGATTGGGTAGATTTTGTTTTCAATATTATTCTAAAAACAATACTTTATCAATATTTAAACTGTTATTGTGAGTGGGAGTGAAAACATATTTAATGAAAATGTAACTTGTTATTTCGGTACCTAAATCTATTTTTGTCTTTTTTTTCAGGTGACTTGAGAAGCCAACTGTAACAGGCAGTACAAGAGTTACCTCCCTTTTACTCACTTGCCAGATAATTCTCAACACCTATCAAAGTCATTTTTACCGGAATGCGTGTACATTTTGATATATGTTTTAAATGAAACCTTTTTGCAACGGTAGATCTACTAATGTTTCTCATATTATTCTTCAGCAGGAAACTCTAAACAATCGTCTAGGATCCCTAACCTCACAACTTCAGACATTTGCTTCACTGGGTGTGTTCTGTACTTCGGCTGTCGCGGTTAGAACGATGACTTAGAACAGGTTAGCTTACATAGTAACTATGTCATATCATGGTACTATAGATCTCCAACTCACCCGCCACAGCAACCAGAAGGGCTGCAACAAATAAACAAGACGCCATGTTGGTATTCCCGTACAAGACAAGACGAACCCGGATATCCGGGATCTATTTCGGGTAAACGCAGAAGGGTGTGCTTTTTGTTTGTGTGTGAGTGTGTGTGGTACCGAGCATTCGATGGCTTAGACGGGGTCAGGAGTTATGTCCCTTACCTGCAGCCAGGCGTTTTCATGCCCGTTTGATGTTGTGTTGTACCTGTACACATGTACCTGTGTGTAGTATTGTACCTGTACACATGTACCTGTGTGTAGTGTTGTACCTGTACACATGTACCTGTGTGTGTAGTGTTGTACCTGTACACGTGTTTCTGTGTGTTGTGTTATACCTGTACACATGTACCTGTGTGTTGTGTTGTACCTGTGTGTTGTGCTGTACCTGTACACATGTACCTGTTTGTTGTGTTGTACCTGTACACCTGTACCTGTGTGTGTGGTGTTGTACCTGTACACGTGTACCTGTGTGTTGTACCTGTACACATGTACCTGTGTGTGTTGTGTTGTACCTGTACACATGTACCTGTGTGTGGTGTTGTACCTGTACACATGTACCTGTGTGTAGTGTTGTACCTGTACACATGTACCTGTGTTTGGTGTTGTACCTGTATACATGTACCTGTGTGTAGTGTTGTACCTGTACACATGTACCTGTGTGTTGTGTTGTACCTGTACACATGTACCTGTGTGTGTGGTGTTGTACCCGTACACGTGTACCTGTGTGTGTGGTGTTGTACCTGTACACATGTCCCTGTGTGTGTGGTGTTGTACCTGTACACGTGTACCTGTGTGTGTGGTGTTGTACCTGTACACATGTCCCTGTGTGTGTGGTGTTGTACCTGTACACATGTACCTGTGTGTGTGGTGTTGTACCTGTGTGTGTGGTGTTGTACCTGTACACGTGTTTCTGTGTGTTGTGTTGTACCTGTACACATGTACATGTGTGTTTGGTGTTGTACCTGTACACATGTACCTGTGTGTGTGGTGTTGTACCTGTACACGTGTACCTGTGTGTTGTGTTATACCTGTACCTGTGTGTGTTGTGTTGTACCTCTACACATGTACATGTGTGTGTGGTGTTGTACCTGTACACATGTACCTGTGTTTGGTGTTGTACCTGTACACATGTACCTGTGTGTGTGGTGTTGTACCTGTACACATGTACCTGTGTGTGTAGTGTTGTACCTGTACACATGTACCTGTGTGTGTTGTGTTGTACCTGTACACATGTACCTGTGTGTGTGGTGTTGTACCTGTACACCTGTACCTGTGTGTGTAGTGTTGTACCTGTACACGTGTACCTGTGTGTTGTGTTATACCTGTACACATGTACCTGTGTGTGGTGTTGTACCTGTACACTTGTACCTGTGTGTTGTGTTGTACCTGTACACATGTACCTGTGTGTAGTGTTGTACCTGTACACTTGTACCTGTGTGTTGTGTTGTACCTGTACACATGTTCCTGTGTGTGTTGTGTTGTACCTGTACACATGTACCTGTGTGTTGTGTTGTTCCTGTACACGTGTACCTGTGTGTGGTGTTGTACCTGTACACATATACTTGTGTGTGTTGTGTTGTACCTGTACACATGTACATGTGTGTTGTGTTGTACCTGTACACATGTACCTGTGTGTGGTGTTGTACCTGTACACATATACTTGTGTGTGTGGTGTTGTACCTGTACACATGTACCTGTGTGTTGTGTTGTACCTGTACACATGTCCCTGTGTGTGTGGTGTTGTACCTGTACACATATACTTGTGTGTGTTGTGTTGTACCTGTACACATGTTCATGTGTGTGTAGTGTTGTACCCGTACACGTGTGCCTGTGTGTTGTACCTGTACACATGTACCTGTGTGTGTAGTGTTGTACCTGTACACTTGTACCTGTGTGTTGTGTTGTACCTGTACACATGTACCTGTGTGTGGTGTTGTACCTGTACACTTGTACCTGTGTGTTGTGTTGTACCTGTACACATGTACCTGTGTGTAGTGTTGTACCTGTACACTTGTACCTGTGTGTTGTGTTGTACCTGTACACATGTACCTGTGTGTGGTGTTGTACCTGTACACTTGTACCTGTGTGTTGTGTTGTACCTGTACACATGTACCTGTGTTGTGTTGTACCTGTACACATGTACCTGTTTGTTGTGTCGTTCCTGTATACATGTAATTTATGATCAGTTGGTGATGACGCTAATGAGAGAAAGCCCTACAGAATGTCAGACACCTAAGGAATACTGAGCCCCCGGTACCCGCTTTGTTATCACGAAACTTGATAAAATAACTTTTCATTGTGTCCCGACCCGTGAAGATCCGGGGTAGAATAGGTCTTTAGCAACCCATGCTTGCCGAAAAGGCGACTATGCTTGTTGTAAGAGGCGACTAAAGGGATCAAGTGGTCAGGTTCGCTGACTTGATGCATGTCATCGTATCCCAAATGCGTGGATCGATGTTCATGATGTCAGTCACTGGATTGTCTGGTTCAGACTCGATTATTTACAGACCGCCGTCATATAGCTGGAATATTGCTGAGTGCGGCGTTAAACAACAAACACAGAAGACATTGTGTATCGACCCTCCAAATAAATGTCCTAAAACCATGTGAAGGCGCACGTCTATTGCCGCGCTGACCGATACACATGCGCCGTCCTCTCCTGCGTTTCAAGTGCAAGTCATCTGAATTAAGAGACAATTTCGTTCACTTTCGAGATCTATTGTGAAGTGTCACAATGACAGTCGACTGGTCCCTCGGGCGTACCGGAAATGGCAGCCATGTTATCAACAATGAGTCCGTGACTAGTGACTAGTTAACGCTTCAGTTTAAATGTGTTGGTTTTGTTCCACACGTGTTTGGAGACGAGTTACGATTACCAGACGGCCCGTACGCATGTAAATGTTTTGTAAACAAGTTCCTGTTTGGCGCAATATATAGAAGAGCTCTGTCCGACAGAGGCCATAAAAATATTTTATGGTTTCTGGTCCGACGAATAGTACATTAATATGACCATGGAAGTCTACCTTGTGCTGGTGTTGGCACTGACTGGTAAGTACATTTGGTTCTTCAGTTTATGTTTTAGTAGGCGTAAGGGGTCGATGATTTAATATTCTGCTCCGAAATATTGGAGGAAAAGATCATTTGGCCTCCAGTTTTTCTCCCGAAAAGTATAACGTTCCTTGGAAGTGTTGGAGTGAGTGAGTTAAGTTTTAAGTCACATCGGCAATATTTCAGCCATATCGTGACTATCAATGGTGAAGTATAATACATATATTGAAGCTTATGTAAAAACCTGCCAATGAGGGACAGTAAAATAACTAGACTTATCACAGAAATAAATGTAAAACTAGTATTTAATCATAAAATCAATAGCACTATACAAAACATGACAGTATAAAAACGGGCTATAGATCGCCAGCAACTGAAGGGAGACCACCATGCTAGGGTCCATGGGGACTTACAGTACTTTTGCTACCTGCATGGACCCCAGCCGGATTGACATCATCCCTTCAGCTGTTGGCGATTATGACAAATTTAGCCAATGGTAAACGAACATATATACTACTATTAAAAATGTGGCCAATATAAATATACTTTGAAAGACGTGGTCTTACATACCCTCTCAGGGGGTGGAAGTGTTGGATGTTCTGAAACACATTGTCCAAACATTCAGAGAGAAAAATGGTAGACCTTGAAACAATATTATGTCTTACACGTAGTCGTAGGAGAAGTTGTGGAAAAGGCATGTAGTACTAATGGTAGTATTAGTGGTACTTGTGGTAGAAGTACTAGTAGTAGTAATGGTGTTGCTGTAGTAGTAGTAGAAGTAGTAGTGGTTGCCGTCCTCCTTTTCTTTGACATCTGATGAAATATGTGTGTTGGGGAGGGGAGGGGGGACCTTGTGGTTCGCTCGTCACACCATAGACCCATGTTCGATGCCCTGTATGTGAAACCCTTTCTTGGTTCCCCGAAGTAATGAAGTAATATGGCTGAAATACTACTGAAAGCGGCGTCAAACTATACTCAATCACACGTGACCCTTATCCTTTCAGTCCGATGTAATTAGATTTCCCATTATTCAGTGAGCGAGTGAGTGAGTATGGTTTTACGCCGCTTTTAGCAATATTCCAGCAATATCACGGCGGGGGACACCAGACATGGGCTTCACACATTGTACCCATGTCGGGAATCGAATCCGGGTCTTCGGCGTGACGAGCTAACGCTTTAACCACTAGGCTACCCGACCGCCCCCATTATTCAGACTATACTGAACAACAAAAGTTCCTGTGACTTTGAATAAGATTTAATGCTAAAGTTATGTTTTTTACCAAATCTGAAACAATTTCGGTTAACAACAGATAATAGACTCCTGTAAGTGTTCAAATGGTTTCTTTTACCATACTGACTTCAGAAAATGCGTGATTTCATAAAAAAAAACATAAACATGCCAAAATGTCAATTTACAAATCAATAGCGTGTGTGTCCACCTCTGGGTGCGATGCAAGCAACAAATTTTCGTCTCATGGAATGTCCTCTGGGATATCTGTCCATATCTGATGGAGCATGTTTCGAAGTTCCTGGAGTGTCTGTGGAACACGTGGTTGACGTCGAAGGCGCCGATCCATCTCATCCCACATGTGCTCGATTGGTGAGAGATCAGGGGAGCGAGCCGGCCAGGGGATGACATTCACGTTGTTTTGTCGAAGAGAATCCTGAACAAGTCGAGCAATATGAGGCCGGGCGTTGTCATGTTGAAAGGTAATGCCTGGGCCATGACGACGCAAAACGGTAGAACAAGAGGGCCGGTTATCTCGTCGCGGTAGCGCTGTCCATTGAGATTTCCCTCTACCACTATCAAACGGGTCCTCTGTCTTGCTGTAATCCCACCCTATACCATAACGCTGCCGCCCCCGAACCGATCTTCTTCCATGACACAATGATTGACGTAACGTTCACTTCGACGTTGGTACACTCGAATCCGTCAATCGTTGTGGCTGAGGTGACAACGAGACTCGTCAGTGAATATAACTTGTCCCCACTGCATGGCCGTCCACTGTAGACGTGCTTGACGGTGGTTTCCTGTCAAAATGGGACGTCTGGCGGGTCTCCTGGCGACAATCCCTTCACATCTGAGGGGACGTCGTACGGTTTGTGAAGATATTCGTCGAAGACCAGGGATGCTTCTTGCAATCACTGTTGTTGACTGGAATCGATTTCGTAGGTGTGATGTTCGAATCCAGTTGTCTTGTCGATTATTGGTTACGCGTGGCCTGCCACTCCGAGGATGGTCTCTGACTGCATTCATCTGTTGCCAACGTTGCCGTAAACACCAAATGGTGTTTCTGTGGACGTTAAATTGTCTTGCAACATCACGTTGACTCGATCCTGCTTCATGCTTACCAATGGCTCACAGACGCTCATTTTCGGACAGGCGTGGCATTTCGTAATGTTGTATAATTGCGTAATTTTGTTGATTTTCTGAGTGGTTGTTGTCAGCACGATGCTAAACAATGCATATCGAAACCCGTTAACGCACTTGTTTTTATACCCATTCTTGAGTAGTGAAATGCATGGGGCTTGCATAAAAGTCAACTTTTGCATGGAATGCATGCTTTTCTGTAGCAGTTGCGTTTTTGTGACTTGATTCCATACATGTACTACAATATTGAAAACCAAACTTTACTTGTTTGAAAAATACACTAAAGTATTGGTGTCACAGGAACTTTTGTTGTTGAGTATATTTACTATTATTGTAAATAACACTGGGCTCTTTAACGATTTTCTGGCTGGGAAGGGATTTCACAAGAAGATTTAATGTTACCAGGATCCTTTTCCTCCGGCACATCACTCATATATACTCATAAACAAAGTAAAACACATGCGGATTTTTATTCTCTGAAATACTAGTATATAAATACATGAATGTCACCAAACAACTTGAGGAATTAGCACAGGGGTTAACACGGGACGAAATGGCACCGGTGTCCATGCTAGGGGAACTGGAACGGGTGTGAGCACAGATGTCAGTTTCCACCCTGCCGAACAACTTGGCTGGAATTTCGTGGCTCGGTCGTAGCGCCACCAGTGGTTATTATGAGTTATGTCCCTTCTCATGACCAGTCAGATTTCATCTCTCATATCCCTTGCATTTGTTTCACACAAAATGGCGGCGACCAGTCAAGACGATCTGATCGATAATGAAAATCGTCCAAAAAAAGGGTCTTATCTCGCGAAGTGCATCAAATCATTTGAACACTTTGATTCAAATCATGAAAAGATTTCGAACATATTTGTCGACGCCCAGTTGACGGTGCACATACATTGCAAAACCTGCAATCGACCGAAATCTGCAGGTCAGTCTTCGTGCTATTTTCATTGCACGTTTGTAATTGGACTATGCAAAGACTCGTTAGTCCAACCAAAACTCCAAAATTCCAGTCTAGTTCGGCAAAGGTGGAAAGTGGACTTTTATATTCAGTTAACTGACTTGCCTCAGGAAGATGGATTGAACAATGTACGTTTCACAATGTATTGGTCAGTTTGTGGTTCACGAACAATGTATTTTACACTTGATTTAGATTATTGTGCATATGTTCTTATATGTGTGGTGAATAACATTCCGCTTATGCTTAACGTTTGGTTATGAGAATATATAGTTTGAATCGAATAGATAAGAAGCTTAACTCTTGTGTTTCTTGTGTTTCAGTGTTTCAGTCATGTTCTGCTTTTCGCTGTCCGATGCCCACCGGGAACTTCCCCATGATAGAGTCGGAGAGCTGTGAGGTGTACTGGCAGTGCAGGAACGGCATGCTGGTGGCCGCTCAGTGCGCAGGCGCACATCAGTTCCACTACAAGGCGCGCAAATGTCTGCATGGGAGCATCGTCAGTTGTATCATGCAGAGAAAGCAGTACAAACAAGCCCACATGCCACACAGGGCCATGCCACACAAACCAATGCCTATGCCGATGCCCATGCCGATGACTCCAAAACCGAGACCACCAAAACCCATCTACATTCCGTTTCCCGTACCTGTTCATCCTCAACATCCGGTTCCGCCTTGCGCAGCGCCACCATGTGGGAAACCGATTCCGGTTCCTGCTTCGCCGCCATGTGACATTCCTTCGTGCGGGAAACCGGTTGCAGTGCCAGGAAAACCTGGATTAATCCCCTTCCCCCAAAACGGACAGATACCGCCTTATATAGTACAGATGTGGCGGAATGTTTTCGGACGGGGATGAATGACTGAAATTAATTAACTTGAGTTAAAGTTTGATTGATAACAAATCGTGAAGCTGCATAATGACTGTAACATCTGTAGTATGGTAATAAAATAATTATGGGACTATGAAGCATGCTCCAATTAATGGAATTATCCAGTTACCTTACTGTTAAAGGTAGCCATCGATCGTTTGTTCAGATCGCTGCTTAATCCCACAACGGTGCTCACATTATCTCAATTTTATGCATCACTGGTTTTACAAATACATGAGTCGTGTCTGGTAGTACTTATGTCGTGTGCTGAAAGGGGATTCCATTGTGACGTTTTAAGTGCATTATTGGATCTTTCAGTCTTATCGTTGGATGTCTTTCTTTAAAACATATCACCACGTCATCCGGAAAGTGTTAGTCACCACATCAGTTGCATTATCTGATTTGCCACTGCCCAAAATATACCCGTCTGAACAGTTAACGCCCGATATATTTTGGATTTGAAGCCACGATTCGTCGCGATAATGATTCTTGGTTTGCAAGGACCTGACTCGTGCTCTTTGGTTTTCGAAAAATCTCTCACCTGCAGAACAATTAGTAGTTTTCAGATACAGCTGACTTCCACTTTACATGGGCGCTATACCCAACATACATCGTCTAGATGTGTAGAGACCTGGCAGTCTTGTGTGTCTATTTACATGGGCGCTACACCCACCATGAACGACCCGCTCATTTTATATCGTGTCACTGTGTTGGAGGCGATGGCAGGTCAGAGGACAGTTGCGTTATCTTGGTGTTCAGAAGCCGAGATCAAGGCTTCGAGTCCAAGAGTCGCCCTGACTCGGTTTCCATGGTCGTCACCAACAGCTCGTGGGTTTCACCAAAGTGGGACATTTCGAACACCGGCCAACTGCCAGCCCACATCAAGCTGACACGCGGTCATGCAGCTGAAATACTGTTTAAAGCGGCGTTAAACGAAACCCACTCACGGACCCGTCCGACCATCAGATCAACGCGATGACGCCGTTTCCGGCCAACCGGTACCCGCCGGTATACTGCGTTCCTGAAAAAACAATTCTAAGAGTTAGTATAAGGTATTATAGCAACCTTAAAATGGCCAAGGAAACCACATTATACATTGTACCAATGTTAGGAATCGAACGGCGTGACGAGCGAGCATTTGAACTACTGACATATATACTTTATTTTCCTTGAAAGTATTAGAAGCTGTTCAAGTATAGTGGCCGAGTCAGCATTATATAAGAACACAGAAGCTGTGGTTCATGTCTGAAGGGTTACAAAAACAGATACACCCCAGTAAACTTGAGAGAAAAGATGGCTTTTTCCTGTTCGTTGTTTACGCCGTAATCATTAGTTTTCCAGCTATATGATAGCGGTCTGTAAATAATTGAGCCTGGACCTGACAATGTAGTTACAAACATCATGAGCATCGTATACGATGACATGCATCAATTAAGTCCGTAAGCCTGACTACCCAACCCCATTAGTGGCCTATTTTCGACAAGCATAGGCTGCTGAAGACCAATTCTAACCCGGATCTTCACGGGGGCCAAGCCTGGGCTGCTGAAGACCAGTTCTAACCCGGATCTTCACGGGGGACAAGCCTGGGCTGCTGAAGACCAATTCTAACCCGGATCTTCATTGGGGGCAAACACGTGTTGCTGAAGACCGATTCTAACCCGGATCTTCATTGGGGGCAAACACGTGTTGCTGAAGACCAATTCTAACCCGGATCTTCATTGGGGGCAAACACGTGTTGCTGAAGACCGATTCTAACCCGGATCGTCATGGGGGGCAAACACGTGTTGCTGAAGACCGATTCTAACCCGGATCTTCATTGGGGGCAAACACGTGTTGCTGAAGACCGATTCTAACCCGGATCGTCATGGGGGGCAAACACGTGTTGCTGAAGACCGATTCTAACCCGGATCGTCATGGGGGGCAAACACGTGTTGCTGAAGACCGATTCTAACCCGGATCTTCATTGGGGGCAAACACGTGTTGCTAAAGACCAATTCTAACCCGGATCGTCATGGGGGGCAAACACGTGTTGCTGAAGACCGATTCTAACCCGGATCGTCATGGGGGGCAAACACGTGTTGCTGAAGACCGATTCTAACCCGGATCGTCATGGGGGGCAAACACGTGTTGCTGAAGACCGATTCTAACCCGGATCGTCATGGGGGGCAAACACGTGTTGCTGAAGACCGATTCTAACCCGGATCGTCATTGGGGGCAAACACGTGTTGCTGAAGACCGATTCTAACCCGGATCTTCATTGGGGGCAAACACGTGTTGCTGAAGACCGATTCTAACCCGGATCTTCATGGGGGGCAAACACGTGTTGCTGAAGACCGATTCTAACCCGGATCGTCATGGGGGGCAAACACGTGTTGCTGAAGACCGATTCTAACCCGGATCTTCATTGGGGGCAAACACGTGTTGCTGAAGACCAATTCTAACCCGGATCGTCATGGGGGGCAAACACGTGTTGCTGAAGACCGATTCTAACCCGGATCGTCATGGGGGGCAAACACGTGTTGCTGAAGACCGATTCTAACCCGGATCGTCATGGGGGGCAAACACGTGTTGCTGAAGACCGATTCTAACCCGGATCGTCATTGGGGGCAAACACGTGTTGCTGAAGACCGATTCTAACCCGGATCGTCATGGGGGGCAAACACGTGTTGCTGAAGACCGATTCTAACCCGGATCTTCATGGGGGGCAAACACGTGTTGCTGAAGACCGATTCTAACCCGGATCTTCATGGGGGGCAAACACGTGTTGCTGAAGACCGATTCTAACCCGGATCGTCATGGGGGGCAAACACGTGTTGCTGAAGACCGATTCTAACCCGGATCTTCATGGGGGGCAAACACGTGTTGCTGAAGACCGGTTCTAACCCGGATCGTCATGGGGGGCAAACACGTGTTGCTGAAGACCAATTCTAACCCGGATCTTCATGGGGGGCAAACACGTGTTGCTGAAGACCGGTTCTAACCTGTCGTATCAGGTCAATGTAAACAGTTACATAAAAACACTTGCAAACCCGAGAGTGAGTGAGTTGGGTTTTACGCCGCTTTTAACAATATTCTAGTAATATCGCGGCGTGTCAGCTTAATGTGGAAGGAAAGCCCGAAGTGATGCAGGTCTCAGACGTTTACCACTTCGGTGAAACCCACGAGCACGGGTATGGTGCTGACAAGCTTAGAAACATAATCGGGGCGAACCGGGATTCGAACCCACAATCCTAGGTTTCTGACGTGTCCAAGGGACGCAACTCTGCACAGCGAATCGCGGCGCCTTCGACGAGTGGGCCACCCGTGCCCCCTGCAAACCTATGAGATATAATGGAAGAACTATCAGAGTTGTAACAACCAATACTGACAATATCAACACAAATTCGGATATGACACAACATCACAATAAGCATCGCTACAAACAATGGTGAAGTAGTTGTAATCAACAGTTTGGTATAACGGACTGATCTCATATTTGCTCGCTGACACCCGGAGTTAAATCGGCAAGATATGTTAATCACGTGTGTAAGTCGCTAAGATTTGTTAAAAAATGGTAAGATGCGGGCAATAATGATTCTGATAGTACAAGAAATAAAATCACTAGCTTCTGTTTTGTTTGTGACTATGGCCTGTGATGCTTACACGTGTATATATACTACTCAAAAGAAGTTAAGGACCGCCCTGTCAATGTATGACAGATAACATAGTAATAGGAAATAATAGGGTTGGTCCTTAACCTCTTTTGAGCAGTATATCATCTTCCCGAGGCAAGAGAGTTAACTGACTTTAAAAGTCCAGTTTCCACCCTTGCCGAACTAGACTGGAATTCCTGGGCTCGATCGTAGCGCCACCAGTGGCTACTACCAGTTACGTCCCTTCTAAGCCTCTCCTATGGACCAATCAGATGCCACCTCTCGTATCACTTGCGTTTGCTTTAAACCAAATGGCGGCTCATAGTCCAAACGAGCTGATCGATCAAGATCTATATTGTGATAAAACGGGTCTCACCTAGCGAAGTTCATCAAATCACGTGAGCACCTTGATTAAAAACATGAAAAGACTCGAAAAGAATCTGTTGACAACGAGTTGGCGGTGCTTTGCAAATCCTGCAATCGACAGAAATCTGCACGACATTTTACGAACCGGATTTCGATTTCGGTGCGCGATTTTGATTGGACTATGCATAGACTCGTTAGTCCAGCCAAACTGTAACTCCATAATACCAGCCTAGTTCGGCAAGGGTAGAAACTGGACTTTTATAGTCAGTTAACACTCTTGTCACGGGAAGATGGCAGTATATATGAGAGAGTAAGTATGTGGTATTACAGCAACATTCCCTCAATAATAGGGCTAGGGAAACAACGATAGGTGTTCTACAATGTACCTATGTTGGGACCGCCTCCGTGGTCTTGTGGTAGAGCGTCCGCCCGGAGAGCGGAAGGTCCGGGGTTCGATCCCGGGCCGCGTCATACAAAAAGACGTTAAAAGATTGTACTTGTTGTTACCCTGTCTGGCGCTCGGCATTAAGGGGCTAAAACAAGGACTGGTCGGCTCGGAGTCAGTATACTGTGTCTGAGTGGGGTATTCATGTTAAACTGCGGCATGGTATCTCAGTGAGCTAGCACTATAAATCGGCATCAGTCCGGACTAGTACAAGCAGCCACACACACGCATACACGTGCATGCACTTCGCTATATAAGTGCAATAATCTTGGACGCGACGTTAAACCCAATTTCACCTCACCTCACCTATGTTGGGATCATAAATATGTATAACAATCATTACCTACTACTTGCTGGAGATTTCAATGCAAGGATGCGTACATTTCTGGATTATATCCCAGCTGATGATCTCAACTTCATTCATGAGAACAGTGAGGACTATCCAACTGATGGGTTCGATATTCCCCGTAAAACAAAGGATAACACTCGATACAACAGTTATGGTGTCAAACTAGCAGAATTATGTTGCACACATGATGTCCATGTACTAAACGGGCGGCTATTTGATTATATGGATGGGAACTTTACTTGTATCACTCACAATGGTGCCAGTGTGGTGGACTATTTTCTGGCAAGTACAGATTTATTTCCACATTTTAGCTCCT